GCCGAATTGAATCCACAATTATGAAAAAGTCCAATCAAACGAGGATCGGATCCCATAATCGGTTTATGATCAGGAGTAAATGATTCTGGTCCACATACCGTGCTTCTAATTCCTGTTCTTGCAAATTCTGGGCAAAGCTCTTCAGTTCTCTTTACGTGTTCATCAAAAGTCGACCAATTTAAATCGTATAATCCAAAATTGAAGTCTCTTGCAACAGAGTCTAAAATGACCGGGTTCTTTTCATATCCACCCATACAAATTGATGAACCTTGAATTCGGAAGTAAATAGAGGCATCATGATCTCTAAGATTTGGCATTCCGTAAATACCATCAATTGGTTCGGAAACCACATACGAATGCTTCATTGGAACTAATGGCAAATGAATGCCTAACGGTTCGATTAAATCTCTTCCCCACACACCGGTCGCATTCACAATGCATGTCGTTTTTATGTCACCATGTTCGGTTCGTAGACCAATAACTTTATTTAAACCTTTGTCATTTTTCTCAGTCAATATTTCGGTGACTGGACAATCTTCGATTACTTGTGCATTCGATGTTTTAATGGCAAGCTTTGTTAAGGCGTTGCATAATAATGTTGGATCAATGTCACCGTCGAATGGAGAAAAAAGAGCGGCCGAAAATGATTTTGGATTCAATAATGGAAAAATTTGCTGAGCTTCAACTGGCGATAACATTGAATTTTCAATGCCCATCAATTTTCCAATTGTCGATAAGCGCTCGTATTCATTTACACGCGACTAAACAAAATATGATTAATATACGTTTATTGCACATCAATTATAGACTTGGTTAAGGCTTTTTTCCAATCAATACATACTTTTTGGCGCGCAATAAAAAGTCCACCACGTTGATTCCATCCCGGGTCAAATTCAGTATTTTCTTTGATATCAATTAGCATATCTCTGCTTCTATTTAAAAGTCTAAACAAAAACAAAATATTTCGATGTAACTTGAGTACAGAGTTGGTAAATGCACCTCACAAGTGCGCGCCCTTACAAGTTGTGTGCAACTCTTCTTGGGTGCGCGCACCCGATTCCATATAAATGTTGGGTGCGCGCACTTGGAATTTTTTTCGTGCTTATTTCAATATAAAGAATTGAAAAAAATGTATTTTTTACTTAAATCTTTCCATTTTTTATTTGGTCATCTTCAATATAATCAATACAAAATACTGTCAAATTGTGTTTCTTATATATTTTGACAGCTACAAGTAGCCGCCTGCTGGTTGTCTTTTGAACCACATTGCTTTACATGTAAACAGTTTTTGCATGTGAAAAAATTCAAAATGGAAAAAATTAAGTAAAAAATACATTTTTGACGATTTTTTATATTGAAATAAGCAAGAAAAAAATTCCAAGTGCGCGCACCCAACATTTATATGGAATCAGGTGCGCGCACCCAAGAAGAGTTGCACACAACTTATAAGGGCGCGCACTCGTGAGGTGCATTTACCAACTCTGCTTGAGTAGAGTATAAAAAAAGGGATATATTTTTACTGAATATCAACATCGTTGGGTCTCATACGCCATAACAAACCCGCAGTATGCCAGGTAGTGCCAGCAGTCAATTTACATCTTTCCAATAGAACAGTTTTGACACCGCGCTTAGCTAGGTGATAAAGGGCATGGCATCCCGCACTTCCACCACCTATTCCATTTATTAACACACTTTTTTTGAGAGAGAAATCTGTAACAGTTCTGTCAACTTACCAATAATAACAACATCAGCTTGATCAGGTAATTGTATTGATTTTTTTCTTAATTTTTTGGAAACTGAATAACATTTCGTTGACGCTTTATAGAAATTTTTTATGCTATTTTGTCGGTGCAAAAGTTTATTCATTATGCATAATGCAATGTTGTATTTGTATGAAAAATAAATCGATACTGTTTGTTCAAATTCGGCGACGTTCAATTTATATAAAATCTAATACATGAACGCTTTTGTTTTGCATTGATAATTGTGTGACTGTATTTTTGTATAACTACATTATCGAATAAAAAGAGCGGAAAATTCGAGCTACTAAATTTTCCAAATTTAGCTGTGATATTTTTTAATGCAAACAGATGCCAACAGTTGTACACCCAAATGATATGGCAAAAGTGATAAATTAAAAAATCGATCTGTAGCAAAATGATAAACAATGTGCATGTGTAACATTGCAATAATAAAAAAAGTGAGTTCACTGTGTTGAAATGACGGTAGAAAAGATAGGAAATGGCCTCATGACCCACCGAAAAGATATTTTCCATCAACATTTTAATGGATATGTTCGTATTTTGTTATTTTGTTACCCTTGTGGAAAATTACTGACTGGTTAGCCAGTCGTCTAATTTGGGACGTTTTCAGATTAAGCCGACTGAGATCGAAGTCATTTTAAGTTGATTTATTTGACTACATTAATATAGCAAAGTATAACTAAAATCGACTTTAATCATAGTTGACTGTATAGTCGTCTAACATCCCAAATAAGTCGTCTGGTTAAATAGACGACTAAAGTCGACTAGGTAGTCCAAAGCACGACGATGAAAAACAACGTTGACAATAGCGCCATGGTGCAGTTGCCAGCGAAACTAAGAACACAAATTTCGATCGCCTAAATCAAAAATGGTACAAAGGAGTTGGTGAAAAAGTCAGTCTAATGTCAAATTTAAATATGCATTTTAATGCGAGTAAAAGAGACAACCATATAGATTTCACCAACTCTTTTGTGCCACCCAACATAAACAGTGACAACCATAATGAAGTTGCTGCGTTGCCCAGCTGTCATTGTCGTCGTGCTTTGAGGTAGTCAGTTACAGCCAACAAAATTCATTTTTATTTGATTTCAGCTAGTCAGTCAGTCAGTCAGTCACTTTTCTTCCACATGGGTATGTATAAAAATAAGCTTTATTATCATCGAATCCGTTATCAGCTTAAGTTGTCATCAACTGCAGAGATTATATGTCCAAACCATAGTATGTGTATGTGTTGGCTATATCTGAGATTTAAGTGTGTTTTTTGCACTTTTTTTATTTTGGTTATACATTTAGTTGGAATTCATCGTTTTGTTTACAAAACATTCAATTACATTGTGATAATTTTAAAATGTGATAAGAAATCAGGTTTTTTGTTGTTTTAAGGTGTTTTTTTTTTGAAGTTCCTAAGGGTCGGCAACCTATTTAAAACATAAACATATTTAAAAAATTGCGCCAAAAACTTCACACATATCTGACATATCATATTGACACACTACGTCACAGAAACACAAATGCTACATATGTTATATTGTCAAAATTCTGCGCATTTCGAAGTCAACGCAACGTATAGAGTATATAGTGCGTTACATTGCATTCAGTTCAGGTGATTTTTGTATTCGGATACAGAGAGCACATTTTCACATTTAAATGTGTGTACATTGTACAACGCGCCAAAATGTGCTTTGAATACTCTCGTTTATATTTGACAGATGTGGTGTTGATATCACATAGTATTTTCAGTCGTCCATTCATAAAGACACAGGAAAAAAAGTTAATCTTCGTACATGATTTATAAACTTAGTCAGCTGATAAAGTTATTTCAAAATTTCTGTGAATAAATTAGAAAGAAATCTTGGGCTGTGAAGGTATTTATTGTTCTCATGTTTTTGGTTTTATATTCACGGATTTCAATAAGATATTTACGAATAAAACTTTATCAACTTTTATTTAAATTAATTTTAACATAAAAAAACAGTTTTATGGATAGTTCGTGAGTTTAAACTGAAATCTTATGAATATTATTATTGGGTGGTTTAAGGATAGCATTTTATTTGCAAAATCTTTTCACCACACAAAGATAATGAATAGTTTGCTTACTCTATGATTAACAAGTGATTTAACAAGAAAACGGTTGTTTGTACAGTACTTTCAGTTGTGTGCTTAATATAGGTCAGTCTATTATCAAAATAACTACCAAATTTAAAAATTCCATTCACATCTTATGACCTTAAACATATGTGCATGTTCAGTCTCAAGTCCTTGCCTTACACATTCCAATTTCAATTAATTCTCAACTATAACTTTTGATATTATAACGATTGTAGAAAAGAAACTTAAAAGAAATTCACATTCTCCAGTCATATATGTTTCTTCAGTGTGAAATAGAAATTTTGAAATATATAAAAGTGATTTCGGAAGACAAAAAAGTGTATTGTACCTTAAAGTTCCACAACAGTTCGATTTGAAACGTTTGATTCAACATCTCATAAAAGTGTAACAATGTTTTTTTTCTTCCAATCTTTTTTCAATTATATGTCAACATTTGATACGAAATGATTAAACACGCATTTGGTGTGTGACCATATATTTAAATACACACTGTTTACATTGTCTCAATTTGCGTACACACACTCGACATGTGCTGTTATTCCAGAATTCAGTTTGTTAAGTTTGTTTAGTAAATGTTTTCGCCTGAAAGTGCACATTTCTATCGGATTCTCGCTAAATCACAATTAATCTCTTAAATCGTTAACTTAGTTGTTTTTTTTTGTTACAGAGAATGAAAAAAATTGTATTGAAAAAATGAGTATGAACAACGGAGAAATTATTGAAAATCACATTCGATTGGAATCAGTTGATTCTCTTGAAAGTAATAGTCAGTCTGATAGAAAATCATTGTTACCACGAAATTGCAGTTTTTATAATATGGGCACCCAATCGGAAGCTAAGGTTTTAGTCATTTATACAGGTGGCACAATTGGCATGACTAGAAATGCTAACAACGGTAAGCATTTCGAACATAAAAATTACCTTTTTTGGATTGGAATTTAAACTTTTCCTTATAGTTACTTGTTTATTTTATGGTGTACAAGTGCAAAAACATTCAAGTTCACATCAAATAAGCGCTATCGCATTACCGTAATATATATGCATAGTTGCATACACAATTGCTCAATTTGTCGGTGGATTGTGAAATTGCATTTTATATTCATCAATAATATTGCACTGGAAGTGTTTGAGGGAAGAAAACCAAATAATCTTTCAATCATTTTATCATTCACAATAACATCTTATGCAAATTATAAAGTGACGATGATTATTTTTCACAATCTATGTGCCACTCTACGCCACTCGACGCCACTCTAATTTAATGTCACATATTCCGGTATTATACACGTAGCTGCTAAGTGTAAAGGCGTTATCATAAATAAAACGACCGTTAATTAAAGCATTCAAACACGTTATCACGCTGCTGTTGTTGATTTGTTTGATGAGTAAATAATAAAAATGTGCCTAGTATGAAAATCATGTGCTGAGAAAAAAAAAAAAAAAAAACAAAACAAAATTTATCAATTTCACTTGCATCATTTGATTTACACAGATTTGCTAATTGAAATGGCAAAAAATTTGGTTTATATATGTCAATGTTTCAATGAAAATTATCTCAAAAACTGTTGAAAATATCTACATGTCTATTTATAGGTATTTTTTTATAGCTTGGAAGTCGTGTAATAAAAAAAAGTTTATTCAACTCATTTTTTATTGTCAATAAAAGATTTATGAAATAAATGCTTACGTTTAGTATGCATCATGGCATAACATTCATTTTATTTATTTATTAGTTTTGGGACCACAATCGAATGTCTTGATTCAAAATATTCGCAAGTATCCACATATGCACGATGAAGAATATGCTCGATCACGTTTCGGCAAAGCGGTGGGTTTTGGTCCGCTTGTTCTTCCATTTGTACAGGACGAACTTCGTCGCATCATTTATACAATTATCGAGTATGATCCACTATTAGATTCGAGCAATATGTCAATTAAGGACTGGGTTCAGATAGCCGAGGATATTAAAGTATGTTTTTCTCCCCACATTGCTGTTGTCATTGTCGATGCATTGAAATTGATTGTGTACATCAATTTTATTTCAGGAATCATACGAGTTTTATGATGGTTTTTTGATATTACATGGGACGGATACTTTATCATACACTGCATCCGTACTCTCATTTATGTTGGAAAATCTAGGAAAAACAGGTACATTTTCACTTTATTCAACATCAATGAACTCGTTAAAATTTGATTCTTTTCAGTCATTATCACTGGTTCTCAAATACCAATATTCGAAACGCGAACTGATGGAAAGGATAATTTTACAAACGGCTTAATTTTAGCTGGTAATTATGTGATTCCTGAGGTATGCGTTTTATTCAACAACAAATTGTTGCGTGGAAATCGTACAATAAAAAGCAGCACTGAAGATTTGGATGCATTCCATTCACCCAACTACATGCCACTTGCAAAAATTGGCATCACACTGCAAATTGACTATCGGCTAATACATCGTCCATGCACTGTAGCAAAATTCCAAGTTCATTGTCAATTAAATGAAAATGTTGGTTTGCTTCGTTTATTCCCAAGTATTTCGGCAGCCACAATTCGAGCATTTTTTCAACCGCCAATGCAAGGCGTTGTTTTACAAACATTTGGCAGCGGAAATATACCGTCAAATCGAAAAGATTTGATTGAAGAATTGAAAAAGGCCAACGAACGTGGTATAATCATTGTAAATTGTACACAATGCACGAGCGGTTCGGTTTGTGAAATCTACGAAGCTGGCCAAGTTTTGTGCGATGCTGGTGTTATATCCGGTTTTGATATGACACCGGAAGCTGCATTGACCAAATTAAGTTATGTTCTCGGAAAAGATGAGTGGAATTTGGATACAAAGAAACAGGTCTGTTATATTCTTTACAAATTATATAAATTGAAACATGAAAATATATTATTTACTTATTTTCAATATTAAGATGATTGAGTCCAATCTACGCGGTGAATTAACATCAACACAACCGTTGAAATTGGATGATTTTGGATTAATTGATGCAGTTGCGAGATCATTACAGTTATCTTCGCCAAAAGAAGTGTCGGAATTAGGAGAAACTCTCTTTCCAGCCATGATAAACAGTAGTGTATTATCTGGTAACACAAATAAAATCGACATGTTAAAGGGGCATGGTGCAAATTTATCAATGGTAAACAATTACAAACAAACGTCTTGGCAGCGATGTAAAAATCGACTAAAATTCAATTTTTCATCATTTTAATTTGAATTTTCCAGGTGAACCATGATCGACGTACGGCATTGCATATTGCATGCTGTGAAGGCAACGAAAAAATGGTGAAACATTTACTGGCCTACGGTGTATCTGTACACATTCGTGATAGGCACGATCGAACGGCATTGATGGAAGCAATTTCAACAGATAATCATGATATTATAAAGACTCTGGTGAAATGCGGGGCACACATGACCGGATCGTCTCGTGCATTGGGCGATAATTTGTGTGCTGCAGCTGCACGAGGACAACTTAAACGATTGACCTCATATCGATTGGCTGGAGTTAACTTATCTCAAAAGGACTTTTCTGGACGAAGTGCTTTGCATTTGGCCTGTGAGTCCAGTTCTTCTTTTTTCTTCAGTTTATTATTATTTGAAAGGAAAAAAAATATTTTTTTGTTTTCAACATTTTCTCCTACAGGTTTGCACGGACACCTAGAATGTGTGCAGTATTTATTGAAAAATGGCATTGACAAAAATTCAGTTGATCATTTAAATCTTACACCATATGACTATGCATCAAAAAGTGGCCAAATTGATATTATGAATCTGTTGATTGAGCATGGCATTCAGCCGTCCACCGATAATAATATTGGCTAAGACTTCGTGAATCTCATTTTTATTTAATAATTGTAATAAATGAATGAAATATGGCAATAAAACCAATGTAAATCGAAATATGAATATGAATATGAATATATGTGAATATAATAATTATGAATGTGTTGTTATTATTTCCCTTTGAAAACGTGCTCTTAATGACATTATTATCGTGTGCCATTGCCCATTTATCGAAATTCATCCATGAAATAACAATACAGGCAATATCGCGGTGCGATTGAATGGCTTTTCCTTATTCCGCTTATGACATCGTAGTGAATGTGTGTGTGTATTTGTGTGTGAGTGTGCATGCGCAATGGTAAACTTTTCTTGTACCCAAGACAGAGCCATAGACAAGCAAATTGACATGAGAAAGCCTATATCTAAATATAATATACGGCGAATGTATGCTTTTATATAGTTGACCCGGTTTAATGTATGTGTATGTGTTTAAATGTATAAATTTTCCACTTGCTTCATATTCTACAACACAATTATGCACCACATATGATCCATCGTTGTTGATACTGTTTGAGTTTTCCTCACCTTCAAATTTTCATACACATTGACAAAAAGATGCCGCACGCGATGACTGTGACGTAAGACCAAGAAAATTTCATCATTATTTCCGACATCGATACTCCAAGAACATGCAATGAATATGAATATGTCAACGGATTTTCTTCGAATTGAATTCTATTTCGAAACGAAAGAGACAATCTAGATAACAAATAAATTTGCAATATTTTCGTTTTCTTTTGCTTTACAAAAAAAAGTAATGCATAATTTGTGACATAATATTCACATACACGAGTTAAACCGCATACATTAATGCTATATATACACACACAAACACACTCCCACCATTCTGCAAAATACATAGATAGAGAGAGGCAATGCAAGCCACGCGCATAAAATTGTGGAAATGGATTTTTTTTTCACTCTTTAATTTATGCCTCGTATCTGCTATTGAACGAATGACTGCCTAAAGATATATTAAGCCGATGTGTATTGGTAGTAAGTGTGTAAATGTTGGGGCGACGCCGTGTATGTGTGCAAGGCACACAAGTCCGAGTCAATTTCTTCAACTGAAAAAAAATTCATTTCCTTTTCTCGCGTCGATTATTCTATTCTCTTCGGTGCGGTATTAATACAACATGGCGTTCGCATTGATTTTCATCAGCACAAAATTTTCCAATTCGCGCTGAACGCCTTTTTACATTCAAGATCTAAATTGAGTTTGAATTTTCTGAGTAACGTGTTTTAATTTCCTGATCCGGTGTGTATATACCTACTAATACAAAGTGTTTTTCATTTTTATTTTCTTGCACTCTCGCTTACTCTCTTTCTTTCACTCTCATTCTTTCGTTGTTGCTATCACCACACCAAACTAACGGTTTATTGGCAAGTATGCAAAAGGGGTAGGAAGCAATGAAAGAATTTTTTTGAACGGAAATTTAAACATAGTCAAGCACATAGATTCAAAGTTGAATGAAATTCCACATATAATTCGAGTTGCCAAAATAAATATCAAATTTTGTGCCCATCATAGTCGGGTGTAAAAGTCAATTGTTAAATTAAATTAGACATACCATATGTAGATTCCAATTAAACATTCAACCATTTATCGAGTTGAAATTTTATGTGGAATATAATCGCCAAAATAGCTGTGCAGTGAATATACACGTTTCATTATATATGACGTTTTACTCGTCATCCACCCTTAGTCATTTGCAAGTATTTCTCTTATATTTTATTTTCTCTACGAAACTTACAAGCGGCATTCAATACATTGAACATCTGAGTCATTTTTTTTTTCTTTCGATTTATCATAATTGGATAGTGACAATAACATTCTTCATTATTTATATTTTTTTCATTTTGATTCTTTGCAGATTTTTGTTAAAAACAAAACCGTTTATCAACCAGAGTGATAAAAATTTGGTAACGGAAAAACCATCGACATCCACATAAAACAAAATTTTGGAAAAATTGGAATTAATTTGTGTTGAACGAAAATTATTGCAGTTCGGCTACATAATAGTGTGTATGTTCATTGAATCGTTGTGTGAAACGTTGAAAATATTTAAAGCTTTAGTATATAACCAATATCACACCCATTCAATATAACAGGGGTAATAGATTACCTAGTTGCGCTTAATGAAGTGACAAAAAAAAAAGAAGAAAGAAACGAGAAGTGCTTGACGAAAAAGAAGAGAACACACAAAATAGAAAACAAGTCATTACAATCAGTGTAGTGTTGTTGAATATTGTTTAATTTAGAAGTTAAATACACGGAAACACATGAAGCAAAAATTCATTTAATGTCTCAGGATTGAGTGCCCCATCATCGTTGACTGCTTCATTTTGTAATATGGATGAGAAATTGTGTGTTTGAAAATCGACTTTCTTCTATTTGATGGTGGCCAACAAAGTAAGTTTTGTGTTTTGAAAATGATGGGTAGATGTGTTTGAAAATCATACAATCAATCAAGGCATCCAATGATAATTAATTATCAATAAATATCTGGAGAAAAACGATGAGAGAGAGAAAGAAAAAAAAAACGACAGAACAGAAGAATTCACAAATAAAAGGCGAAAATATGTAATATGCCTAGAAAATTAAACTGCATCTTTATATGTGTGCGTGAAAACGGCGCCATCGAACTGAACGTTTTAAGTACCCTCGAAAATGAAGCATTTTACGTCGGCAGAAAAAAAATATATTGTAACAACTGATGTCAGCCATGCGGCCTTCTTCACGTTTTGGCAAGCATGATTCATTCGTACATACACTTAATACTGCAAGCTATCGTGGAAAAACTCATACAATTAATCTGGAAAATGTTGAGATATGCGTGTGTATTTTCATGGGCTTGTATCGAAAACGCTCATAGGAGTGCTATGCTTCGTAGTTAAAATCGTATACAGCAGTAAAGTTAAGGCCAACAATAGAAAATTCAATAGGCACTAGGTACAAAATTTGCATAAACAGAAAAGTCAATTGGGAAAATGACAAATTTTCAGGCGCCATATATCACCATGTGTCAAAAAATTCACGGTAAAATGGCACTGTTTACTTAACAATTTAACACATCATAATTGTTAATACTGTGTCCAGCCAATACCCCATTCTCCACACACACACACACATTGACCTTTGCTGGTGTAAAATCTAATATTATCACTAAATGTGTTCGAGGAAATGTAATTATGTCCATCTGATAAAATGGACAGCCAATTAGCAGATTAAAATCATGATCCATTTAACTGCAGTTATCTATCAAACAATAAATATGAATAATTTTTGTAATGGACCGATAAATCTAATTACATTGGCTTATACTCAACCCTTTAGTTAAAGTTTTATTTTCCATTGTTTATTCGAAATCTTCACTTATTCAATTATCGTCATTAATATCAGTTGAAGGGTGCATTTGTAAAAATGTTGGCATTTCTTTCATTCAAATCACCAATCGTATATTCATAAATTAATTATAATTTTATTAGTTTTTCATGTTTGTTTGCTTGTTATTACTATTTTTTTTCTTTTGTATTCATAAACTTTGACAGTCGTATCATTCAGAATGTGTGACTGAAATTTATTGTTTCTCGCCACCGACTCCATAGATTAAAGTATAATAATTACAATGCAACAGTTACTGAAACGCAAAGGTTGTAATGTGAATCAAATGAAAAAGCTTAAATGGGTGGACATTTTGGTGTGCTCAAAGCAAATATTAAAAATTATCAGAAAACATGTAATACATTGTCGCTTCGATGTACCATACTCATTTCGGATAAGTGAGATTGACACAAGAATTGACAGCACAGCACAGCTGAGAATAGTAATTTCTAGCATCGTTTATTGTCGATCAGTTTTTTTTTGTTGATGTTATTGTTGTTGTTTCAACTTCATATCTATGTGGAAACACGCATAATCCTAAATTGTATACGAAATATATTAATGCCAACCGGCTAGACTAATAGACATCCTCATCGTGATGCGGTCGTCAGAACCTTCAGATGAACAGTCTAAAAATACACAATACATAACGATATATTTTCATTTCAGTGAACTTTGATTCGTTGAAATAGCAACTCCGAATTATTGCGTTGCTTCATAAATAATATAATAATACCACTGAAAATATATTGAGCACCGAATACGTATGGTTTAACGATGATTTTTATCGAATAAAAATGGTTGGAAGGTCGAACAGTAAAATTAACTTGTTCACTTTAATTCGGAATTCAGGTGAAACATATATAAATGAATATGTAAATCGATTTATTGCATGATAATAGCATTCTCATTATCGGTATAAAATTACTGATTGAACGTTTATTATTTCTACCTCTAGACGAAAGAACATAGAAACAAATGCGAAATACAAATGTTCAAAAGAAGCGTGCACTTATTTATTGGAATAAAAAAACTTGGTTTGATCGCCCATCTATAGACCTATGCGGCATGTAACAAACATAATTTCGAAATACGCACAAGGTTACGAGTACAAGTGTTCCATTGCATTTAAATTAAAACGCTCATAGTGTCACAACTGGAATCGCATAGATTTTTTTCACAACGAATTGTGAAAATGAGACAATTTTCAATTTTCAGTAGAACACTGAATCTAATACATCTTCATCATAGCTATTTAAAATGTGAAAAATCCTGTAAATATTGAATTTAAAATTAATTCGTTTCTTTTTTTCTGCGAAAAATGCAAGAACACATTAAGTTGTTTCTAACTAAAGAAACGATCAAAGTTCAGCCAAGACTTTGGTGGAGGTAAGAACAAGGTAAAAATATTAACAGTGTTTAACGCGGTGCTATCATAGCACTGCTATGTAGGCAAACGGCAATTGATTGAGAGCACCGAATGTATGAGCTTCGTATAAAACATATGAACGGAATTCCGTTAGATTTTAGTACAATACCGGTAATGAAATCGTTCGGACTTAAATCACAATTACTTAAGCTTGTAAGTTGAAATTAGTATGCAGCATTTTTATGTCACTTAAACTAAAGCCAATATAAATAAACAAAAATCAATATACGCAATCCTTTGATATAATCAATTGTTTATGATGCAAATAAAAATGAAGTGTCGCCATTTATGTGTATACATTGATAGTTATCCAACTTAGTCATCATTGTGCTATGATATTCGGTTGCACGCAACCATAATTACATGCTTTTTTTTATTGAACGCGATCATATAAAACCATTTACGTGCATTGATAATTTAATTCGAATTGGAATCAAAATATTTTGTTATTTGGTGATAGTGAGGTTTTTAAAATGAATTTATTTGCTTCGTCTATTTCGAATTGCATAGAATATTGATGTGAACCCTCAAATTTTACCATCTGCATTATATTATAACATTTAACGGTAAATAAATGCACACATTGTACCGTGAGTAGTTCACGGTGAAACTAAAGTAAGACAAATCAACATATGCCGTTAATTGTACTTGTTCGATTCAACCTTCTCCAGTTCAGTGCACTTCATATCATGCTGCATAAAAAGTAATCAAACTAATCATCGTCTAATGATCGCGATATTTGTTCAATACTAAATGCAATGTTAATAAAATATTTTAATTGGTTTGTATTTTTTTCACTTGGCATTATGTTAAAAGGTCTGATGGATTGTGGTTTGATGATCACAATGTCTAAAGCGGTATACCGTTTTTTTTAAAACAAGCACATTACTAAGTAATTTAGATCAAAAAAAAAACTGCTATGTAGCCTAAATGTTTTGTCGTCATCTAAAAAAAACCTGTCTTTGCTTCTCTTTACAATGTATCATTTCTACTAAACAAAAACTAAATTCATTTATGTTGCTAACGTTTGGTGCCAACAAAAAACTTATAAAGAATGATTCATTTAATTATATGTGTAAACAAATACAAGAAAGTTTAAAGCGATTCGCTTGTCTCTCCTATGACGAAACCGGACAAAAATGTATTAGTAATTTATCGTCGTCAACGTCATTCTTTTTCAATTTGCGGTAAAATACAGAGTTAAGATAAAGTCAAATATGTTGAAAGTTCTAACACGATTGATAATCGGTCGTTTATTTATTTTTCTAATTATTTTTTGGGACCTTAAGTCTAGTAACTGTAACAAAGTCAAATAATAACTTTTAATTTATTAGAATGACTCAATGTTTTCAATGTTTTTAATTTGAGGCTGAATTTTTGTTTAGAAAACTTGATTGTGATTTTATATAGAATCACGAGCTACTTATTTTTGAATAAGATATACTTTAAATATATCCAAAAAGAAATGATAAGATTTCATATAAAAGAACAAAATTTACATAACATAGATACAACATCAGCGAGTGATGATAAAAATTTAACGTTAGTAAAATTAAACTTGATTATAAACTAAATTTGAACAACGTTGAATTTGGCCGGACACGATTGGATGAAGTGGGTGAACGGAAAGTGAATAATAATATTGTAAATTAAATTTGAAAAACGATATTCAGTTTAATCCCAGAAACCATATTTATGGCATAATAAAAACAATATATAGTACCTGGGTTTGGTGTGAAAATACAGAGTTTAAATTGGTTGCAAACAATATCAAACTAAATAAATTGATGTGTACTGCAAAAATTACGTGTTGAATTAAAATAAAACGTTAGTTCATTGGAGCCGGTTGCGTTTGTATTAATTTTATGGAAATTATTATTACGTAACACAACTTAACTTAATTAGTTGCATCGTTTTTCTATCGTAGCCTAGTATCGCAAATGGGTCATTTTTAGCTTGTGACTTTTTCAATGGTGTATACATGTACGCAAGTTCATTGCGCCGACTAGTTCATAAATGAAAGCAATATGATTCACGTGCAAAAGTAGTTCAATGCGGATCAAACTGACATGTGCCGCGTTGGCCAATTGTGTTCATTTGCTTAAATGTTGACATTTATCATATCCAAACGAAGTGATATGATTCATTTTTAATGAAAATGTTATCTATTTCATATCTACATATTGAAATTTTTCGTTCTACATTAGATATTTTTGTTGATTGCTAACTTATTTCGATGATTTTTTTCTCTTTTATTTTTCGTTAGGTTTTTAAAACCGAATGCGCTAAAAATATATATCGTATGTAAGTGTGATGTTGTCAAGTCTGAAACGATAAACAGCTATAATATATACGTAAAATAGTAAATCCAAAAAGAATGTAAAATTTTATAATATAAAAAAAACAGTATAACGAGCAATTTAAAAGAAAGCAAATTATTCCAGAAAATTAGATTAAATTCAACTTCTAAACAATCCCGCACAACAAGGACATTTGTTAATTGAAATATTTTACGTGAAATTTTTTCGCACCGATTGAAATTGTTTGCAAACTAAAAAATAAGTGTTGAAACGTTATTTGAAATTTAAACAAAAAAAAAAAAAAAAAAAAAAAAAAACGAAGAAGAAAAGGAAAAGCATAATACGAAGCCAAAACGTACAAAACAAAAAACCATTCCAAAGTTTTGAAAATTAAAAAGAAAAAGAAATAAATTCATTTTGTTTTCCATTTGATTAATGATGATAGTTTATCTCTAATTCAAATCATTATAACGCGCACACATAATATTATTTGCTTCCTAATATTGCCGCCAATCCACATTTCTGCTAGCATCTTCCTACATTTATTCCAGCTCATTAAACTCAAATATCTAAATAACTTTAAAATTCGAAGTTGATAAAAGTTAAAAAAACAACAACAACAACAAACCACATATAAACAATATAAAATAAATCAAAATGGCAACACCACCCGAAGTAGATCAAGATCAGAATATATATGTGAATTTCGATTCAAAAGGACCCTATATATCCATACCGCAATTCTATGCCGGCCGAAGTGTATTCATCACCGGTGGAACTGGTTTTATGGGCAAGGTAATTTTTGAGCCGTTTTTTTTTTAAATTAAATCTCAACTTCTTTTGAAGTTTTGTTCATTGAAATTTCATTTTCATTTAATACTATCATTTGATGTTATTTTATGCAGGTGCTAGTGGAGAAATTGTTACGATCATGTCCGGACATAAAAAACATTTATTTATTAATGCGACCCAAACGTGGACAAGAAGTATCCATGCGATTAAATGAACTATTAAACTCACCAGTAAGTTAAATAAAATGTACCACATTTAATCTGATCGAAAAATCATGCAAATACTGATCGTTGTGATTGTTTTATTTCAATAATATAGCTGTTCGATACAATTCGCAAAGAAAAGCCAAATGAATTGAACAAAGTTACACCAATTTGTGGTGACATAACATTACATCAGCTCGGGATTTCGGAAAGTGATCAAACCCTATTGTGTCGCAATGTATCTGTAGTGTTTCATTCAGCAGCAACAGTTAAGTTCGACGAAAAATTAGAGCTATCTGTTAAAATCAATATGTTAGGTACAAAACGTTTAGTTGAATTGTGTCATCGGATGTTGAACTTAGACGTAAGTGGTTCTATTATTTTCATTTCATTCGATTTCATTGAATGAATTTTAATTTTGAATACTTTTCGTTCAGGCACTTGTTCATGTTTCAACCGCGTATTGCAATTGTGATCGAACTGAAATCCAGGAAGTAATCTACAAAACGCCGTACGATCCAGCCAATATTATTAACTTGATAAGTTGGCTGCCAGAGGATGTTTTAGACAAGGTATTACGAAATGCATTCGAATTTCATGAAAACAAAGAAATTTAATAATTATTGCTTACATGCAGCTAACACCATTGCTGATTGGAAAAAGGCCAAATACATACACGTTCACGAAGGCACTCACCGAGCAAATGCTGCTTGAAGAAGCTGGAAATTTACCGGTAGCTATCGTCCGACCATCAATAGGTAATTTTGAATAGACCGATGAAAGTGAATGGGTCCAATTTCAATTGAATTTGGTGGTTGATTTGATGTTATTCCTCTCTCTCTCTCTCTCTCTCTCTCTCTCTCTCTCTCAAAGTGATTGCGTGTTTTAGTGAGCCGGCTGCTGGTTGGTTGGACAACTGGAATGGACCGACTGCAATAATATCAGCGGTTGGTAATGGCCTCTTCCGGACAATAATATGTGAAAAAGATTTTTTATGCGACGTAATTCCCGTTGACATCGTTATAAATCTGGTAATAACAGCTGCTTGGAGAACGGCAACAACCAAATCACGTGACATGAAAATCTATAATTGCGTGACAAGCCGACAACAACCAATTACATGGGGTGAATTTGTGGGTTATTCAATACAGAATATGATTCGACATCCGATGGAAGGTGTTATATGGTATCCAACGGGCGCCTTACGCATGAATCGCCTCATAAATGCTGTACAAGGATACTTTGTACACTACATTCCAGCCTATTTTCTCGACATGTTTGCTTGGGCCATGGGAAAGAAACCAATGTAATTTTCCGTCTCAATTACCATTTTAAATTATTCACTGTAATTTTTTGTGGTTTTGCTTCCATTTATAGAATGATCAAGATCCAGAATAAATTGGAGAAGGCAGTTGGTTGTTTAGAATACTTCACAACACATCAATGGCGTTTCACCGATGACAATGTTCGTGAATTGCTTACGCATATGAACACAAGTGATCGAAATACGTTTCAATTTGATGTTACTCAGATTGACTGGGATACTTACTTTGAGCGATATATTCTAGGATTAAGAGCATTCTTATGCAAACAAAATCCGAAAACATTGCCAAGTAGTAGAAAAAAAATGACAATGTAAGTTTGATTGCCGTATGGAAAAATTATTCCATCGAAAATAAATTCCAATCAATTTAATAATCATTTTTTTTAATTTGAAATTTTCAGATTATACAGTGTGCACCAAATGTCCAAAATTCTCATAGTAATATTCACATGGCGATTCTTGATGGCGCGATCAAAGAAAATCCGTGACGCATGGTCGGGAATTCTGCGCATTATACTCCAAACTTTAAGTCTTTTACCATTCTTTTAAAATAGTAGACAGTTCAAAAACAGAAAATTAATATTTATATAACATTGAGTCTATCCCAAATAAGCACAACCAGAGACATATATATATATATAATATATCATATATATGTGTGTGCTGTTTGGTTTGTGTAGATTAAAATAAAAAGAAAGGAGAGATTTGGTGTGCGGGATTTTTTAGGCCTTTCCTTTGTTATTCAATAACGAGCAAATGAACATTTATAAAAAAAGCAACATATTGAGCATGCTTCCAAATCGTCTTCAATAGATTTATATATACATCATATAAATCGCAATCTATTTTCAAATGCATTTTATACGAAAAAGAAAAATGCTATCTGAAACTGAAAATGTCTAATAAGATTCTCACACAGTAATTGGAATTTCATTGGTATTCTTGAGTCATATGCAAAAAAAACCTGAATCATTGGCTTAAAATTGTCAACATATGTGCGGCTAAAAGCTTGCCATTCTTCCAAATATATTTATTGTTTATTTTAAAATCCTGTTCAATGCAATGGGTCATTCATCTTCTGAAACTTGTTAAATTCATTTTTTTTTTCTCGAGTGTATCGCACACAAAAAAAGAGATATAATTTCCGTTTGATATGCCACCATCAATTTGGATTGTGTTCATAATGCTAACAATTTAAATGAGAAACGCTCACAGCATTTTGGCCTGTGGTAGTTAATTTCTATTTTAATGTCATAGCTTTTAGAGTTTCCCTGCCTAATTTAAATTATTAAGTAGAAATTCATTTATTACCATGTCTAACATGGGCACATGTATTTATCAGTAAAACAAAATGAATTGAATAAAATTTCTGTAAGAACGTGATTCAGGTTAATCAATTCTGTTGTTGTACTAAATAAAATAAATTTTATCCCAGGGAACAAAAAAAAACATAACAATTTCCCTTCCCCGAATGTAACAATAACAATATTCGCTTAATGATAACGCTTCCAGCCGTTTGTTACTCCCAATAAAAAAACATTATTGATAATTTTGAATGAAAGTGGTTATTTGTAAGGGATATAGAGTTAAATTTGCATACTAGATATTAATGAATTAACTATGCTAGTTCCCAGAAGAACAAGAAAAATAAGAGGAAAAAAATACAAAATCTACTGTACAAACGAGCGCATAAACACACAAAAGTTGTCATTCGAAATTTCCATTGTATAAAAAAAATATATACGATATTTGAACCGCCTAGAATAAATCAGCATTACTAGATAAATGTTCAGTAACGCATTTGAAGACATTTATCTAGTAATGTTGATTTATTCTAAGGGATTCATTTATGTATATCAATAAAAGAATTCATCCGATTTCCAATTGATTTTAATTTGATTTTGTGAAAGATTTACTTTCATAACAGAAACGTGAAATCAGACGATCTTTATGTTTTTTTTTTTTTTTTATTACATTCATACACAATAAGGAAATTCCGCCAAGTAGTAATTTATAAATTTTAACCAATAGTTACAAAAAAACAACAACAACCGATCCAATAATCAATGCAAAAGAAATGTTCGGCAGACTGAGATTAGGCATCTGGTAGTGTGTCCAGTTTTAAGCTGATAAACATTTTTTGCGTTTTCAGTTAGCGCAAGAAAGTGGTGCAAAGTCAATTTGTTTGCCCAATAATGGACAATTATATTCATAAAATGTAGTTACGAATAAATTCATGACCCACGAAGAATAAATGAAATACAAATAAAATTAAATACATGACATTAGTGATAGATTTTAATCAATAGGAAATTTCAAATGCAATGGTTATGCGATAATTGAACTGGTTTTTGTACACACAATTATATTCAGCCGATATGAAGATGAGTTTTACAATATTATTATTATTATGGTTTATTTATTTGCTAAAAAAATCCAAGCGCAAGTGACTCATTCCTTTTTGAACAAACTTTTCATTTTAAAATAGTTTCATTTTACAATTACAAAGAAAAAAACATTACTATTTTATAAATGAACAAAGACGCATTCAATATGTGCATATTTTTCTTTCTCTCTCGATGGATTGTCATTTGGAACATTTTATTTGGGTTGTAAAAAAAATTGATGAGTAAATTATTTTATTTAATGGGACAAAAAACTCGCTGTTTTATTATAACTTTTTACGCCAAGAATACTACTTTTTTTCAAAGAAAACAAAAATCTAATTCAAACATACACTGCCAGTTTTTGGCCGTAGAGCTTAATGTGAAACGTGGAACCGTACTATTAATATTTTGAATTTTTGAGTGAAGAGTTACAATTTTTTCAAAATTAATTACACCTTGAAAATTGACTTTGCCAATATTTTCCTCACATTGCCTCAACGGCTACCTATGCACTGCCACTTCAAAAAGTTGGTAAACCCTTATAATTTATATACCATTCAAAAGGTAATTTTATGGGGATTCTAAAACAATTTTTATCTTCACTTAACTGCAACTTATCTTCAATAAATTTCCCCTTGAAAGTTGACTTTGCCAATATTTTCACAAATTTGGCCTCAAACGGCCACCTGGGAAACACATTCACAATTTTGATTGGCTAATAAGCTATATACCGTTGGAAAGAGGGCTTCAAGAGCTATCATCTGGCAAAGTTTCATCAAAATCATAGAACTAGGTTGCTTGCAATAAGATTCGGAAGCCGATTTTTCTCACAATTTTTCATATTTCGGCCAAACGGCCAGCGTAAAACGCCATCAAACCTGCCGAAAACTCCATAATTTATATACCATTTGAAAGGTAATTTTATAAGGAATCTAAAACAATTTGGTGCGACAGGTGACTCCAACTTTTTTTCAACAAGTTTCATCTAGATCCAAAGTAATCAAATTAACACTAGAGTAAAACTCATTTATTCCATCTTTTATCCACCCAATACAGTAGCAGAGAAACGTAATTCCTCCCGAATCCATTCGTTATCCACTCAATAAATGGTGAGTGGAATCGAAATATTTTTCAAAGTGGAATCCAAAAAAGAGGGTCCATGAATGAAAAAATTAAATGGGGAGAATAAAAAAATACGTCTGGAGGGTTTTTCATGCCCTATCGAATGCCGAAAACCCGAACTCTCTATCTTTTCTGGTTTTCTCTAAAATCACTGAACAAACACATATATCTTACTATATATGTATAAAACTACGTTTCACATTAAGCAATATGGTAAGTTAAAAATAATAAACGTCAAAATAATCACTGCGTTTTATCCACTTCAACATCAATGAAAGATAAATGTCAAAAAAAAGAAGCATGGTGAACTCTTATGTCAAACCATTTCAGTTTGTTTGGAAGCCCAATATTTTACATATATGAACATCAATAGTTGAGTTGAAAACAGAAATTTAATGACATATTACAGTGCCGTGAAGTTGGCTGCGTCTCCCAACTATCACCGCTGCGGCGCTCTGCAAAATATGTCTGTCACAATATATGAAGCGTCAGTAAAAGTTAATCATTATAACTCATTACGTTTGCCGCTCAAATGACGTCAAAATGTCTGGAGCTAAAAGACTCAAAGTGGTTTGTTTTTTGTTTTTTTTTTTTTTTAGTTTGGAAAATAAAAGTAAAAGTTTTAAATATTTTATTTATTTCTTCAGACTTCAGGAACGGAAGAAACGGACACCGATAGCGATATATGCAAACCATCACTACCGCTAAAACGTTCACCACCATCTACAAACATTTCACGTACATCACAAACATTTGCGTTGTCCCTGTATAACCTCAAGCTGTAAGATTTACAAGAAATTTCAAATTTGAATATAAAATTTAATACATTTTCCTCTTTTATAGCCAATTAACAAAGGAAAAAGATGCAGTCTCAGCCGCAAATTATGCTATCAATTTTATCAAAAAGGCAATCGTATCAGACTGGATTGTTAAAATGTAAGTTTATCGATGTTGTGGCTTAATGTTTTATAAAAATTCTATTTTTCGTTCATTTTAGGCAAGCAATTTTAGAGAATATTAAGACCAAAAAAGGTATAGTTACATCGTCAAGTGGTTCGGATAGTAGCAAGACTTCAGGAAGAAAAAAGAAATGTGGAAAAATACAGATTGAACGGGTTACAACGATGGAAGCAATATCGAATAATGGAGAACAATTTGCAATGGCGTTTTATGAATTTTACTTGTAAGAATATTATCGGATAAAATAGCATTTTCAAATATAATATGTATTTTTTTTTAAATCTGCCTTCTAGACATGCTATTGACATCACACGTCCAAATGAGCGACGATACAATTACTGCAAAGATGCTTTGACTGCTTGGAAAATAATATCAGGAGTGTTGAAAGAATTGTATGCTTTTTTGTTATACAGTACGTTTTTTTTTTCCATAAGGTTCCAAATTGCGCCAATAATTTGAAATATTCAAAAGATCTCTATGGTGTCGCTAGATGAGACTCTAAGCTACACTGACAATTAACATTGACAGCTGTCAAGTCAGTACAGTGTTTATTGTGCAACGCAATTATGAATTCGGAATATTTTCATAAGCGTTTTGAAGCGGTGTTTTTGAATTTGCATCCAAAAGGACCAGAATGGTCACCAAAAAAGATCGCAAAATACCTTAATAAGTCAGAAGGGTTCGTCGAGCACTGGATCCAGCAGTATAAGCGTGAAAAAAATGTGAACGATCAGCCCAATGTTAAGCCAAACCGAGCCACCTCGCCAAAGCAAGATAAGCGGATAGTCAAGTTGTTCGATGAAAATCCAGGTATGTAATTGAACCAGGGCGTTGAACGGCTACGGCGTCTTAAAATAGAGGTCTCGCGCTCCACACTCAAGACAAGATTAGATACTGCCGGTGTTCGTTATCGCAGTACGTTGAAGAAACCACTTTTGACAGAAAACCAGAAGAAAAAACGCATTGACTGGGCAAAGCAAAATTCAACGACCGATTGGAGCAAAGTTATTTACACCGATGAGTCATCGTTTTGGCTGGTGAATAACACTACCCATGCCTGGTCTCGGGACGAAAAGAGAGTGGTCGTTCGCACGGTAAAGCACCCGCAAAAGGTGCATGTTTATGGATGCTTCTGTGAAGCTGGTTTTGGAAAGTTGACGGTATTCACAGACATTCTAAACGCCGTGAGGATGAACAAACTTTATTCATCAACACTGTTACCCGCCGCCAAGAAGTTCTATGGCAACAGCAATTCGAATTGGCTTCTATTAGAAGATAATGATCCAAAACACAAAAGTCGTCTTTGCACCGCTTGGAGAGAGGAAAATGGAATAAAACAAATGATCTGGCCACCACAGTCACCCGATTGCAATCCGATCGAAAATGTTTGGGCTATTATTAAGGCAAGGCTTCGCGGTAAAACACGCCGCAATTTGAAGCAGCTCAGTTCATTCATTCAACGAAAGTAGAAAGGTTTTCAACGCGATTATGCTGAAAACTTGAGCAAAAGTATGCCCAAAAGATGTGCCCGTGTGATTGAGAAAGACGGCGAATGGATAAAATATTAATTATTGTCAGGGTAGCTTAGATACTAAATAAAAAGTATATAAAATAATTTCGTAAATCTCGTGAGTTTTATTAAAATTATGGAACCTTATGGAAAAAAAAACGCACTGTATATTCATTTCATACAGAAATCATAATATATTAAAAATTTATCTTCATTCTAGGAAACAAGCAATTGAAAAAATTGAAGCAACGGAAACGGTCGAACCGATCGATGATTAAATGAATCCATCACATGCACCATTTCAGAAAAAGGAACTTCATAACCGAATAATTTTTCACTTTAATTAATTAATTTATAAATTAGGAAATATCATTCAAGATCTCCAATACGATGTTAAAATTATAATAAACTATTTTCTCTTTGAAACTAGAAAACTGTTTAAAATTTTATTTATTTATATGATGAAAACTTATTAAACTGTCACAAATGTTTTAAATATAATCGATTCCCAATTTTGAATATTCCAAAATGTTAATGCTCCATTTTTTCAGCGTCAGTCTGAATGTAAGCTTCGGTGAGTATAATTATTTGCGGTAAGATATTTGTAACATGCAAATCTTGCATTTCATACCATTGACCAGTTGATTTTTGTAAAATGTGCACACGATATGTACCTTTGTTTGAAGGTATCGATGTTGAAAAAAAGCCGAGATGCAGTACTGGAGTTCGTGTGGTGAAAGAGAATCCAAAATCAAGACAATGTCCGTATTTAGATACAATAAATCGAAATTCAAAATTGATTATATTCAATAAATTTGTAACAGTTTCAATCATAAGAATAAACAATTTTCTGATTTGAAAAACAAAATAGTTGATGTTTATTGTTAGCATCTTTGAATTGGTTTGCATGCAATAGTATATACAGGAAATAGACCTTGAATGAAATTTTCTTGTTTACAAATTCTTACAATGCGTAAATTACTCGATTCTAAAATTCTTTTAAAAATTCGTAAAGATCGTGTCACAGACGAGTCTACTGCATCAATGCAAAAATCATCGGTGGATGTAAAGTTTTCTTTGATTACAATGCATCCGTCTTTGGTGAGACCGCTTGTACATCGTTTGAAATATGCACATAAATCATCATCAGTCAGATGGCCCAGAACCTGTCGAGTGAATCAGAAGAGAAAATCGATTTAATGGATAGCTATTTTTAAGTAATGGAATAGTCATTTTTAAGTGATGTTTACCCATTGGCACCAAATGATATCGTATGTGTTTTCGGTTGGTGTAAAATCCTGCAGACCAACATTATAAATTGTTCCAATTTTCTCGTTCAATTGTCCATTTACACTGAGGTAATCGTTAGCTTTTCGAACAAAGTTTTCATCTTGTTCAACGAGATCTACACATTTAAAGTAATTGATTAATAGATTTTTTGTAACACGGCCAATTCCAGCTCCACAATCAAGAGCACGATGTGGATTTGGTGGTGGTTTCATTTTAAATAAATCCTTTAGAAAACGTGACGATCCTTGAACATCAGTCGTATCAATCATAGATAATCCTCCTAACATGCCATCAATTGTTGGTGAAATCTGCGACCAATATCGTTGTGCATTTTTATAAAATCCGGGCGATTTAAAAAACTCATTTGCTGTTGGTGGCACAGTGTCAATGCTTTCACTCGAATCGTTTCCACTTTCATTGGCTGGTTCGAAACGATTGTTTTCCAAATTTTCAATCATTATTTAAAAAGCTCGTTTTTTCAACACTTTTGAAAACTTAAACACTGTTTGGTTTTAATACTTTCTAAATTGTTTCTAAATAAATGAGGTAGTGTGTCATTTGTCACGTTCTCATTCAATTTGAAAATAAATTCACAGATGGCGACACCCGTAGCGAATGTCTAAACAAGATTTAACTTCGACTAATTATAATATTAGTCACAAGAAAGAGAAAAAAAAACTTGACAAACCCACAACAAAAATACCAACGTGTGAAAATGTTGACGTTTTATTTACAGTAAAAATAAATCTATCAATGTCAATAATATACATGTAAATTTCGTCGTTTGATTTTTATTCTAGTTTTGATAATTTGCATCGTAATTGTATTCGTACCGAATCAAAAAAAACTATTGTTTTTTTTTAATTCCTTTCGTTCGTTTCGTTGTTAATATTTTATTATTGAATATTTAGGGAAAATATATAACTATATAAATACAAATTTCTGCAAAAGCAATGGTGAATTGTCTGTGATTATATATCTTTACGTGAACTGAAAAGAAGATGAATTCTAGCGATAAGTTGAATGTATTAGGTTACATAGTTACGTTGCTAATTTTACTATGCTATTGTGCAAACGCTTCAGGTATGATGGATAAGGTGGCTGATGATTTTCGACATATTATTCTAGATAAAATGATATCATTTCTGATTTCGATTCATCATAAACTCTCACGAAAAATAATAATAATAATAATTTGATAAAATAGATCAGTGGAATGGAAACTGGTTTCCGAAGAAACCTGGTGAGATTGATCCGATATTAGACAATAATAGCATTGTTGGCGATGACAACCAAAATAACCACGACGTTGACAATGATATCAATAACAACAAGAGCAGCAGCAGCAGCAGTACCAACCAAATCGATGGCAACTTGATTTATACCAAAAAAATGAAAACCATGGGTATCACCGATTGCTTTCTATTATTTTTTAATGCTTATTGATTCTTTTGATTCTTTTCATTATCGTCATTCACATCCATACATTAACTCTAGTACTATTTATGTACTATGAGATTTCCGAATGATGACGATGATGGAAAATGAATGGAGGATTGAGTCATAGGTGATTGGAAACTATTCCAATGTAAAAAAAAAGTATAGCTTCACCTCACACATGCAATTTCATTTCCATTGTTTCGATTATTTGTTGATCATTTCTATTCATATATTTTGTGATTCTTCCCTAGGTATCACCGACCCAAAATGTGACGACGCGGAGGTACATATTTCAATGTTAATTTGCTCTCGAACATTGTTTTAATAACATCTATTTATTTCTTTTTTTTATTCAGACAAATTTATGGATAGATTACGATCCTAAGAATATATCACATCACGATCGTTTCTTATGCATGCAGAATCGTAAACCATTTAATCCAAACCCAAATACTGAGCCCATTTTAAGAGAATATACCATTCCAGTGGAGTACTCTGTAAATATTCGAATCAAATTTAATTAGTCTATGAATTGAATATGAAATGAATCTGCAATGTAATACGTTTATTTTTTTTAGGCTTTACATCGTTGCATGAACGAATCAATAAGCTATGATTATAATATTCCAACATTGTAAGTACTACAAAATTGTGAAAATATGCCAGTTTCTCAAATGGACAATAATGAAAAAAAAAAATATATATGCAAATGTTTCAGTGGTACACATCGGCCAGTGTGGCCTGTCTATGGTGAATATAGCTATGTGCCCGTACAAAGATGGCTCCATAATTTGGAACATGGTGCCATTGTTGCTGCATACCATCCATGTGTAAATATCCGTCAATTGGATCTCTTCCGGAAATTAGTTAAGAAATGTTTATATCGTCACATAATTACACCGTACGAGAAGTTGGCCGCAGAGCGACCATTCGCATTAATTGCATGGGGTCGAAGCTTGGAAATGTCTGTAATTGACATTGACATTGTTGTCGGCTTCATACGAATGAATGCACTACAGGGACCGGAAAAAACTTCTCGCAACGGTCAATACAGTAGCGGACTCATTGGTCAGGCTCAACATGTTTCGGATGCAGATGATAACAATTTGTGTCCACTCATGTAAAGCAACCATTAACAGGAACAAAAAAGCAAACAAACAAAAAACACAAAAGTTTTAGCAATTTAGCCGCGTCGCATTTAATTTTGTACAATTGGTTCTGAAGAGTTGTAGATCTTAAAAAAAAATAATGAATTTAGCTTAGACGTAGATCGTCGGCAAAACTAAAACTGGTAAAACAGAGAAAATATTGCCTACATGAAACAAGAAAATCAGATGCTTCTCTGCTATGGATTGAAACCTGCTTTTAGCCGACGATAGACTATTTCTATATAAATATAGTAATGCGGACGATTATAAGCGCCTTTACGCTTCTTTACATTGCATCACACAGGATAACAAAATATGAGTGATAACAATCCAAGAAACTACGGTTTTACACACAAATTAACATTCCAATTAACGATGATAATCTTACAATGTACCTAAAAAACAAACCTATACTACTGTTATAATTATTTTTCGAGTTGACAATTACTATTTATAGTGCAATAAAAATAATTTATTGACAATGAACTCGATTAGACAAAGACGAAATGAACATACAAATATTTGAATTAACAAGAGTTTTTAGACGACTGTTGGTTACAGTGCCTTTCAATGTTGAAAGAAAAACAATCCAAAAAAAAACAACAAATTGTGTCTTTTTTTAATGCAATTCTTATATGCTAAAACTTTCACTTTTTTATTTTTCTTTATCCAATTTGTTTTAATTCCAAATCTGCTATGAGATGAATAAAATTATTCTATATTGATCAATTGTTGAAAATGGATTTTCTATTTTTCTTATGCCTACAGCCCACTTGAGTTAATATTTCTTTTATGAAGTTTTCAGTTCATCGAATAATTTTTTACACATTGATGTGTATATTCATTGATGATTCTGATATCAATCGACTAATAATCGAAAACGAGATAGTTTTAGTGGAATGTCTCATATTTTTCGCTCTATAAAAACTACTTCTATTGAAAAAAAAAAAAAAAAACTGAAATTTTGATATACAAAAAAGATTTTATCTTTGATGTTTAAGTTTCAGCAATGACGATGTAATAAATATTTCCAGTGGATTTCAATTGGATGAATTTCAAATGTTTTCAAATTATAATTTAAATACAATGGTATAAAAAATGATATCCAATAAAAATATGGGACGGTATTTCGTTTTTGTGAAAATTTTATTATAAAAATCATTAATTAGCATATGTAAACTGTCAGTGATAACGAATGGATAGTGTTGCAAAGCGATAAATTGAGCTATTCGGATCTCGAACTAATACTTGATTTAATTTTCGTTTCTGATTCACACCTAACTTGGCCAATTCGCGAATGCCATTTACCGTAACATAGCCCACACCTGATACTTTTGCTTCATGGAACATAAATTGACATTGTGTCAAATAGCCAAAGACGTCACGTGTGCATTGTTTACGAATCGCTTTAGGCGCTGATGGTAACCATAGTTCACACATTCGATCGTATTGTAATTTTGTTTGCTTTGTTGTATGTGACGGCGCAATAATTACTTTACGATCTACAAACTCCTGTTGTTTGCGTTTAACACGAACTCGTCGACGTCGCAAACGTTTTAGCATTTTTAAATGATTCAATCGTAAGAGTTTCCGTTGGGTTTCATTTACGTCAATGGCCACCGGTTCAGACAGTACTGGTCGATTTATAAATTCATTTCGATTTTTTTCATTGTTTCGAATATCCTGTTTCTTTGGTAAACAAATAATAGAGAATTTTTTCGCATTACCACGACCATTCATCGCAAGTGAAACTGGAATCAAACAATTTTCATCGATATCGGTCAGATTTCGTTCTTTTCCAAGTAAAAATTGATTGATTTTGTTCAACTTGTTTTTGTCACGCAATACATAGTATTTGGGTTCGGTTGGCGATGAAGTATTGCACCATTCTTGTATTAATTGCATCCATGGACATTTGAACGGGCTAGCTATTGAGAGTTTCAGGTAATTTTGACGTTTATTCGGTGGACTACGAAAATATCTAGAAAGAAATAAAGAAATGATTTTATTAACTGATAATTAAATTCAGTATATATATAAATGAGCAAATTACTCACTTTTTACGTAGTTCATTCGCCATTAAATTTGAATTAACTATAGACGATGTGGTGTCGGGCAAAAATTCATCCTCTAATGCTTCGCGAGCTACGGTTTCCATTTCACGTAGTGCACCGGGTTTTGCACCCCACATTATTAAACACATCCATGTGGAAATGCCATAACCAGGTGGTACAATCACATCGTAGCCATTGCCATAGCCAAGATTCTTTGGATCCTTGGAACCGGGTCGTTGTATTAAAAGTACAGGCACCGCTTGTAATTTATTCTCAAAAGCACATCGTTCACCCGGTACAAGAATATTTTTATTTCGTTGAACGCAAATTTCATGTGTTGAAACTTTCTCATTTTGAATACGTTCACATTTATTGCGCTCCCATAATACACTGTCTCCATTGAATTCTGGTATTGTACAACAAACGTCGGCACCATCATCCATTGGCGAATCAATAAGTGGAAGTGCTTTGGTTCTTTTCTTTGGACGATTTATGCGTGGGTCTTCAATATTCAGACCAAGTATCATTCCGGGTGGTAAATCAATTGCAGATTTAATATGTTTTAAATCATTCCAGTGTTTCGTTTGTGTTTGGTGAATCTTACGATTTTTCTCTTCCATCAAATAATCGACAAACCATGTTTTCTCCTCCGATGTGGATGTAATTTTTGGCTTAAACGCTGCTGTTAAAACAGCATGAGACAATGGTCCAGTTAAGCGAAAGCGATTCAATTGATGCCTCATTTCGTACAGTTCCGCATTGATTGTATTATTCATGTGTTTCTTTACACCATTTTCAAGGTCATCTTGCAGCTCTAATTCAAACAGTTCACAAAGTTCATCGACTAATTTTTGATATACCGATGGATGTGCAAATAGCCACAACGTACGCAGTGCATCATTGTCATTTTCACGTTTCCAAATGAATTGAAATCGACCCAATGCACCGTATGGATATGCATCAATGGAAAATAATTCAATCGTTCCTTCACGTTGACCGCCAACATAAGCTTTTGCACATAGACCCAAGTCCGGTGTTCGGCCACGCATACGTTCAAATTTATTTCGTAGCACATCTAATGGCCCACGTATTTCGATGTTGCCAACATACGAAATGTCTTGGATGAGACAATGTTTCATTGTTGCCCGATATGATGATCGAAATGTTTTATCACAAGATGATTCGGCTAGTTTGTAACCCCATTTTGATACCATATGAAAACGTTTGGCATGCCAAATGTGCGTTTCTAGCCAAATATTTGCCCTTTGCCGTCGTTGATATGCTGCCAAAATATTCGATGGTTTGCGTCGATATTTTCGTGATGGACGTTTTGTCTGGGCCGGTGCACCGCTTTTGCTCATCTGTGCACGATGTGCCAATCGATATTTTCGTGGTAAACGATTCGGGTGATGTGACATTGCTCGTCGACGCATATGTTTTGGCAATTTTTGGAAGACCAATTTTGTACTATTCGGATTGGCAATGGCTGATGTTAGGCTCTTTATTTCGTTAATCCGTTGATGACAATGATTGAAAGTTGTTATTTCATTTTCTACTCGTGTATTACCGCCAACTGCTGCATCATACTCGAATTTCTCAACAATTTTTGGTAAATTTCCTTTTTTCAATTCACTCCCATCCATTTTCACACGAAAATAATTTTTTTTAGCTTCTCTATCAATGTTCACAACACTTCTATCAATAATTTATAAGCGTATTTTGTTAAAATACAAAATATAACATGAGCGCAACTGAAAACCTTATAAACAAACAATGTGTTTAAAAAATTAAGGTTAGGTTCTGACAGATTAAATTAAATAACATTGTCACACACTTGACACTTCTTTTGTGGAATTCACTCAAAAACATATGTACTCAATTGAGTAATAAAATTAACATTTGTAACGATTTTTTTTTCTCATTCGATTTAAAATACAATTGAACACCTTACAATGTTCAATAGATACAAAGCTCGCATTGAACTTTAATAATGATCACCGGATTTTGCTTCCTGTTTGTAAACAATTGATAAGAATGACTGTATGCTTTTATTTGCGGTTGAAATATAGCTGTGAATTTGTGTTCTCGAGACATCCAAGGATCATCCCATGAGCAATTTAATCTTTGATATTGAATTCTAAAAAAGGCTTCATAATCGATTTTCAAAATGATCAACACAAGAAATTAACTATTTAGAAATGTTCAAAACCAGTTTTCGTACTAGGGTAGAATTCTCAAACGAAACACTTATGGATGAAAATACCTATCAAAAGAATTAACCATGGTTATAAATAGAATGTCAAAGAAGAAAACCGAAAGAAACGAGTCTGGTCTTAAAATATCTTCATCTTTAACATGTGTGTGCATACGTATACAACTTTTCAGGAATTTCAGTTAAAAAATACCCATACTTTTTTATTGTTGTTGGTATTTTTTTCGATGTTTCTGTTACTTTGTTTTTGTTGATGATTGTGTATTTTTCACATCGTACCTGTATTCTTTTGTATGAAGTATCTGAATTGGATAAACCAGGCGTAATACTGATTTTTTTCTAAATAAATGTGAAAATTCAATCGACTCACTTTTTACATATATATAAAAAGCAGATTTTAGATATTGTTCTGTTATCGTAAAAATGAACAAAAAAAATATGAAACATAATCGGTACATTGTCGTACAAATATGGTATGTTTGTTGATTGTAAGCAATGTATTATTTATCCCGGAAACTGTTGTTGTTGTTTCTCACGGCGAAAAAGATAAATTTTATTGACAGCTCAGGAAGATCAACGATATTACAATGATGCTTAGTATAGAAAACAAAGTTTGTTTAATTGTGGCGCAAAGATTATCAGTGTGTGTTGCACGTTTTTCTTGAAAACAGAAACTTATTCGAGCATAATTGCATTTGAAGCTCACTTGAGTATATTAACGCAAAACAACGAGGCAATGGTGACGTTCGTATATTTATATTTAGTCACGCAGAATTGTTATTAAAAAAATCAAAATAAATTAAAATTCATACGTTCGCGAATAAATGCTATTGTCATTTGACTGTTCATCAAAGTTGTGCAGAAAAGTATATGTATAAAATTTTGCTGAACAATAAAAAAAAAAGATATGAAATATACAAAATAAACCAACACATATCAATGCTTCGCTCGCATGTTTTGTAAACAAAGTGCATGCACTGAAATATACCAAAATTGACTGAGTTACACACTTACAAAATTTTGCAGAATTTGAATTTCTATATGACACATTTAAGTACAAAGTTGTGTCGAAAACAAAGACTTACACATTTTACACTTTACGTTCGATACCAGTTCAAAGATACGCTTCATCCAAGAGATTTATGTGTCAACATTTTCGAATAATTCTGGTTAAATTTGAGCAAAATTTAATTATCATCGTGACTAAAGCTAAAAACAATCAGCATATGCACTGAAAAGAAGATCCAATAAATAAGCTATGCGTGCGATATGCTTTTTATGATGTGAGTTTTGTTTTTTTTTTTTCATTGTTGTCTCCAAAATTATGCATAATAAGCACATACATAAAATGAAGTTTTATATTTAGATAAAAAAACGAATAATAAAATTATATGAACAAAAAAATCATTTCTAGGCTTTCGTATCGAACACAAATGAATATGGAAAATAATTATATTATTTCGAATAAAATTCAACTTTCCTATGGCAGCCGACAAAGTGGTATTAAAGAAAGATGTTACCTATGAGTACACCGTTCAGCAAAGAGAACACGAAATCAGTGCGAGAATAATGTGTGACGCAAAATAATTAATTGAAATATCTGATATATGTAACAACTAATCACAAATATACAAATAAAATACCTATAATCCACGAATAAAATTTCCTTTCATTTAAAACAATGTGCACGTGTATGCATATCAATTGCGTTAAATGATCCAGTACGATTACGTCCCCATTAAATCGTTTAAGACACATAGAATACGATTCTTAAAACTGAATCGCAGACACTTTAGCAAGATCAAGAACCATTTTAATTGTCGATCGAGACCTGTCAGCGCAGCATTCTCGATAAATACTAAATTATAGGTAAAGTGTTACACACTGGATAAAAATAAAACTACTTTAAAGTGGACCAAAGACACACCAAGTATAAAAAATCTTGAATTTCCGGATATAATGAAATAGGTTTTTCTCTTGGTAAAAACTTCAATTTATCAGTGAAACTAATGGCATTTTCGATTGATTGTGTTAAGAAAAATCTCAAACATATAATCAGGCCATAAGGTTTACACATAATGTGCAATTTCTATGCAATAAGAAAGTAAACAAAAATGCGTTTATAGACGCGTCAATCGGATGTGCTTTGTATGCAAGCTAAGAGAAAAAAAGAGAGATTGGGTTTATTCCACTGTGTTACATACACAGCTTTTATGTTTTAACATGGTGGTGCTGGTGCTGGTGCTGTAAACAGAAATCGTATGTAATCCGACAACTATTGCAAATGTTTCAAGTAAAATGGCCTATCATAGTTTAAGATTGACAACAATAAAAGCAATTTGATGTGAACAAACGGCAATTACAGACGAGAGAAAAGACGCACCGACAAACATCGGTACAATTATTGCCACAGCACAGTTGAGCGCACAGAAGAAAATTAAAAAGAAAAAACATAACAAAGATCGTGTAGTTGTTGCTTATTTTTTTTATATTAAATAAAAAAAAAAATTGCGTTGAACACAGCATAAAGGCCAGTTTGCTTTCGACTGCTGTGATCAAGATACTATATACTGAGACGCAGTATATGTTAACGTTCATTCGCATACAACACACTGAAGACAGCACACCTCAACTGAAACACCACACTACTGAACATCGATTGACTTTCAATTAAATTCCGTTTTAAACATCTCTGTAACGGACGGATATTTAAGCGCGTTTGTTGTTTTAATTGTTCAAAAATTTACATTTTTTTTTCGTGGCCCGTTTAAATGACATATAAAATCAATTTCATTTAAAATTTGAATCAAAACGATTGGAATCGATTTGGAAAGTATTACAAATTTTCCTGTTTGGATGAGTGTGTTTTATTTCGATCGAAATTCTGCAAATAGGGAAAAAAAAGGAAAAAGACAAAGAGAAATAATTTGTTTGCGTATGAATTTTATTGAAGTGAGCAACGTTAATTAATTTTTATTAAAAAGAAAGTTTAAAGAAAAGTTGTGTGAAAAATCAATTATAATACATTTTATGTGATCAGCAGCAGCATCATTCGAATAAAATTTGAAGAAGGTAAGTGACCCATGGTTCATTGGCTCATCTATAAAAAAAGAACGGTCTTTAAATGACAGTCAATTGAGTGATTTATTTAATCTGAAGTGAAATAGTTGTGGAAGAGAAAAAAAAATTGTTCAGGCGAAGTTCAATTCGATAACAGTGTTTTGAACATCAGCACAATATATAACGCAAATAGTAAATACAAATATCTAATTAGGTTACATAAAAATCTGCGTACCGCGTACAAACACATATCATAATATGTGGTCGTTTACTCAATACCCATTGGGCCGATGTGTGCTCTCTGGTCGTGCAAAGAAATAAATACATCATCGATTGGAATTTCATTAAAAAAAATTGAACCAATCACACTTAATTGATGTCAAAGTCCGTGATAACACCAAAATTAACCGTATCATTTCGTTTATTTTTGCGGAACATATTGTAGTTGTTTGTAGAAAAAAAGCCATTCAATCGAATCGTAATTGTTCAAAAGATCATTTGCAATTGAAATGAGTATTTGTGATTTCAAAAAAATTTCGTTACCATTTTCCAAGTGCTCAACATTGTTTTAAATTCATTTACATACTAAAACTCAATTTAAAACTAATGCTAAAAAATCTATCTTCCCATTCTGTTCGAAAATCAATAAATCGTCGTTTTGGTTTTGCACTTGGTAGACGGTTGACGCCAGCTTTTTTTTTTCAACAAAAATTATGATATTTTACACGTAACATCACTATGAATTTAAATCCTACCTCAACATTGTTTCAATTTCTAAACAAAGCAAATATGGTCTTATTGATTTCGTGCATGTAGAGAAAAAGAAAGTAATTTTTTTTTTTCAAAAGAAAGCGAAGGTGGATCAATATTTTTGCCTAAAAAAAACAAGATTTTCTTGAAGAAAAAAATTAAAGTGAAAGTAAATAGAAAAAAAAAATACTTTAACAATTTGCGTCACACACATCGAATAGAACACAAATATTTTTCTAATGTGTACAACAACAAGAATTTGTTTTGCCATCGGTTCTAATCTCAGCGAACCGGTCGTGTGTCTCACTCTTTGTTGTTCGCGTTTACGAAGTGCGACATTTTCTTGTAAACATAATATGTATTGTCGACAAAATCAGAATGAACGACCAAAAAAAAAACTCGATTTAAACATTCCTGACGAAATGTATGCAAATTGTAAAGATGTGACGTATGTATCATATCGATAAAAATTGATACGAACCATATGATATGCTTTGCACACTATTATTGCTGGGGCTTGCGATTTTTCCTCTCAACTCCTTCCAAATATATACATAAATCGTGATCAATATGATTGCAGTTAGTTTGTTATCGTGTTTTATTCTCTCTCTCTCTCTCTCATACATGATTCTATTTTTTTTTTTGCGATTGATCCCATCGTGAATCATGACTTTTACTATAAAACTCAAGTTTATTGCTTGTCTACTTAGTCTTGGACATCATTAAAAGAGACAACGAAAATAGCATATGGCCAAAGATATATTTTAAACTTTAACAGCTGACACGTTTTTTCTATCTCTGTCGCTAGATGTTGTTTACTGACTTGAATGAATTAATGAATGATAAATAGGTCTGTGTCTGCTAGAAAAAAAAGGGGAATTGACCCGAAATCACACACAATTTGTTTTGTTGTTGCATTTTATAATTATTATTGTTACAAAAATATTTTCGATTTTCATTGTTTTTAATTTGAATATTGCGTGTACGATTTTATTGTCAGACATTGCCGTGGCATGATGTCAATGTGACACTCTTAGATTCTAATTTTAACATTTTAAAAACATTTGATTTGAGTTGAACGTACCGAAACTGAAGTAAAACAAAATACCGTTATACATTATCAGATGAGATGTATGATAATTTTGCCAAATTGTTGATATCCTTCCACATTCACAACTTTGTCCGAAAATCAACAGTCGATGTTTATTGTTCAATTCTTTTTTTAAACATATCTTGATGACCTTTTTAACCATAATTGTTTGGTTTCAACGTTTTGCATGTGATTATTATTATTATTGAGCATTTAATTAAAGAAATTAATGACATTCGGTGTTAAGCATTAATCTATAGATAGCAATATGCCCTTTTGCAGACTTTAATCCCTCTGCACCTTCCGTGTGTATATTGAAATGCATTGAATATTCTTTCATTTCTTAAAATATTCAATAACATACACTTGGTTGTTGTATGTAATTAACTCAATTTGTTTATTAACTCGATAATAATTATGATAACATAAAAAAAATTGAAAAAAAAAAAAACACCGTATCGTCGTGCTGATGATAAATTTACTGAAGAAAAAACATCACCAAGTGTTTGGGTTGTGGTTTTAAAATTGACGGATTACTCGAAGCGGTGCAGTTCAAATTGTATAAATGACAGTATTTTCATTTTTTTTAGTGGGCACTTAATGCCGCTGCACTCAATATTAATCGTCATAAATGAGTGTTGCAACGGTTTTATTCTCGGTCATTCCAAATTGTAATTTGTACACACTGTGTGGTATGAACGACGCACATGTTTAATCGATGATTTCTACCTCGCATCTCATGTCTATTTTTTTTTGTCGTCGAATTTTTAGTTGTTAAATTCTTGTTGGTACCAAGGGGGTATTATTAATAAAACATAGTTTCATAAAGTCGATCTCGCTCTTGCCCACTTAATAAATGTAAATAATTATTACTTCCATGGCATTTACTGTATGAAATCGTTACAAATACATAAGAAAAAAAAAAGAGTTTATGGCTAATAGCTTAAAGTTTACGTGCAAATGCTTCAATCCGACTTGACAGACCGGTAATCAATACATTGAGAACGCACAATTTTACATGCATGCGTTTTTCTCCATTCGTTTCAGTTTCTAAACGGTTTTCTATTTTGGGTTTATAACAAATTTTGTAATTGTATTTCTCGATCAATCTTCTTGTGCCATTGCTATTTTTTGCTACGACAACCAAGAAAAAAACCAGAAATTAACCATGTTTCTCTCTCCTTCCACCCGTGGAAACGTCTAGAAAATATGTTTTCAATATACATTGCCATTAATCGAGTTTTGGACTAAGCGAATCAACAAACTTCAGTAGAAATCAAGGTTCTATGAACATCTAGAAAAAGCCCCACTTCCACAAGACACTTATATTGTCAATCCAACTGCAATTATTTTTGCAATTCCACACCATGGAACAATGTTTAAAAATTGGAATTTGTATTATTATACTGCCAATGATTATATAGAAAATTATAATGATGATAAAAAAAATGCAGTTGTATCCGTTGCGTCAAGATTTACGATAATGAATTATTTACCATTGAGAGAGAATGAAAGAAAGAAAAAAGTCTATCTACGTACATAATAATTCATTTGCGCTTCTCTTCATTAACTAAATAAACTATACAAACCGATTAGTCGCTAAAGTGTGAATGGGTTGCAACTATTCATTACTAAAGTCGTCTAATCACTAACTGATTAAGCAATACAACGTACTAACATGGACCATATTGTTTCCTGGAATTCTAATGATTGATGATCAACATTATCACATCTAATAAAATATATATTATGTGTATTGCGTATTTGCATTGACAATGACATAGGAACTGTTGGTATCGACAAGGGAAAGTTTGTTATTTGGAAATTGTAAATAGCATCAGCTGTAAACTGATCTCAAATCTCGCCACAGTAATAATTGTAATCTACTTTCAACGCCAAACAATCGTAATAAAAAAATGAAACAAAATTGTAATAATTGTGATTCACAATTGATATTATTATTATTATTATTTCATGCAAACAATATATTTATAATAGTAATTTTTCATAAAATCACAGAAATCATGAATTTATAACGATATAAATTAAATTGTATACACTGTGTACTGTTGTTGATTGCTTTATACAATGCACTTGCGCATGGTAAACTCGTATTTACTCGTATTTACGTCTTGTGCACACACACACACCGGCATTTTTGAAATAGTTTACTCAAGACACACTTCAACTTCGAAACGTCTAGAATATCTATCGATGGTTTAAAACGAAGCGGTTGCGAATAACATCTAGCTTATATATGTTGATCGCGCACATTGTTCACTTATCTACTTGAAGTTTGGGTCGGTTAATTTAGCGCAACATTTCTTGTATATTTTGTGTGGCATACATTGATTCGGCTTTGAAGGCCGCAAAAAGAAAAAAAAATGTATTTGATTTCATTATGATAAATTGCGTTCATTGGTTTATATTTCATTTGGTTATTATTGTTTGTTTTTGGCCAGTTTTTTTTTTTAAATTTAGTGTGAAACGAATGGTCAATATGGCACAAGTAAGCCGAATAGTTAAACGTTCATTGTAATTTTTTTCATCACTTTTATTTGATTCTCGATTTTATTTGGCCCCGAAGGCCATTTAGTTTTCTTTACAAAATCAATCGAATAAAAAAGTGAACATTATTTATTGACATAATACCAAAAAATACTCTTTGGTTCTGAATCATACACAGTCTTTAAATGCACTTACTTGAACTTAACTGCACTGCACATGAATAACAAAAAAAAAACTGGAAGTAGCGCTGTTGCTATTGATCAAAATGTATTCTATACTCATTTATGTACAAATTTATAATATGTTGACCAGATTTCATCGCCATCGATCTATTCGCATACAACACCACTTAAATGCAATTTGATCGCAAATTCAATTTACCATATATGGCCGTGGTTTTTAAACGGTTTTAGTGTGCATGGAATATTCTTTTTTTTTTGTCTTCAATGCACAATTCTTAGCCCGATTCGTAGCATATGTTTTTTTCTATACACATGTAACGTTGTCTCACGAACGTTTGCACATATTTTTTTTTTTGTCTTAATAACAGCGCTGAGACCGTTTCGTGTGTTTGTATTTATTTTTTTAATTTGAAATTTTTTCCATTCAATTCAACATTAGGATTCTAGAATCTTCTGCTGACCATCACATTATTTGAATAAGTAATTTGACCTAAACTCATCGTATTGAAACATTTGACTCGCAAAAAATTGATGCCACAAATTAAATTACCTACTGGCTCGTTCTCATGAATTCAATTTGCATGAGAAAAAATAGCTTTAAATAAAATAAAAAAATAGTGAATATATCTAATAACATTTTGCATTTTGAATGGAACTGTAAATGTAATTAATTAATAACGGAGTCAATTAAATACACGAATAACTGAGAAGAAGACATGAGCCCATGGCAATATATTTATTTTCTTTTTTTATGGAAAACATAAAGAATAATTAAAAATTCTCGGAACAATAAAAATAATTCAGAAGAAAATATTTATCAATAATGATGAAAAAATAACTAGAACGATTATGTTGAAAACGGAACACCTGAACCTACAACAATCGCTCAATCTAAGCGTCTGTTTGATGATATCAAAATAAATGTTTAAATAAATATTAATTAAATAGTGTCACAACTCATTTTCACATTCATTATATTCCATGTATGATTGTAGCACATTCACATCACTGACATTACCTGATCGATAGAAACAAACGAGACGATAGTGATATCACATATCATGACATTAAGTCCAAATACAGCGATTTAATTAAGTGTGCTAACACGTCAATTTTAATCATCGCAATATTTATTATGTCATCAATGCAAAAATGATTGCGTCAAAATAATAATTCTTCCCGATTCGTAATTTGTATATGTGTGTGTGTGTGTGTGGATGTACAATAAAATATGATTGCAGCTATTTCTGGAATTAATTGCATTGCGGTGTTTTAGTTACGATATAATCACATTTCGCTCACGAGATATGCAAAAAGAACTCGATTTAGATATAAATATATAATTTATTAAGTGCTTTTGTATGAGAAACTTTCCTGTTATTTTCAGACCGAAATAAAAGTCTAAATACTGTACTGTCAGTATTGAATTTTTCGCTTTCATCATCATCGATATCGTCAATATGCACACAATAGATATGAAATCCGATGGACTTCTTTACGCAATAAATTAATAGATGATTTTCAACATAATACATTTCAAATCGTCACATTTAACTAGCTTATAAGAAATTGTTTTGATTGATGATCTCAAGTGATACAGGTGTGTACACACACACACATCACACATGATCGAACCGGAAATGATTCATTCAGTGTAAAAACATCAATAAATTTATTATATTCAACACGATAAAACGGCGATAAATTTAAAGTCAGCAGGTTTTTGTAGAAGGTCGATCCACTGGTATCGATGCCATCGACATCTAAATATGACACTATTATCATAATTTGCTGCTATCAATCTACCGGTGCACACCTGCTATCTAAGTTTATTGGCTCGAAATATGTTAAAGAAACAAAAAATCGGGCAGCCACCTTAAAAGCTTGTCCATTCTCAAGTTTCATCTTTTTTTTTTGACTTCGGTGAGGAAATGCCACACCAATGAAATTCCTGAAAGTCATTCATTAAATGAAAACAACAAGAACGTCATTCATTTTTGATGCGAAATAAATTCATTGTCACAAATGCTTTGTTAACAATTGTCAATCAAATGCAACATTTGTACAGATTGATTCCCTACGCCATACAATTTACATATCATTTTATCGATTCGAAAAAGCGTACAATGCATGACGGAAAACGTCTCATTTGACTTGTCTGGATAACAGTGCATTTTATATATAGCTCATGCAAAGTGCTGACCACGATACTTTCTTTGATCGATATATACAAATCGTAAGTAGTAATAATAATGTAACATTAGAACATTAGTTGAATACAATTGAAATTGAAAAAAAAATTGAAATTTTAAATTCATTCATGCTGCGAAGACTACGAGAAAATGCAAAACAAAATTAACTGTTGCAACAAATGATATTACAAAATACTGAATATGAGTGTGCATCAATCAAAAAATGAGAAAAATATATATAAAAAAAAAACGAAAGCGAAAGTTGAAAAGAGAATAGAAAATGCGCTGCAATTTCAAGGGGCTTTTGAAATCGACTATGTGAAAAGAGATACAACTACAGATCTGATTAACAATATTGTATGTGGAATGCGAATTAATGCAGACGACTCAATGACATTACGAATTTACGATGTTGTGGTTCTTTTATAGTCTCTCCAAAAAAACAACAACAACAACAAAGATCTTACATAATTTTTTTTTGTGTAACTCGTGAATCGCGAAAAAATGCGTTTATGTAGAGAAATAAAGGGAAAAAAACGTACATTACTTTTGAATTTACCGATAGATTTATCATTTACAAAACGATCGTACATTATTAATGTTTGTGTTTTTTTTTTCACATTCGCTGTAATTTCGGTGCGATATTTTACGTAACATGTATGTATTTTTTCTCGGTTTAATAATAGATCAATTAAGGGAGAATTTATGGAAAAATGTGCAATTTCGCAAAATTTCAAAACCATGAAAGTATAGTTTTGATTCGATATCGAATGTTTCGATGCGATCACCATTACAAACATTTAATTATGTTGCCAAATAAAAACCTTCTGCTGTAATGAAGAAAAAAAAATTTCATTGAAATAAAATATTATTACTTTACCGTATTAACCTGCAGTGAATGTTATTAGGCTTTCAAAATGGAATGAAATGAAGAATATACATTTATTTATAAGCCGTTTTCATGCTCAAAAAAACCAAAAAATTCAAATTGAATCGTTAAATGACGCTTATACATTTGTGTGCTATTTACGGAAGATATATCCAACGGAAGGATTAGGTGTCACGATCTTGAAATGTCCCCATGCCTTTGACATTTTCGAGATTTAATGGATAAAGTCAATTACCAATTTTTTTTGTTTTGGATTTTTATGCATCCAATGAGCTCATTAATTTAGATGAACAATTAAATACATAAAATTCTGAAGCGAAATGGCTCTTTTTTATATCTGGTCAACACAAGCCAACCATTAAATTGAAGCAATCTATGTCATTTAGTCATTATATTGTGTTATTAAATCAAAATTTTACGGATGAAATGACAGCAACGTTTCAATAAAAATCCATTTCAAACATTTGCGAATGGAAAATTAAATGCGAATAATTTAGCGTAGATAGCGAAAAATTTGCAAAAGCACAACGTTTACTAACGAGTGTGTTGTTTTCTAGCATAGATGAAAGTGTGAACAAAATAGACTAACAATCACCCGTGTGTGTGAATATATATATGGTCAATGCCCTATTAAAGTTTTCGACTATTCTTCCAAAAAGAACTTTGAACTTTGCGCGCTATTTTTCGTTACTATGAATTGGGTATATTTTTCGGTCGACTGCACACATAAATCGGAACTGAAATTTTTTTGCCAAACTTCTGAATTAGTGGTATTGTTATTGTGCATATTAAAAGTATTGGTTATTTTTATTTTCTCTTTCTGTCTGTGACGTTGGCTCAGTGCCGAACAGGAATTTCGGATGAATTGATGTTTTGCAACAGATAAAATTAAACAGACACACATTTTGTTTGTTTTGAAGTTTTGAAAAAAGTTCATTTATTTTATTTTTCGTGCAACAAAAGTAGCAAAAAAAAAGTGTTCCAGCCAAGCGTGATGATAAATGAAATATTATTCGCTTGTGGTTAGCAATATACACATTCGGCGGAAAATAAAAAAATTTAACAGTGTTTAACCTTGAACTTGAAATAAAGTCATGTAGAATATCCAGTCTTTGGAGAAGGGCATTCAAACTCTCTCTCTTACGACGAAAGAAAACAAAAACAGCCGTAAATGCATTCGATGATGATACATCCCATTGAAGAATACAGTTGAAAAGAGAACCGAATTGAAAATTTATTGCATTTCGAGAAGATTCCAAATCATCTTCACTTTTGTGGCAGAATTTTTACGTAAAATTTGTTTAATAATAATATACCGGAAAAAACCACGTTATAATTTTAGATAAGAATAGAAACACCACAGATAAGAGAAACGCCGAAGTCTAGTAGGAAGTAGTGCAGCTTGCAATTCATTCGATAAAAAAAAACGATATGCAACTTGTATCGATCAACGAACCGAAATGAAAAAGGAAAATCTCGAAAACGTTATAATCATATGATTCATACGGAACGAGACAATTAATCGAAATCATATTGTAAATGATGACAATCGACTATCAATCTATAGCCTTTCTCATTGTAAGATTTCAATCACACGGACATCATGCAAATCACAAACATTTCATTGGAACTATCGATAATAACGAAACAAAAAAAGAGCAATCATTGCTTGGGCTCAATTAAATGTGATTGCTTTTGGGAAAGCACAATACACCAAATTGTTTGCGCATCATTTTCAAACCTTCAATAACAACAAAAACAAATGGGAAAACATCATTTTCAGAGCAATTCAAGTTAAATGGAAACGTAAAACCGCCAAATACGAACTTTTCTTTAGAAACTTTATTTATCATCCTGATTTATAAACAGGATTTGAAATGATTTGGATTGGGTAATACGAATTTGACGATCATGATGAAGCAGTTTTTATTCCAAACGAATCATTGGCCGACTACTCCGATTTAGTAAATTTCAAACATTTACATGTTTTTAACAGACCAAAAAAATCGTCTACCAAAAAAATGAATCGGTGACCAAGTCACATTTGAAATACAGTGACGTACATCGTTCGTTTGCTAATGATTCCATTTGTTGTGGTACGATCAAATTAAGAGCAGAAAAAATACAATAGTCCGAAAGAATTTCTTGCACGTGTACGCACTTGAATGTGATGATTTTCAGTACACTCACAAAAGCACGTCTTTAATAATTCAAGTAGATAGTATTCATTGTTCAACAGAAATAATCAAAGAAGCTGTTGGGTGTTTTTTTTAATCAAAAATTTGGAACAATTCTTTTCCAAGAGAAAATTATTTTTTTAAATAGTTTTTGAATCTTTTTTAAAGACCATTTTACACCAATATTGTTTCGGTATTTTTTGTACCGGGAAAAGTTAAACATTCGTTTTCGTTCAATGTTAAAAACATATTTTTTTTACATAATGCACTATTTATAGAAATTAAAACTGTGTGTTTTAAATAGGAAAATAAGGCTTAAATCTTATTCAATACGAATGACAATGATTACAATTGATGATGTAAAACGAAATTATTATGTGTTAATATTGTGAATTACAAATTAGTTGAAATGTTTTGTCGTGCATTATGCTTTCGTGTCTGATTCGTTAATATGTGATACGACCGACACTTTGAATCAATTATATTTTGATAAATTTCGGCACTTGTTTTGAACTTTTAACCTTCCAAACAATTAATAATGTGATTTTTTTTTGACGTTGAATTGTTAAATTCTGCCGGACGGACAGAATAGTAGCTATGAACATGTGACGTATGATACGTTCGTTATAAAGTCATAGAATACACATTCTTGTTATATATTTTGAAATGATAATGGAACGGATAGGTTGGCCCCAAGAAACAAGATTCGTTTTTTTTTATTCATTATTTGCGGAGTTTCAATAATCGCGCGTGGTTGTAAAATCGAACTCATTAGAAACTGAGAATTTTTGGGTATTTCGTTACGTCAATAGTCTCATAATGATTATTCATGAAACTTATGATCATTTTCTTCCATTCGATAAATTTACGAGAAAAAAATCTATCGCAAAATAGACATGCGGCATTCGATCACGTAGCATATTTTATCCGGTAATTTTATGCTGGCTGGAGAGATTCATGTTTTGGGGCTCTGAACAAATAACGAATCTTTTATATTATCTTAATTAAACGAAATAAAAAAAATGTATGAAAAAGAGATTTTTCAAATAGCAGACACAAAAGATCAATTAATTTTTATTAATGAATTTTTTTGTATATTCAATCATTTGTTCGCAACTTTGTACTCAATAAAGTGTGAAGATTTGCATTGTTTTCGTTGCGTTTTATTAAGTAAATAAGAAAAAAAGAGAGTTAAGAATCGACGAGAGTTGCGTGGTTGAAGATTTGTTTCGTCGGACAACAATAATAAAATGATATTTATTGTCCAAATGTTATGCCCGAAATGGCACAAACACTTGAGTCAGAATCTTAATCCTTATTCATTCCGGTTGTCATTAATTCATCTAATAGTACGTAAAGTCCTTTTCAAAATGTTGCATTCGATTGACCAATAAAAAAAACTGTTATCATTTGAAATTTAAAAAAAATGCAATAAAACCGCAAATATATCACAATCATTTTGCGGTTTCGGACTCGTTTCTATACAAAGATAATTTTTGAATGGACACATTTAATTTTGTTTTGTGTCTGTCATTTATTTTCTAAAAATATATTGAGCAAAATTATCGCAAATCAGTAGCCATTGAAAATGTATGAAATAAACCGACGCACTCTTTCTTTGAATCAATGTATAATATTCATTTGATTGAGACTTGATCATTTTACCGCAGAGTCAAAGTGTCAAAGTGTTTGGTGTGATTTTTTTTATTACACTTATTTGCATAGAAACCATTAATGTTTTTTTTTTTAGCGTAATGATTTAAGAATTGTTTATCATCAATTAAAAATCGGTCTATACTTTATGTGAAACGCTTAATGTACAAAGTGCATGTCAATCTTTTGTGGTTTTATGTGATGAAAAGACTGCGTCATTTAAAGAGACAAAAGACACTTTTGATCGAAAAGTCCAATAAAACTTTTTTTGTGGTTACATTGAGTATGAACTTTTGTTCTAACAATCGATAAATTTTTTGGAAATTTTTCGCTTTATTCTCGTCCGAGACGTTCAATAAGAAACCACAAATCTGATTAAACGAATGACGTGCTTCGAAAATAATCAAAACTGCCACTCATACAGTACATGGACGAAATGGAGTGGTTAACTTACATGAAGCAAATAGTGGTTTATAGGAAATTATTCGGTTTCCTCTGTTCAACCACAGGAACGAAGAAACACACTGAGCAGAGAATGTGTTTATGTTTAACGAAAATCATCGCACATGGAACTGGTTTGGAATTATCAACCCAGTTGAATGCCAGCGTCAAATTTAAACGATTTTCGCACATCAGTTCGTTCATTACTTCATTCGGCCATCGCATATTCATCGCGCAAGACACACACTGTCGGTGTGACAATTATATCGTTTAACCCGCAGAATCGTAAATATTCAATGCTGATATATTGTCAGTTTTAATTGTGTTAACCAAGCTGAAAGTGTTTAGAAAGGAAATATCATACCAATAAAAGTAATTAACGATGATAATCAATTTAATTCAAAGTTGAAAAAGAATACATTGTGATGAAATATTATTCAAAAATAGTTGAATTTTGAATGATCATTAAATGAAACTGTGTAAACAACTAAAAATTTACTAAACATTTCAAATCTAGTTATTTGCATAAAATGTAAAATCTCACGTTTCCACAGCAAATCAAATTTAAATGATTAAATAATGTGTTTTTGTTTTATCTTTGGTTACAGGTTAAATTAAATGAACTACAAATACTTGCACTAATCTGAAAAAGAAGCTGATTTTTTTTACAAAAAAAAAAAAAACAATTAAATTTTGAAGAATCGACAGTAACGATATCCGTGACGTGAATGTAAGCAACGTAACCGTTAAATAAGACTTTCTGATATTAGTGACGATTGAAAACAATGGTGAACATGTCGAAAGACGTTGAATTTCAAGATGTTGTTTACACCGTTAAAGTGAATTCACGTTCAGGTACGTACAAATGTTATATTTTATTACTCATTATTTTACATAAGTTTTCTAGCGATTTTAATTTAGCAGATGAATTTTCTCTTTTTCTTCTTCTTCTTCTTCTTCTTTGCTCTTTCGCCACAACACACAATGATTATTATTTGCCATTGTCATTTTTTTGTAATCTTTTGTTTACATCTGTGTGAACTATATGCATATTCCGTGTTTATTTCCACTCAGGGTGATATAATTATATCGTTTTTTGTCTCCCCTTTTCGGATTAAAAGTGGATTTTTTTTCGGTTTAATTCGCTGAATATTCAAACGTATAACTTAAAAATGAAATACGGTAAAATGAAATGAGAAATCGAGATACGTCATGGAAAGAGGATTTGAGTTGAAAAAACTCAATTCAAAAGCAAAATGTGCTAATAATTTAAAGAATTTACGTATAAAAAACGGTTGAGCGTCATTTGATGCACAAAAACTTCCATTTTACGCAACATTGTTCTCCTTTTTTTATTCTTCGTATTACATTTGATGGTGTATTTTTGATCGTTGTTTTCGATGCAGATTCGAAAATAGATCTAAGATGATTTCGTTGTAAACCTGTTATATATATATAAATTACGAGTTCGACCAGAGGCTCTTCATTCTTTGCCTACCACAAACTCGTTTGGAATTATATCACTTGGACTCGAGAATTCAGAGGTGGTCGATTGACAGCTAATTTAATCTCATGTTTTGCATATATTAACGTATATTTGATTTATTATTGATTATATCACTCCTCTCTCTCTCTCTCTCTCTCTCTCTCTCTCTCTCTCCGTGATTGATAGAATATCTTACTTAATATTGTTCTTGATTGTGAGCCAGTGTGGTTTTTGATGATGAGCTTAGCCATCAACCTAATTTCGCCCATTCTCATTATTATTGATTGATTTATGTGAACACCTTGAAATTCAATACATCATTGCAAATGATCATCATTGTGTATTCATATGCGAATAAATGAAATTTAAGCCAGTAGCACGATCACATAAAAATAAAATAAAAATGTTTAATTACAGTCACCGATTCGAAAAGAAAGTGTTTACTACAAGGGGTTTCTGGAGTTTTCAAAAATGGACAATTAAGTGCCATTATGGGTCCCTCTGGAGCGGGAAAATCTAGCTTGCTGAACGCAATCTCTGGTTTGAGGTAATATATATTTTTTTATCTATCATTTCAAATGATACGGTCTTGATATTGTCATATGTGAGAGACCTCACTGTTTGTTTTTTCTGTCTACTTCTTCTGGTGCATGTTTAGAACGTCTGGTGTAAGTGGGAATATAATAAGGAATCGAAAGACATCATGTTATTTGACACAGGAAGATTATCACCAGCCATACCTGAGTGTCATTGAACTTATGCAAATGGCATGCAACTTAAAATTAAAGCCAAATACAGATCATGAGCCGGTTATTAATGAAATTTTGAAAAATCTGAACTTAAATCATCGCCGAACCAACTACGCTAATCAATTGAGTGGCGGCGAACGACGTCGTTTATCAATCGCACTTGAATTGGTCGCAAATCCGACGATATTTTTTTTAGATGAACCGACGAGCGGTTTGGACGAAGTAACAGCATCTCAATGCATTCGCTTATTGAAAAATTTAGCCAAACAGAACCGAACGGTTGTGTGCACAATACATCAGCCATCCGCAACCACATTCGCTTTATTCGATCATATATTTGTGTTGGCGCGTGGTCAATGTGTATTCCAAGGTGGACCAACGGTTTTAGTACCATTTCTGAGTAAATTAAATCTTCACTGTCCAACATACTACAATCCATCGGATTATATAATCGAATTATGCGATAGCGATGATGGTACAATTGTAACAGCCTTATCACGCGAAACGAACAATGGAAAATTGATGTGTTCGATTGATAATGTCGAATGCGTTGGCAACCATTTGAGCGATGTTCTTGCTGATGTATCATTAAATATGAAAAATGCTGTGACATCAATGTTTCTGGAGAAACCAAAATCAAAGAGCCGAGCTTTACTCGAAAAAATGAAAGCCTTAACGAAATTCATGCAGAATGATCATGCTGTATCAGGTTTTCGGCAATTTTCCGTTCTCTTCTCAATTATGATGTTGAAAATTTGGCGAAATAAATCGGTTCTTCTCATTCAACTCTTTCATCATGTATTTTGCGGTGTCATTTTTGGTAAGTAAAAAACATAATCCGGTGGCCGTGTATTTTCTGTTTCTTTCAAACTAATAGCTTCTTTCAAACCATTTTAAATTGCATTCTTTACAGGTTTAATATTTTTCAAGGCTGCTAACGATGGCGAAAGAATGTTTGATCATTTAAAATTTTGCATCGGAATTGTATTCTTTTTGGCCTATACACAAATGATAGTTCCTATTTTAGCATGTAAGTATAAGTTGAGATCGTTTTTTTGCAAATATTTTAATTATTTAAAGATGATAAATTCATCAATCGAGCACTCGCCATCGGATGGAGATGTAGTGTTGAAAGTTGATCGTAATTTATTTTAATGTACTTAAGTATAATTACTACTAATTAGTAGAAGGCAACTTATTTTAAACGATGCAACGATCGTAAAAGAATAAAACAAAAAACAAACTCGTATTTGATTAGGCATGTTGTTTTTTACTTTGCAGATCCAAGTGAGGTGAAGCTACTGAAAAAGGAGTGTTTCAATCGTTGGTATGCACTTTTGCCATACTATACCGCATTGACCTTGTCTCGAATTCCATTCCAGGTGAGTAATGTTAACGCGTCCTTTTCTCGTGATCTCGGCTTCGAATTTTATCTTTTCAACAAAATTCTGAAGCAAACGAAATATTTGAACACAATTCCACTTCATATGAAAATATGACATGTATAAACGCACATGTACAAACGCACTCTTTATCGCAGTTTTTCGTTTATTCAAACAATTGTTGGAAACAAAGGTCAACATAGATTATGTTTTTTTTTGTTGTTGTTAAAAGTCTACATTTTAAAATGAGCACATGCTTCGAATCTGTGAGAAATCACGTGCGCGCGTTTTGATATGAAAATACATTTTTTGCCCGTTGTAAAATCTTATTCAATGATTCTCAATTTACAGATATTATTCAACTTAATATTTTTGGGATTGACTTATTCGATGAGTGGTCTACCGGTTGAATATTTCCGTTTTGGTTTATATGCTATTATTGGCCTAATTGTTTCATTTGTAGCTGAAGGTATGGGCCTTGCAATCGGAGCAACATTCAGTATAACGGTAGGTTTAACATCACTATTGTTAAAAAAAAAAATATGATTTGTATTGAACTTGTTTTTTTTTTTAATTTAATCTTTTCAGAATGGTAGTGTTGTTGGACCATTGCTAATTGCGCCGCTTCTTGGTTTGGCGATTTATGGATTTGACTTTGCCGCCGATATTCCAATGGCTATGTATACAATTATGAAAATGTCGTTTGTTCGTGTTGGAGTTGTGTCACTTGTGCTATCTGTTTTCGGATATGATCGAGCTCAATTAGACTGTGGCGATGTCTATTGTCATTTTGACGATCCAAAAGTGTTGCTTCGATTTTTGCGTATTGAAAAAGTTTATCTATGGAATGAAGTGGCATTCTTAGTAATGTACATTGTCATTTTTCGTACAATATTATATTTGTCTTTGAAGCGTCGAATTTTGAGTTAAACGAATATATAAAATCACAAAAATTCATATTCACACGACTTCATTCCATAGGAAAATTCATTCGGAAAATTTTGATTTTCAATTGTTATCATTTTTTTTTTGTTTAAACATTCACAATGACATAAGGATAATGTAATATAACTAAATAGAAATAATCAGAGCAAACAAAGATTCATATTTGAAAAATTCGCCACAGGAAGATTGAACATGGGACAAAATCGGGGCGATAGATTTTTTTCATAATTTTTCGATAGATTCTTACACAAAATCATTAATTTCCATCATAAAAAGATCCTTCTTGTTTTTTCCACCCAATAGTGGGCGATGTTCTACATTAATTAGGAAACATCTATTTATAACCAACCAATAATCATATTATATATAGCAAAATTGCATAAGTCGATAATGAGAATGTGACCAGTCACAGTCATTTATTGTTATTGTTTGCATTCATGCATTCAAAACTATGCCAAATTGTATATGAAGTTTTATTTATTAATGATTGATTCGATTCACCGTCAATTTGCTTGCTTTACTTACACTGTGATAATATTTTCTCATTAAAAAATCATGTAATTTTTATACGCAAATATTTGAGCTGAATTCAAATGACGGCAGGAGTGATCAATAAAGTTTTATTTTAATAGAGTGATATGGTTTAAGCATTTTTAAGGTTATTGTTTTTCATACATTAGCTCTGTTTAAAAGAAATAAAAATAATTCCAGAAAAGAAATCGTTTGAATTTTTTTTGCCCGCACCAAATCCATATAACTTTTCAAGTTCCGCAGGTGAATAAAATGGCAAGCAACACTTGCCAATGCAAAAAAACAACAACAACAACAACTTTAGATTGCGATTTAGCGGTCAACGCATACAATATTATAAAATTTATTTCCAAAAATTTAGGACATTTTTTTTATTTCTTCTTGGTTCCTTGCTTTTCCTTACGTTTCTTTAGATGTTTGGGCATTTTATTTTTTCGTTTTTCAGCTTTTGCATCTTTAACAGCTTTCTTTCGTAGTTTTTTGTCTTCAATCGTTTCACCCTTGGGTCGAGCGCTGTCAACGAATCGACGCTCGCCTTCTTCATCGTCATCGTCATCGCTATTACTACTGCTGTCGTCATCTTCCTTTGAATTATCATCATTATCACTTCCGGCAGCTACTGAGTTTGCTATATAAATTAGATAGAAAAAAATACATTTAATTTACACTTCTCTTTATTTATAAATGTTTATCTTAAATCCAAAGTGAATTGAATCAATTTTTGATTGGGACTATCATTACTTCTCAATAGAACCGGTTTCGATTCAACGCTCAAATCAGATGTGAGCCCGGTAATTGTTTTGTAAACTAAATCATTGCCAGCGCCTCCTTTTGCTTTAATGATATCGCGTTCAACGTCAACTACCTATATATAGATTAAAATATTATTTTCGTACATTTTAATTATTTGTTTGAAATATGATAATAAACAAAGTGCATACTTCGTCCAAACGTTTTGGAATATAAGCTCGTTTGAATACTTCTTCTTCGATTTTTTCCTGTTCAGTTAGTTCATTGATGTTTCGATCTCCGATTTTTTCGGCAATTTGCTCTAGAAAACTTTCCATGTTTTCTTCGGTGATATTTGGATCCGTAATGAATGTAAACAATTCGCGAACAGTCATTGTGGCAACATCTTTTTTCGCAAAGAAATCCGTAATGTTGGTGCAATCTTTTCGCAAAAATTCCAATGCATGCGGATGATCGTGTTCAACTGATTGGCTAACATCAATAACAACAATTTTACCATCATGATATAATAAATTGAATTCCGATAAATCGGCATGCACCAATTTACATTTATTGAATATATTCCACATCATGATAACACAATCACGATAAAGTTCACGTGCTTTTGTTGTTGAAATATCGACATCTTTGAGTTTTGGCGCTGGCCAACCATTTTTTCCGCAAAATGTCATCACTAAAACATGGCTACGCAGTAAAATTGGTTCGGGCACATTTAGACCAGCGTTTTTCATTCGAAGTAAATTGCGCATTTCTTTTTCAGCCCATGTGCGCACCATTTTACGTGGATTATGTCGACAATAACCGCTTCTAAATCGAAATTCACCTGACACATATTTATCACGATCTTTAAATACTAAAATCGATGTTTTATAAATTTTGATGGCATACTCAATGTCCGTTTTTGATGTTGCATGATAAACATTTGCTTCTTTTCCCGTCGATATGCAACCATTGATTTCAACGATCAAACCGCGATTCAATAATTTGAATAGAATCATTCTGGTTCGTGGATCCATTACTTGTTCGGCAGTTGCACGATCATGTTTATCTTTTGTTCGATATCGATCCGAATCGGCCTTCCGATTACTTTCCAACAATGTGTTTATTGCATTATTCGGTAATTGTGGACCTTCATACTTTTCCACATTGATTTTATTTGTATACTTTTTGAAGAGTTTATCGGATGGCTGAAAACTGCTCACTTTATTGCTGCTCACTTGAGAATTTGTATGCGTGACCACAGTGCTACTATTGCTGATTTGCTGACTATTCTTTTGATAGCTTGTCGATACCAATTCATAATAGTCTTCATCATCACTGTCACTCACATATTCCTCATCTTCATCATAATCATAGTCATCGCTGGTATTTTCATTCTTTCGACTGTATTCGGTGCTGAACAGCGAATTTTCTATAGAAAATTTCGTTAAACGCTCTACAGGGGCACCCTATAATCATGGATCGTATATTCAATTACATGGCTTTTGAAGAGATATTACGGGTGAACTTACCGTTTTTGACACATTTTTTGTTTGGATATTGACTGGCACTGGCCTGGTTATGTCATCTTCAGCATCATCAAACTGTCCGTTGTCCATATCGATTTATTCACTTGAAAAAAAAAAAACTTTAAGAAATTTCAAAATAGATCTCGTTCTGTACTCAAAACAATGCAATCTTCAAAACACACATGTTTCATTTCTACTGTCAAATCGTACAGTGTTGAGGTTATGTGCCATTTTAAATTAAAATGTCAATAAAATGTGAGCCTTTACACTTTCCCTTTCGGAAGAACGTCTCAATCGTATCCAAACAATAGCATATAGAAAAAATACGTTAAAAATCTGTATTGTGTGTGCATGGTATACGCTGCGATACGCTGTATATATAGAGTGATATGGTGCGCTCAACAATAATACTGGTACACACGTGAGAAGTGAGAGTGTGTATGTTTGTGTGTGCGCTTTTTTCCCTCAATTCGTGATGTCGCCGTGTCTTTTCGTCTCGCTCTCTTGTTATTAACGTTTTTATTCTATACATTGCCTCTGTCGTTTTCAATTTGCTTGTAATGCAATTTTGACGGCGTTCACTATTCAGTTCGATGCGAGAAGCCATCTTAAGTCTATAAATTCATTTGTTAATATTGCAACGCATAAAAAGTAAAGTTTTTTTTCGTATACAAAAATCAATTTCAATCCGTTTTGTTTTTTCTTTTGTTCTTCATTTTATTTCTATTTACTTCGATATTGTACGTTCACATTTATTACGTATTCTATCGAAATAAAATATCAGAAAGAAAACACAAATTCACAAAAAAAAATTTCAAGTAAGTGTCTGTTTCTTTGTTGAAAATAGTGCGATTTATTTTTGCAATTTCATTTAAGAAACAACCGAAAGAAAATCATTTTCTTTTTCTAATTTGTCGGAGCAAATGAAATCCATCGATGAAAATATCCAATTCTTTTATTTATATAACATTTTCGGTGCGTTTCATTTTACACATTGTTTTTTTTTTTTTAATAGATCCCTGAATACGCACACCAGTACATTTACATAGTTTGAACGTGAAAATAGAGAACAAAAATCGAAAGGATATTTTGTGTCAACGTATTACATCCAAGAGTTTGAATCATCGTTTTTTTTTGTACTCTCTGTTGAAAGTCAATTCTAGCTGATTCCATCAATTCAATCAAAACAAAATGAGCGCCAATCAACCAGAAGAATCGTCATCATTTGCAGCACCTGAACCAGTTCCGAATGCTGTAGAAATTGAGAAAATTGAAGAGGAAAAGCTCAAAGCAAAGTATGCAGTTGGTGGTGGTGCTGGACCAGGCTTAGGACGACCAGGCGGTCATTCGGCATTTCTGCAAAAGCGTCTATTGCAAAAAGGAAAAGGTCAAAAATACTTTGATTCGGGTGACTATCAAATGGCGAAGCAAAAAGGTGGCGGCACAAAATCATTGTTTGCCAATAAACCAATCGGTGAAGCGATCCCAACACCAGAAACAGTTCCTGCAAGAAAAACTTCAATTATTCAACAGCCATGTAACAAATTTCAAACATCCAGTTAAAACAAACGAATAAACTCAAATTAAAACAACAACAGCAGCAGCAACAACAATAATAACAACAACAAAATTGAAAATTAACCGAAAAGTTTGAAGAAAAAAAAAATATTCGGAGGGAAATAAAAACGAAATAAGCAAATCAAATAACCGTTAAAATGTTAAGATAGAGAGAAGAAACACTTTAAGAAAAAGACATCAAATGAAATGTAAGCGAGTTACTATCGCGTTTGTAAGACAACATACTAATGTGTCATAAGAAATAAATGTGTATTATTGTCTATAATTACGATTAAACTACATTCATAGCTACTTTTATGTGCATGGTTTATTGGAAACATTTCTGAATCGAATCTTTTTATTTTTTTAGCATTTGTTGACTATATATAGAGGTTTGATCGACGAAACGGTAAACATTGGTTTATATTTCATTTTATTTATTTGAAAAAATCGCATCATCTGGGTTTATGTGTAACTTGAAACGTTGACCGTGCAAATGTATTATGATATGTCAAGACAGACGATTTACAAATGTGTTCATGACCAATTTGTTTACATTGATTCATGTATTCTAATGTATTATATTCATATATATTCTTGAAAGAAATACAAAACTGATGTCCAAACGGGGGCAACTAAATAGCTTAAGTTTTAACGTATCTCACAATGCATATTTGACGGTGATATAAGTCAATAAATCTACATATACCGCATCTGTCACACGCATAATGTATTAAAATTCAAATCCAAAAAAGGTAGACTTTATTTTCGTAAGAATTCATGCCTACATTCAAATGTAGAATCCAAGGTTATGGATACGATTTTTTTTTTCAATAGGGTACTATTTGTGCTTCTACCGATTGTGAACGATGCATTATTTTTGACAACTGTCAAAATCTAGATTTATCAATAATATTTGTTGGACCGCATTGTTTTTTTTTTTTTGCTGTTGTAAATATTGGCTTTATTGTACCCGACCAACTGAATAGTTTGCATCAATTTTAAATGAGATAGCAGGAAAATTGTCACAAATAACACAAATAAACATGTTTTTATTAGCCGAATTAAAGGACACAATACGCATACCGCCGGACAATTTTGATATAAAACTCATCGATGCGGTCAAAGATGAAATCAATCGCAAACTTGCAAATAAGGTAAGAACATGCATTCAATAACAATAACAACATAATTTATTGAGGTGATTTTATTTGATTTAGGTTTTATTAAATGTTGGTTTATGCATTGCCCTCAAAGACATTATAAAAGTTGGTGATTCAATTATATTACCAGGTGATGGTGCATCTCATACAGAAATTCTATTCCGTTACATTGTATTTCGACCCCGTGCAGGTGATATTATCACGGGCAAAATACGGAGTTGCAGTCGTGAAGGTGTTCACGGTAAATTTGCATGACAAATGATTTTATTTTATGCTCAAAACTAATAATGCCCGTGTATGTAGTCACACTAGGTTTTTTCGATGATATTTTAATACCGCCAACAGCCCTTCAACATCCATCACGCTTTGAAGAAGCCGAACAAGCATGGGTTTGGGAATACCCACTTGATGAGGGATCAAAACATGATTTATTCATGGACATTGGTGAGCCAATCAAATTTCGCGTGTCGGGCGATATTTTTGAAGAAAGTTCACCAATTGGACCACCAAGCAATGAAAAACCATCATCATCTAGTCAAAGTGATATTAAGACACCATATCGAATACTGGTCAGTTGAATTTCAAGCAAAATTATCATTTTAAATTGCAAATGTTAAACCGAAAAAATCATTCATAATACTACAGGGTGCAATAAATGAATCTGGTCTGGGATTACTATCGTGGTGGGATCAACAAAATCAACAAACAGATGATGCTGATGATGCTGGCGAAGAGTATGAGGAGTAAATAACTCATTTTTCATGAGTTCATTCCAAAACCGAAGAAAAACATATGTATAATTGTCTGACAAAAAAAAACACATGTTTTTGTGAAAAAAGAGATATCAATTGGTTCAAAAATGAAGAGACCAGAAAAACTATGTTTTTGAATTGCGTCACACATTTTTAACATAATCTTACGCAAGTGAAAGTATGTATGAAGCATTTAGAAATGAAATATTTCACCATATTTATACTATGCCTGTACCTATATGGTCAACAAAGATAAATTGTTTTTATATTCGTAAAAAACAATGAAACAGTTGTTAAGCGTGAGACTAGAGGTTAATTAATTTATTAATTTTTTTTTTGTCACTGAAATTGTGTCTAATGACTCATTGATTTATATAATAAATTGTTCTCAGTTTTTGGGTATTTTTTTTTTTAGTTTACCCTTAGCTGATTAAAGTTTTAATTCAACTTAATTGTTTAATTGTTTGTTCAGCTTTAAATTAAATGTTACTCCTTAAAATTGTCCTATGTCCTATATTTCTAAAAAGATCCGAGCAACAATATTAACATTTCACAGTACAACAAACGAGAACTAATACACACTAAATCATTCTTCTTAATTTCAAATTGGAATCATTCAATTAATGTGTTTTATTTTTTAAATCGTCATTCGTCTATTTTGTCGCTTCTGTGTATTTTATTTCATTTTATTTAACGCAGGAACGTGAAATAACCACAATTGTGAAAAAAGAGAGAGAGTGTGTGTGTGTATGTATGTGTAACAGGGATTTTAGAAATCATTTTTTCAACTTCACATATATGCTCTCATGTGAATGCTTCTACGAAGAACAAAAATGAAATTAATTCATGTTTTTAGACGTAGCTTTTGTTTATGATTTGATCTTTAGTACATTTGAAAACTTTCTACTGTGTAATTTTTTTTTTTACTAAGTTTTTGCTTTATCAACGAAGAAAATATCACTAAGTCGAATGTTGCTGTTATTTAGTGCAATCTATTTTTCTATACATTTCATGTCATTTTCTATTTGCATTACAAATCTTAATTAAGATAATTTTTCAAATGTTTGCCAAACGAGTGAAATCCAATAAACATTTTTCTTTTTAATCCACTACATTCCATTGTCCTCTGCGGTTCGGTTACACACAGCCTTTACAGAACATTTTAAAGTAATAAACAGATATATATTTGAAAAAAAAATCCACACCCATCAAATTAGAAGAACATATCTCTTTTGCAATCGTGCTTTTTCCAAAACAAAATTAAAAACATTATAGTGTTAAAATCAATTGTCAATTAACGTTACAATAAAATGGATTTTCGTTTTACAATTGTGTTCAGTGAAATTATTCAAAACCATACTTAACGTTTTATTTCTAAATAGAGAATTTCTGTTCACATTCTTACATATTTTTTTTCTTTTCGTGTATCGCTTCAAACACGAATTGGAATGTTTTGTTTCGATTTATTTTGTCAAAATAAAATTATCATAAAATATCTTTGCTGTGTACGACTCTTTTGCTGTAGCATAGTAAAAAGTGAACATAGTAAAAGTGAATACACACATAAAATCGCTTGCCCAAATGGAAATTCGCTGCAAAGCCATTAATGAAGTAATATATCGGTTGGATTAATAAATTTATTTCGAGAATAGCTTGTAGATATATACACATAAGGTACGATCGGATCGGCACACCATTCAAGAAAAGTAAATCTATGACATCTACAAATTTGTTTATGACTGAGATGTGTTACACAATTTAAGAATATTTTGACAACATTCTTTTTTGTTGTGTACAAGTTTTTTAAAGTTTGACATCAGCGTTCGACATTTGTGTGACTTTATTCATACACATTGTACAATTGTGACAGTTGTGATCGTTTTTCGCAATAAATCTCGTTTATAAAAAAAAACTGCATCAAAGTCATATATCTTTTTCTCCCCGTTAAACTTCAAGTATAATTTTCTTGATGTTCGCACACGGTGTGACATGAATCATTTTTCATTATTACACACTTTTAGTATAAAGATAGTTTGTTCTAATGAGCTGTGATTTTCTTTGAATTTTATAAATAGAAAAAAAAACCTGTGGAAACAGTAAACCGTGAAATGCACGGCATGAATTACTTATAATGCAAATGTCATATTTTAAAGCAAGAAATTATTTCGACGCGTTTTGCATATAATTATGACTCATAACATAGGACACAGAGCTCAAGCTAATGCGTACGCCCTTGTTCACGTTTAAAATTCTATATTCATTGACTGCAGATATTCGTTGAGATGCCTCGAGGCACATTTGCGGCTATTTCATAAACCGTATTAAACATTTATTTCTCCACGACATATCCAAACGAAATATTAATGTAAAAAAATGAAAGCATTTTTTTTTCTTCAAAAAAAACTTTCATGTAAATACTAAATCCAAAGTGATTCGAGTTGATAGGACTAACCGAATACTGTCGTTTGGTTGAGAAGGAAAATTCCATTCAACCTACTTAAAAATGAAGATTTCCATATTATGCACTGTCTCAAAGCATGATTTGACCATAATACAATAAAAAAAATTGTAAATGGTTAAAATGAAATTGGAATAAAGAAGCAGAAAAAGTTCTTCTTATTGTTGGTTTAATTTGTATCGAGTTTTATTTTGATTCCCTTTTTTTATCATAATAATGACATCTTTATGGATTACGTTAAAATATTGATCGATTGTCAAATTCTGATTTTATACAATTTCATTGATGCTTTGGTACAAAATACAAACAAAACGACTAAATCGATCCGCTTGGCACTTTGATCGTTTAATAAACTTTCGCTGAGTAGTATGCTTTCAATGTTTATGCCATTGGGCAGGTGTTGCATTTTACATTTTGTGAAGATCACTTTCATGTTTAATCAACAGCTTTTAAGAATTCTATTTTCGATTCAACTGATAGGAATTCAACTAGTTGAAATTTTCGTTTTGGTAGATATACATTGATTTGGAACAAAAAAAAATGATGTGTTCATGCTTGAAAGAGTGGCTAACATATTTGTTCGTAAGCTTTTGGTGGTAACAAATTAAAACTGAAACAAATTGATAAATTTGCCCAAAATTGTATTAAATCGCGCACAGCAAATATATTATATATCCAATATTATGTTAAGTACGAAAAAAGTGTCTGCATTTAGACTTTCTTCTAGTTTAAGTTTGGTTTGCGTTTGGAACTTTTTTGAACTATATATTTAAAATTAATGGTTTTTATGATTTCACTGCCAAATCGATTATTTTCTTTTTCAAAGTCATTTCGATTTCACATTTTTTTCTTCTATTCTCTCAAGTCTATATGTCTTTCCATTGTTTCTAAAGCTAAAAGGTGATAGAGCAATCTGTTTTTTTTTTTTTAAATAGTTTAAATGTATAATTTTTTTTAGTTCATCTCACTCTTTAATTTGATGTATCATATTAGTTGGTAGTCAGGTTCGAATGGTCAACAATTTAAAAGATTTTTTGTTTTGTTTTGATTGCTTCCTTTCGTTTTCTTTGGATTTTTATTCGATAATCAAACAACGTGGCAAATGTTCACGCAAATATTCAAAAAGTTCTTGCGACGCACCGGGACAATTGGTAAGCTCTAGCTCCTGTAAATGACGTAGTTGAATAATGCTGGATAGTCCGCTTGACGTCAATAAAGGGCAACCTGATTTGCAGAATAATAAAAATATGACAAGGAAAAAGGCATTACAATAAGCAAATCACAATGTCTATATCTACCATAATGCAATGGCATTTACTTTGTTCAATGAGGTGGATGCATGTTTATTACCTGCTAGAGATAGTATCTGCAAATTTCGCATCGAGCAAAGATGTTGTAACCCAAAGTCACGTACTTGTGAACACCAACGCAAAAACAATGCTGTCAATGATAACATTGTTGATATATAGCCGACACCAATATCCGTTATATGCACACATCTACACAATTGAAAATTTGTTGTTTTTTTTTCAAAATAAATCCAAGATTAAACTTAATTCAATCATCAAGCATTGAAATGTAAAGGTTATCGGTTGACTCCGTCAAAACATTTCCAAATCAATTATAAATAATAATAAATGAAATGATGATGATGCACTTACCGATCTAACGTGAGTTCTTCTAACTGATTAAGGTCGCAGGCAATATATTCAAGTGATGCATCTGTAATTCTTGGGCACCACGATAAATCTAATGCACGCAATTTTTGTAAATTTTCAGCTATCAATTCGATGCCATCGTCCGTGACTTTACTACATCCGGACAATGACAGGACGGTTAAATGGGGTAGCGAATGAACTGCAAAGATAATTTAATTTTGTTTCTCATATTAAATGTGACTTTTAAAAGCATTGCATCATAAAGTATAATTGGTGTTCATCCCATAAAATGGCGTTTGATCATTTATAATGATATACATTGCGTATTTTCATTAAAAAAAAATATGATGTCATGCAAGCAATGAAAAAGTGACGTGGTACCAATAGTCGAGAGTATGAACAGGTGAACTCTTCAGACTTTAAGTATATCGCGATGAATAAATAAAACCAAAAACAAATATTTCATGTTTCGTCTGTATTTAATTTATCTGGACGAATGTGGTTGGAATCTAAAGCGGTTTATTCGATATTCAAACTTAATCCAATAAATACTTTTGGCCGCACATTAATCATAAAGAATGTGACAAATGTTTATTTTATCAAAAAATGTAGATGAACTAACCGTTAAGGTAACTGTTTGCTTAGAACAAAAATGGTTGAGCAACACTTAAAAAAAAGAAGATAGTTTTTTTTTAAATTGAACAAGAAAAACAAATCAAAGCACTGTTTTTGATAACAGCCTCATTACTATTTCGCTTTATCGAACATTTCCATGTTTATCTGAATGGCACAGGTTTGAAAAGAAATTACGAAAAAGTTCAATTCTTTTTGAACTCAGTTCACAATGGAAGATTGGCCATATTTTATTTATACATTGTATTGGACTTTGCATCACATGCGATATTGTAAACAAATGAAAATGTTAAGCAATCGATACTTTGTTTCATGAAGATATCGTGCTCATTTAATGGAGTGAATGCTGAATAAAAATTATGCCTCCAAATATTATGAGCAACATCTGAAAATGAACTTGGCTGCAAAATTAAAGAACTATTGGTACGGATTCAAACTTTGCAGTCAATTAATGTTGTATCGCTTAACACTAGCGGAGACATGTTTTTATCATAGTTACCAAAGGCATGGGATTTTGGAGAAATCATGTATGTAATTGTACCATCCAATGAGGTAATGCCAAAATGCCGACATGGAAATCAAATTTTTTATTATAACATTTAAAATGATAAAAGAGAGTTGAATGAACTGAATTAAAAGAATGAAACTATTAATAAAAAAAGAATAAAACTATAAACATGATAAAATAAAACCAGAGCATGTTGAAAAAAAAATCAAAGGTTTTCCGATTCTTTTGCAAACATTGATTTCTTCTTAAGTGTGTCGTGTGTTGAGATTTTGTATTCGTGGCATTCAGCAGGTATACAAATGTAAAAAAAATAATACAATATATTTACGAAATGTTTAGTGGTCACAATTTTATACGGTTTTTATTTGTATGTTTGCTTTCCTTTCGCTTTTCAGACGACAGCTCAACAATACATTTGAATTTGAAATGATGAACAAAGTGATAAATGCAATGTAAAATAAACACAAATATTGTAATAGTAGTTAAAAACAGAACATCTGAATTTATTTTCTCGTTTCAAGCATGGATATCATGTCATAACCCAAGTAACCATTCGTATTTATATTTAACCGTATTTAAATACTTGGCAATCACTCATTTGAGTGAATGGACCGTTTTCATTATTTGAGCATTGATAAAATGAATGTCCAGTGTCAAGATGAATGCCGTTATGGTGTAAGAAAAATTGCTATGTGGGTGCCTCCAAATGCTAAAATCGAATACGCAAACACGCGTACACAAGAAATGTGAATCGATAAAGAAAAATCACATATATAGCAATCAATGGGAAAAAAAAACACAATTAAAACATATTTAATAAAACCATATGCTGCATAAATAGACTGTCGGTTACCTTCTTTTTCTGTATTCTCTAATTTGTTTATTTATTTCACACGCAGTCTTTTTCTCTTTCTCTCTCTTTTTTTTCCCAGAGAATTGAAATGGTTAATTACATCGACAGACGAATTAGTTACTCATTAACCATTCGATAAGATAGATCTCTTCTCCTGATTATCTGTTAATTAAATCATTTCGATTCGATATTATCGGTATTGTGAGTGCTCAACGTTCAAAATCTTCGTTTTTTATTTGTGCATTTTGTGTCAATTATCCAAAGACCAGACTAATTAGCAAATTTTTATTTTAAATCTCATTGAAAATTGAATCATCTTACTTGAAGTATGTGACTGTTTTGGTTTGTGACCGACACTAACGGGTACAGTATCATATTTATTAAATCCTGCTCGTTTTTGCGATCACAATTACTAAAACTGCAACACGATACATCATATCACATTATATTATAACATATCAACTGGCGAATGAAATATGTGTTATTTCGTTGATGATATTGTTACGATACGAATTTGTTGTTGTAAATGTAATAAAACAAAAAAGGTCTGGCCACGTTTGTCACTAAATTTACAAAGTGCTTGAGTCAACAAACAATGGCCTTCAATTAGATAAATGGATAAAAAAAAATTGTAAATATTTGTGACTTGTCATCAAATATAATTCCTTTCAGATTTTTTGGGGCTTCAAACTCAAACGCATTCGTCTATGCAAATAGAATTAATTATAATATTGAAAGAATATTTCATCTGTGTTTTTATTTCTTTCGCACACAGTTAAAATGTTATTTATCAGTATCGCTGTATTTTCGCCAAGGAGAATTAAATAAATGAATATCAAACTGAAAGACATATGATGATCATATAGACATCAGTTTTTTTTTAATTCGTAAATGCCACGTCTTCTATTCGTCACACGCAAGGCATACAAAGTGGCAGTATGAGTGCATCAATCGTCGTCCATGAGATTTTTTGCCAACTTTTGGAGTTTTCTTTAGGACATTAGGAAACTATTTAATATAACCGTTAAGTTCGGTGAAATAAGATTTATTTACATTTGAAATGAAATTTCAACGATTTGGCACTATTATTCAACTGTGATTTTTTATTCTTCAAAGAAAAGAGGATTCAAATGTTTTTCTTTTATCAGAATATTTAGTTATGCACCTATAACTATATGCTAGACACTAGACTTCATGCCTACGTGTTTGCTGAACATAAATTGTGTAACCTTCTTTTTCATCAAATCAAATATTCTTCCGCTAGAGGTTATTTCTTCGTTACAAAAACATCAAAGGTACTAATTTGAAGTCGTCAAAATGTTCATCATCCGGAGAGGAAGAGAGATAGAGAAATACTAGAATAGAATGCCATTTTAAAAATGAAAATGGTCTATGAAAAATATCACAGCTAAAATAAAATAAAATATTGTTTACGATTTTTACGGTGGCATTCAGTGGAATTCGAATGACCCGAGAAAAAATGTTCCATTTCCTAGCGTACGTTCGTCTTAAAATAAATCGTTGAGTAAAGAAGAAGAAGAAGAAGAAAAAATTTGGGTGCGTGTATATGTGTGACATATATGAAATTGATGAAAAAGTGTGAAAGCATCAAAAAATGCAATGTAGAACAAATGTTGTTGTAGGCGCTCGCTCAGCCAGTCAGCAGTCACTCAGTCAAAATATCATCAAAGAAATTTCGCACGGTTCGTCTTTGCTTTGAATGATGTTATATGCCATTCATGCATCTGTCTAAGTTGCGAGCGAACACACAGAATGTTCATGTAATATATCAAATGATTTAATACTGTTTAAACAGGCCGAAATCTTACAACTATCGTACGTAAATAGATCGAGCATTTTGTGTCTATTTCAAATAGACGTTCGTTCGCGTATTAGATTGCAACAAAAGAAATTCGCACATTCGTCGTTGTCTATCTATATAACAATGTTATAGTAGATTAAGTTAAGCTCTCTCACTGTCACATGAATCAATTGTATGTTCTATATTTATTCAACATTCACCTACGAAGTGCAACGCAATGCGGCTGACAATACATTTTATGTACATTCTCAAACAATATTTCCCCATATCTTTTCATATATGCATACAGTGTAATATTCTCTCTTCTTATTTTGACTGTCACCGGTATTTGCATTCATGCAAGTAATTGAAAAAAAAAATGTATGGCTTACTGCATCAAAAGTGAGTAAAAAATGTTGTTTCTTGTTGGATGTTTCAATAATTTGTCGAATATCGTGTCACTCTGATGTTCAAAAATATTCGATGTTTTTGATCCGATATCGGTATCACTGATTGAAATTTGATTAAAATTATATGATAGATCCACTTACCTATATTTACAATGCCGTGATTTGTTAGCTCCCAGCAGGATTGTAAGCGCAATATACTTAAATTATGACTTTGTTTTGGAGAAAAGTAACCTAATGCGGCATCGGTGACGTGATAAGCCTATAATATTAAAACATATACATATTTAACACATTGAATTAAGAACATATTACGTACTTAACTAACTAGAGATAATAAGATAAAATTTCACTTCAACTCACTTGTAAAGAAAATTCGTATAAAGAAGGCAATAGTTGTGCTACAGCACCAACAGCTTCATCAGCAATGTTTATACAATCCGCCAACGATAATGAAACAATCCTAGGTGTTAAGCAAGACCATAGACCAGCTTCAGTTACTTCATTGCATCCGGCAAGCTCAAGCTCAAATAATGACTGTAATTGAAAAGAACATAAGCAATATAAGACCATTTCAGCGAGAATAAACCTGTAATTTTTGCTTGAAAATAACAAGGTAACCATTGCATTTTGGTAAAATCACCTCCTAAATGAAACACTTTTAACGTCAGCATTTTAGATGGACCAGTTAAGATGGTTTTATTTACTTAACTTTATTGCTAACTTTTAAAGAAGCTTCACTCGTTAAATTTGCATAATTAATGCAGCTATAGTTAATGATTTAAAATCTTTATGCTTTTCTTCCCACAAATGTTAATAAAGAGAAACGCCAACAATTTTATTTGCATTTGTGAAAAACGTATTTCGGAGTCAAAAGTGTATTTGAACAATTTTTTTTAGATTGTATACCGAAAGCAAGGCAAACAACTCATTATGCCAGAATTGTCTCGGATTTCATAAGTTCGGTTTACACTTAATTTATTTAATTCATCCTTTACAGTAATAAAAAGCTGTTATATATTGTACGCAAATTGAATAGAAGTATTAAATTTCAAATCAGATGAAAACCGGTAAATAACATTTGATTGGCTTTTTAATGCAAATTCTATACAATATTGTATGTGTGTGTCTTTGGAATAAAACCGAAAAAAAGCAATTCACGATGTTCCATTTAAAAAAAGTGGAATTTTTTTAATTTAAATAAGACCCCAAAAAAACTGAACATGTACTTACTTGCAAATGATCAAGTAAAGCTTCCAATCCTCGATCGCTAACCGATGCACATCGCAAACTAAGCGAATGAATATGTTTTGAGGCTAATGGAAATGAATGTACAATATCGATGGCATCTTCGTCGGTTGCGCCAAGTAAACAGATTGCATGAAATCCTCTCCGTACCAGAGAATTATACAATTTAACACGATCTTGATTTGACATAATTCGAAGTTCGCGACACTGTAACGTTGGTAAAATGCCTGACCAAAATTTTGGACTACGATAGAGTGTGTCACGCCAACGTGTGCAAACCTGAGCTAATGTACGCCGTTCATATGGTGTGAAATACTGAAAAAATTTATTAAGAAAACGTTCGTCTTGCAGCAATTGTTCCATCGTGTTTATATTTGATTTTGTGATCCAATTCCAACTATTTAAATCGGCAGCATTGAGCTTTTTCTGTGTTCCACTAATGCAATCATTGCTAACACCGCTGCCGCCCATATTATTCATTGCATTCACATTTTGTGTGGTTGACGTTTGCAGTTTTCGAATGGATTGTGGTGTTCCTTGTTGACTATTGCTGCCGGATGATGTGATTAATTTACCAGTAACAATTTGCTTTGCCGATGCTATTCTGGACGGTTTCTCGGGTGCACCAATTGATGCATTATTATGACTACTTCCACCACACAATGCATTTGTTACACGTTCCATAACGCTTGTTTTGGCGTGTCCGTGATGATGTTTTGAACGTAGGCCTAAAAATAAGATTCATTCGAAGGAAAATAAAAACAATGTTTTGTTAAAAAAAAGCGCATGCAACATAAAGAGGACGCCCAAAAAGCTTATTAATTGACGAAATGGAAAATCACATAAAAATGTTTATGCATCAAGTGATGAGACTTTTCTTAACTATTTTATTGTTTGCATTAAAAATAGTTTACATATGGGAAGAATGCACTTACCGTTGATGCGTTTCGCAAGTTCGACCGAAGCACGCTCAACAACACCTTGGGCTGAGATTGACGACATTGTGTATTGACGAAGGAAGTTTTGATTGATTATTTTCGTGTTTTGATTATTCAACTTGATTAGTGAATATTTTTTACTTTGTTTGATTCAAGCAATCGATTTGTGTAGTTTTTTTTGTTGCTTATTTATTTATTTATAAATATGAAATGCTTGTGCAATTTTTTGTTTGTTTGAAATATCAAAACGAACTACACATGTTCATGTGTTCAATGGATAAACTTAATCGAACGAAAAAAAAAATATATGTAGAAACGCGCGATAATAACAAAAACCACACGCACGCACGTACAAATTCGTAAAGCGACAAAATATAATTTGTTGGCATGAAATTTAATAATATATAATAATTGAGCACGAAATAAAAACTAATTGCAGCCCATATGCATATGTGAATGAAGTGCAGATTTTTGCGTCCTTTTTCTCCACACAATTCTCACTCGTACGCTCTTGCACTCTCTTTCTCACAATAATGGCGATAAACAAATGCGATATTTGAACGGCGTAAATGACAATTATGATTTATTATGATGTGAAATCAATTTGTATGTTCAATGTTCAAATAACGATTTTGACAGATGTTTCGCAGATTTTGTTATATTTTTTTTCTTTTTTTGCAATTTTTTTTAAATTTTTTGTTTTATTTTAAATGTGTTTTTAAATCAATCATATAATAAAAGCAAATCACGTGTATCATTCACCCAAATTTCATACACTATATACTTTTATGAGAAAGTTTTTATTCACTGTATACACATCCACATCAATTTGCACTTTTACTCATGTATATGCGATTCAGTTTTGGCAATTCGTTTTTCCGTCATTTCGTTTCTTTTTACATTTGTTTCTTGATAATGCTAATTCACAACAAATCAATTCTTATGTCAGCCTCAAAATCGACTGTGATTCCTTTTGTTACAAATATGTGAGTGAACAATAGGAAAAAAATGAACTGTTTTCTTTATATATTTTTGATGACGTTTTCACATACACCGAATACTGACAATGCTCAAAAAATATTGTCTATTTCAACCAAAGATTCATATCAATGTTCATTATAATCATTATTATGAAAAAATAAAATTTAATTCACTACAAATTTGCACAGTTCTGTTTCTTTTGCTTTCAATCAATTAAAACTAAACAATTTCTATATATACATACATATGTATAGATATATTTTCATTGTATATTTGATACAAGCACAATGTGTATTTTTCTTTCACTATGAACTGTGATTTTCAGCCCCTAGATAGAAGTTGTAAAATTCTTTATATTATTTGTTTTAAATCACGATTTATTTGTTGTGTATTTTATTCGAAATGATACACTGTCACCGAAAAATATCTGCGTTCAAATGTCTACTAATTCGATAAATAATAAAATTGAAATGCAAATTTCGTTGGTTTTTATTTCGATATATATAAATTGTGTAGACGAAGAGTATTCTGTCTCTGTGGCTCGTTCTATAATAATTGCGCGCATGTATGTATTCTCTTGTTGTACGATTGTGTTTGTGTTATTTAGGTTTTATTTTCGTGTTATTTTCTTTTCTTCAAAATTGTTATGGTTCGTATGAAATACACACATTTCTCCACCCTGATTGAGAGCGTGAACGAGAGAGTAACTGCATCACTCGCACCATCGTGAAAATCGATTTTTCGCGCATTTGAAATTCGCCGTTTGGGCTACCGATACTATACGGTTGTATGGTTAAATACAACCGACAGTCTCTCACTGTCGTGCGACTCTCAGCTTTTTAGTGATTTACAAAGCAAACCTACATACATATCGAATGACACGATGAAGCATTTTGCTGAATCAACGGTCTTTTTTTTTAAATTGGATGTATTTTTGAAGGAGGAAATTCGGTTTTCATTTCATTCTATAGTTTTGCTTGACATTTTAATGCTGAAAGCACATACATAACACATAAATACATAGTACAATACATTTATATGTTTGTGTAATGCTTACATCAACAACATACTCATATATACACCCACTAACAGGCTTTGTTTTCAATTCGGTTTTCTCTTCGTTCACATGCATCATTTTACCAACACACGTATACACACACGCACATACGCTCTCTCTCACACACACACACACTCAAACGAATGCGCATACGAGGGCTGAAATGAAATGCGCACTGAGTGGTTGTGAATGAATTGTAAATAGCGAATTTCCACAGCTGAAAGCGGATGAAGTAGGAAAATGTTTAACGGTCAATTTGGTGTTGAAAGATACCGACACATGAAAAATAAAACAGCATTATGTTAAGGAATTGTGGTGTGCTGTTGGTTTTGTTTTCGCTTCTTTTTCATTATTTGTTTTTGACAGAATGGAGTGATTGATACTAAAATGTTTAATTTACAAAAATCTACAATCAATCATATAAAAGCATATATTCATAAAAATCGAATATGGGTCTATAAATTTGATTACGAAATTTGTATGAAAAAACGTGGAAAACTTAAAAGAAAAACAAACCGATAGAAAGAGAATAATAAAATTAATTTGTTTTGAATACGTAGATGCATTGTGAAAACCTCGAATGAATAAAAAACCTTAACACACACATATATAGATTGATTGTGTTGCACAATGATGGAGAAAATAAAACGTTTGAAATGAATTTCTTATCGAAGGCCAAATTTAATTGCAATTTCATAAAAATGTACTTCGGTGGTGAAGAACAAATGAAAAAAAGAAAAATGAAAATTAATAAAGAAAATGAAAATGATCAAGGATAAAGATAAAGATAAAAAAGGCTCAGCTTACAAATATTGCGTGCGATGAACATTTATAAGGAAGGCTTCCGACTTTGTATCTTTTCTTTTTTTTTCAGAGAAATAGCATATCGATAGATATTTAGATTCGATTGTGATAAAATTTGCCTTTCTTTTCATTCGAATAAAAATTGAATAAATGTCATCAAGTGTGTTCACTTGATTTATGATTGAAGTTTAAAAAAAATTATTCATTTATGATTTTCTAGAAATCAAATACAGCTGAAGAAAGCGTTATTTTTGGTCTAACCTTATCTAAGTACACCTTTCATCACTGAAAGCATGTTAAGTTAATTAATGATGTTTATCTATTCGCAATACATTGTACATTAAAAAAATAGATTGGCAAGTCAAAACACTGCATCCAATCGCGCAAAAAAAAAAAATCTATCAATACGGCACACTGAACTCACAGGCACATCAAAACACATTAATTCTATTTTGATATAAAAAAAACCACATCAAAACTTAATGTACTATCGTTTTTGTCACACGTTAAAAAGTGAAAAGTGTTTGATTATCGCACATCATCAATGACATTTTTTAACAAACTTTGTGGAAAAATTATGATTTTTTTCTTTACAAAACAAAGTGATATTGTATATATTTCTCTTCCAATGCGTTTTTCATATGAATGCTGAACATGTTCGAATGCCTTTTTTTGTATTTACTTACTGATTTGATTGCCAAGAATGGAAGGTTTTAGAGGTTAGTAGTTGGAAAATAATTTTTAGAGGATACGAACACTCATACATATACACACTCGAAAATTGTATGTACACTCGAAAATTTCCAATCCAAGACACAAGACATTTCTCATTGTATTTTAACCAATTTAAAAGTGCATATGGCACAAATGAAGAACATATACTCGATTATTTTATTCAACGTCGATGACGAATGTTTTCAACTGATCAAGGAAGAATGATGTATATTGATTGTTTGTTTGTGCACTTTTCTATCGATGTGATTGTTGCTTTCATCGATGCATTGCATGACTTTATTTTATAACGTTGGAAACATACTCACATGAATGCATATTATTATTTTTTTCTATTTCATGTCGTATTGGGATTGGATACCAACATGCAATCATGTTTACAAACATTTATTGTTGTACTCAACATCTCTTTCAATATATTTTGCAGAAGTGATATAGTATATATCATAAGCAAAATCACATATCCATTCGGACTGGCTATATGTTAACTTGTTCTTCATTTCAAATTCGAGTTTCAGTGCCATTGACTGTATAAAATTCAATATTTTTAATTTTTAAATCAACAAAACGCATTCATTCAATCATGAGTCAATAACAATGGATAAAAAAGAAATTATTGTTTCTTTTTTTTTCTAATAAGAAATTTTATACTCGTATAGTGAAAAAAGCTTTCATCAAGTTGGTATTTATGATTTTGCTATTGACAGTTATCTTTTGCGACTTGTGTACACTTTGTTTTGCATCAAAAATCGAATCACTAACAAACAATCAAATAGATAAAACTTCACACGATTTTCAATAATAAATTCGTTCACATTTTCAATATTAAAGCGAGTCCAGAATGTTAATAATTGAACAACAGTCAAGTGCGATAGGTGGCCATAAAATAGCATTGGTGTCAATAAATCATTAGATTTTTTAATTAAGTAATTATATCCATTGGATGAATTTATAAATTAAATGTTCTTGTCAATCCGATCACAATTAATTGCAACTGCTAAAGTAGAGAAGTATAAAGAATAGTAATAGAATATTTGAATAATTTTATAAATTAATGATGATAAAATCTTTTGCGTTTCTTCCGCCTTTTAAATGAAACTTATCGCATTCTTTTGTTCTATCAAATATTGATTGCATAATTCACGTTTTTTATTCGATTATTCTCAGTTGTTCGGTAATAAAAAACTTCGTTGGTCAGCGAATGCAAACATTCAACTTTTGAATTTATTATTGAAAACAGCAAACATGAAAACAAAAACCGCAGAGTAAATAGGAAAATTTTGAATGAATGTCCCTGTTAATACATAGATACACACCGTTTTCTAATCTATTTTAATTCAATTTATTCATTTAGTCACAAGCATATCGCACCTTTGCCGACACCGTAACCGTTATAACCAACGCTCTTTTCCTCAATTCACACAGTCCGATTCAAAAATAATTACGTTACCTACTGACACACCGCACAAGAGATAGAACCGTCGTCTTCTTTCCTAACTTAATCATCTATATTGCACTCCTTCAAAAAAAAAAAAAAAAACGAAGCGCTACATCAATGCAAGCCACTGAACTGTGTACACATATTTACAGCTGTATTTGTAGCACGTTTCAAATATCAGCGGCAATTTGACTCAATTTATATATAAGACACTGCCAAAAATTGCTTAATGTTTGGTTTACAGGTTATTTCAAAAGTCACACTTAAATTCATAGACGAAATTGTTGTTTATCGTTTTATATATACATTTGAATCGGTGAGAAGAAAAACGTCGTTATCTCAATCGGTTGCAAAAGTGTGAAACAAAGCCAATTATTTCGATCGTCAATTTTTTAAAGAAAAGACCGCTACACTGTTCACAGGATGGAATTTCACATTAAAATAGTTTCACGTGCCAAATTTCGGTTGTACACAAATGATTCTAAGCGATTCAATCAATGATATATTTTTTTATTATTATCATTTTTCATTTTGCGCACCTGAATTTATCGTCTTTTGCTTATATTTTGTATTCTGCATTCTATTTTTGTTTGTATACAATGTTTGGCAACATTTTTGTCCGGGGTCATTCTTTCTGACCCTATAAAACGAGAAAAAAAAACAATTCGCGGTAAACATCTCTTTTTTGGGTCTCATTGTATTTGTGTTTTTGGCTCAAAATGTATGCGCGACATTGATTTCAGTTCTACTTCAGATAAAAGAGGTAAGGAAAGTATTCTCAGGCACAAATTTGGCAGGCAAACAATCTTTGGCGCTGTAAATAATGGTACATCAGTGCGACATTCCTTTGTGACATTATTACTGTGCATAGAGAAAAAAAAAGAAGACACAAACGAATCCGGCATAATTAAGCTGTATTTTTCAATTTTGTTTTTCTTTCCTTAAATTCTTTCAAGAATGTTTCAGCAGCCAAACAATTTCTACAGAAAAGAAACATATTCAAAGAGAATATATAGTTCACAGTTATGCGTCTGTTTTCCTACATGAATACACTCTTGATATAGGACAAATTTAGCATTCGTAGATCTTTTGATATTGGGAATTAAAGTATTAAAACGCTAACTGTTCATTATTATTACAGCTCGTAACGATGTAAGTCATAATCCTTACAAATCTCCAAGGAATGAAAACATTTTATCATTGCATTACAAAATGTATTTCAATATTATTTTAAAAGGGACATGTTTAAGAAATGAATACCCACATAATTACCATGTTTTAAGTAAGTACAGAAATTTGCATTCGCCGAAAGATATCGAGTTATCCTATTGCTAAAATGAATAATAAAAAAAAGTGCGTTATTTAGGATAGGTAGTCAATTTCCGGTCGATGTCAATTTTCGAAAAATCGTATATACTACTAAAATATACAAATTATGTACAATTATGTACAACAATTATTATGTATGTCAATCATTCTTTTTGAGAAAACTGATTATAATCAAAAGAACGACATTCCAGGCTCACTAATATTGCATTTATCCAGTCTTGTAAAAAGCACAAATTGAGAGGTACAAATTTTCTGAATAAATTCAATGGTATTCACGACTACGAGAGAGAACACTATATGCATTGTGTCATACAAATGCTAATGAAACATTTTTCACTTTTGCAAAAATTATAATTCACTAGGCAACGAATTTCTCGACTTTGGTTTATATTGATTTCAGTTCGGCTTGGTTCTCGTCGCTCTCTCACTACGAAGCCACTGAAACGTGCAATCGTAACTGCTATTCTACTGGCGATTGAAACTTAGTAAGGGTACTGCGGTTCTTGCTCGTAATTACTTCCGTCGTGGGGTATAATATAAATATAAATTCATTTCATTATAATCAAAAATAATTTTAATCAATAAAAATTAACATTCATTTGATTTTATAGTTACTTCATTTGTTTCACTTTTCAATTAAATGGACTCATTGAAGAACAAAGAAAAATTTAATAAAATGTCGAATAAATAATAACAAATTATACACTTGGGTAAATTCGAAATTTTTCTCTTCTTCTCGATAATTATGTTCCTCTAAAACGATTTATTGCAACAAATAATGGATATACTCAATTTCTGTTAACTTTGTGCCCTCTTATATCCTACAAATATAACTAATTTATAATTTTTATTTCATTCTCCATTATTATGTACAGCATTATATTTATTATAAAACTATTAGAATGTTTAGGCAATCAATTAATTAAAATTCTAATCGGAACTAGATGGATTTTGGCTGGTTGATGACGTCGATGCTGTTTCATTTTCAACAAATGAACCATCACTATCGCTGAGTTCGCCATTAAATTGTAATAAACAACCCATTGCACCAAAGTATCCTTCGTGCTCTAGGAACAATGCTTTCAGTGTTCCATTTGACCAATAATCCATTGCATAGGCCAATAATTTCATAGAAATTGGATTTACACGTAAGAAATTACCAACAAATACCACCTAAACACAGCAAAGAAAAAAACAAATGCACAAATTAGAAAAAAAAGGAAATATGTTTTGTTTCATTAGATTGATGCATATACCTTTTCAATTTCTTGATTCATTGCGCATAATTTGGCTATTGAACCAATATTGTTGGTTATTGTTACTAGCGTTGCATTTGCCAGGTCTTCCTTTGAAACACTAGCTCTTCGATCTTTTCCGTTCATTTGACCAAAGCTACTTGTTAACAAAAAAGCACACAATTTGAGCAATGTAAATGAAATAATATTTATTATAAATTGAATGTTACCTCGAAGCAACCAAATCTGCGGGCAAATTGAATCGTTCATAGGCACCACCGTATATGTCTCGTATCAATTTGTCGACATTTTTATGATCACCTTTTGTTGCTAACTGTATCGCTTCCTCAAATGTATCACAGCCAGTTAACAAGCAGCACAAACCCAAGAATGTACCACCTCCCAAACTGTCGAATACAATTTACTTATGATTAAAAACATTGAAAATTGAACAAATAACACATAAATACTTTCGATTAGGTTAACAAGAAGGAGGTTTAAAAATGAAAATCGAAGAAAACAAAATAAAATGAAAAATAAAATTTACCTTGTGCCTGATATGCGTTTATAATTGGATGGTCCATAAACAGCCAATACGGAAACGCCACTACCAACGTTCACCAAAATGAATGGATAAGGTTGCGAAAAGTCGTATCGCTTCTTTACACTCGACCTGAATAAATCGGAATTGCAATGATATCAATCTCATTCAAATACAGTAATTATGCAAATACTCACTCTATTTTACTGGCATTTTCGAAGTAATAACATTCGGTTGGATTATGTGTTTCAGCAAATAAAATACCCTTGATAAGAACATCGAGTTCATCAAATTTGGCTAAGTTCATGTTTACTTCCTGTAAAAATCAAACGAAACATATTGCACATATATTATTTGACACAAAAAGTGAGAAAATCGTGCAACGTTTTCTTACATCTTTGAAATTCTGTTCGAATTTGAATGCTCCGCCGCCAGTTGCACAAACTGTAGTAACTAATTGTGCCATTCCTTTTGATTTGGCCAATGAAAGAAAATTTCCCATTTCAGACGTTGGAAATCGAATAAAATGAAGCGATCCGCGTCGTCCACGAATGTGCACATCGTCCATCTGAATTGTTTTTTTTTTTTTTCACATAAACAATTTTGTAAATATTATTTTTGAATTTAATTTATTACGTAATATGCCAGAATTTTTTTTGAAAATTCGGGAGTTTTTTCTGCAAAAAATGTTTCGAACACACTTTCGGCATTCATAAAAAAATGATATTCACCTGCAGATGTATATCTCGGTAACCAGTTTTACCATATGCTGAATTTTTCGTCAAATACCGTCGAATGTTTCGCAGTGTTTCGGCTTCTTGATCGAGCTCGTCAGGTGTGATATCCTTCGGTTCGAAATAAACCAATTTGGTTAAAGTTCCACCTATGTCCATGCCAAACCATGGCATTGCTGAAATAAAAATAAATACAAAATGATCCAATTATTGATTCGAATATAAATTAGAGAGATGATATAATTGAATCGAAACGTTCATACTACACATTTTTTTAATGGGAGAAAACTCAAACAATTTATCAATTTGATCTTAAACCTGAAACCATATTTATAAATGAGTGCGATGAAAAAATGTCTGAACTAAACATGTTTTTGTTATTTTCAACTTCGTTGGTATATATTTCTTAAATGAACAAATGCGTTTTTTTTCCTATCCGCTTTTGAACAATTATGAGCACATGTACTATTATCTCCTGATATCTACAGATTCTTTCAATGTGTTGTCAATTAATAAATTGCTGTTGTATAGATATTTAAGGCAAATTGGTCAATATATGAAACCGATTTTTCGCTTTTTTTCATGTGACCTTATCTTTTTGTGAAAGCATGTCGTTCTACCATTGAAATCCTTCCAATTCCATCAAATGAATAACTTTTACATTTCGAAAATGCAATTAATTTTATTAAAATGTGAGTGTTTTTTAACTGATAATTTAAGCTGTAATAAAATCTCTTTCCGAGTATGTACGACATTGTCAATTTTGTGAAGATGACATTGAAAAATAATTTTAAAAAAGTCACAAGATGTTATCAAAATTATTCTAATCTTTAATCTTGTCCGTCTGTGGAAAAGAAAAAAAAAAGCGATGATTTTTGTTGACAATCGGTAATAAAAGCTGTATGCATAGAAAGTCAAGCTCTTAATAAGACGTATTTATTTTCCATAGACGTATTATTTTGTGTGCAAATGTTTTCATTTCATCTCTATTCCTCGCTCCTTTAATAAAACTCTTTTGGTCTATTTAATTTTTGAATTTGGCACACCACAAAACAGCTTAATAAAACCAGTAATAATGTTCGTGTGTGATTACCTCATGATCATTGATTAATGTGTGATATATTTATAATGGCGTTTAATTGAAGTATGTGCAAACAGGTCTTGGTAAACAAACCGTCAATTTGTGATATGAATATAAGCCACGAGTGAAATGATTTACGTTATTGATTGAAACGTGATGTAAACTTATGTAAGCAATTCAACAAAACATTCGAATGACGAATTTTGTTATAACATCAATCAGTTGCACAGTATCTTCGGGTGAAATGCGTTATCTTAATTCAAAGACATCGATCGGTTTTTTTTCTTTTAAATAAACATTCGTTCTAACAACGGCTTTATTATAAAGCCCATTTCTCACACACATGGCCGGGGCCGAAAGTGCAAGTATATATTTATTGGTTTTCCGTATTCATTCTATCATTCATAATGAAGTCGATTGAATGACAGTCAAACAGATACATGTGGCACTCTGCTGATACGGAAATGTTCTTGTTATTGTTAGTACTTTGCAATAAAAAGCATATCAAAGGCACATTGATATACCGACAGACAGCACACTATTCCTACTCATGGCAATCAAGTTTAAGTTACACAATAGATATTAAAAGTTAATTATCTTCACTAGAAATCATTAGCATTGCATGCCATTTTTACAGATACAATTTACAAAATACGGTTACTATTCCATATGTCGTATAACTAACATGAGCCACTCCAATCTATTGCAATTTTTCAAATATTGATCTTTGTTTTTTTTTTTTCGAAATGGCGCACACTCATTCACAATCTTTTTGCACAAGCAACTACCCTAATGATTGGGGCCTAATCTACTGAACTATTGTAAGAAAAATCCATCTTTTTTGGAATTATCGTTTCTTTTATTTGTTAAATGTTGAAATAAATTCAGCAATTTCTTTTGCAATTATGCATCAGTTGTCGATGCTTCTTTTTCGTATGGATTAAATGGAGTATGTAACAAATGAAATTTAATTTATAATTGAATTTTACTTTGAAAATCTACGAAAAACCACTTGAATTTTAAATAAAATTTATTTATTTTCCATTAATAAGTTTTTTTTTTAAATGGGAAAGCGATATAATAAAGATAATTCAATAAGAATACATCATATTTTCAATTGAATAATTAATCTGTATTTACTAATTGAATAATCCAATTGGGAATTTTCACAGTATCTGTGAATTTTAATATCAATTGTAGCGCGTGATTCAGGAGGTAGCACCTTGAACTGCATACATATGACCAGTTTGTCTGATTGTATATTGATCAGCTGTGTATTTTCATGCAAACAATGTAATCATCGGAAGGTTGCCATTTTCAACCTATCTATGATTCTTTTATGATTTTAATGAGTTCCTTTGAAGAGGAAATATTTTTGAAATGGATGAATTTTATGTTAAAAAAAATGATGATTAAAAAGAACTATCGATAGGATTGAAAATGACATCCTATGATTACATTGTTTTATTCCCGATTGCATGATTCACTTGACAATTGTAATATTGGATCGTTATGACAAATACTTACTGGCATGATGGATGTTAATCTCAAAATCATTTTCATCGTTTGCGCCAAATACCGTTTTATTGTTGCTATGCTTTTTTATTTGTACCAAACGCACTCGCAAACAATCTTTGCAATTGATAATATCATGTGGTGTGGTTGTTGTTCGTGAAACTGGCGCCATTTTTGATCCAAGCGGTTTTTTTATGGTGTATTTGAATTTTTTTTCTTTTGACAAAAATTTATAATTCGGTATGGGCGGTGTATTTTTTTAGTGTTCAACTGTAATTCTATTTATTTTCTACTTGTTTTTGTTATCGCAAATCACCGGAATTGTATGATGCTCAGACTTCATATTGACTCATTTTCTAAAAAAAAATATTTAGTTGAAAACTATTTTCGAGTCACACAGGCATGCATTCTTCTAATTTAATAAAAATAATATTTGTTGTTATTTTTTTTAAAGAGTCTTTACACTTTTCACTATATTTTAACAATTCAAATAGTTATTCATTATATTCTATCACTGGCACTGACTAACGTTTTTTGCGAATGTTCTAAATTCCATAATAATAAAAATTTCAAACGACTTTATATTTCCCGTACTTTAAAAAAAGAAGCTTTTCGTGTATTTTTTGTTCAAATCCATACATTTAATTGAATTGAGAAATTGACAACTGCAACATTAACAAGGCAATGAAAATGTTCATTTGTAGTCTCTTTGGTGTTTCGAATCCGAATGATTGCATTCGTCGTACTTGAACATGAAATCAAAGGGAGATAGCAAAGACAAATTTTGTTATGCTTGTGATTGAGTACTCTTATCACCAAATTATGACAACGTAACATTTGACATTCAATTTGAACGTTGACACAAAATATCATCCCATCTTTTTTGTGGTCAGGTTCAAAGCAAATTGACGACATAGACGACGGCGACGTCATTTAATAAATATAATGGTAAAACATTTTCCCAATTTATATGCCATGAAATCATTAAAGTCATTGTTGAAAAATGCCATTTCGTTAGTTTCCAGTATATACATATGTTCGCATTAGATTAAACGATTAGTGAGTAAATAATTGAAATTTTTTTTTTTTTTTTTGAGAAACATGCCAATTTTTAACTTATATTGAAAGTAGCCAAATGAATGTCAGCGAAATGAGTAACAAAATAAAATGCCAATTTCAGTTGAAACCGGATATACATTTGCTTTTTGTTTCGTGTATAGAGGTATAGGCGCATACCACACATTGAGAAAGAGAAAACCTCAAGCAAACAAAAGGTAAACATATTTTTGAAGCAAATGAAGTATGATATTTTTTTTTTGTATATTGATATTGAAATGAGCACGCGTACACAATGAGAACGATATTCCAATGTTGGTTCATGCGATCTTTGGTGGGCAGTTCATTCATAAATTTACTAAGTTTACGTTTGTTTGGCCACATATGACGAGCACAACAAAAATTTTGTAAAAAAGTGAATTTATCACTTTGGTAATCTTAAATGTTATGTCGTCATTAATTTTTTGTTGGGTCCGGTCAGACAGCTGCTACATATAATTGTGCAGGTTTTTTTTTTAATTCTCATTTTTTGCTTTTTGAAAAATGTTAAATTGCGATTTTTATCCATCATACTATATTATCGAGAGAAAAACATAAAATTCAAATGAGCAATTCATATCAGCGTTTCGTCAAATGCTTGGTAGTTTTTGTCACGTTAAAAATCACATACCAGCTGTATATTTCACAGACAAATAAAATACTATTGTGTGAATCTGAAGAGTTTGTGTATATGTGACATGACGACACATCGAAGTTCGAAACCCGAAAATTCAAACGATTCGAAAGAAGAAAAGAAGAAAAAAAAAACACTCACAACTGTGCTTTGCATTTTTAATTGGATAACGTTTCTTTTGATTCGACGCAATTTTAATCGAATTAATTAAAATATTTTAAAAACGAAAGTAATACATTGAATTAGTTTTGTAGCGTCGTTCAATGGCTTTATCGCTATTAATTTTTCATTTGGGAAACAAAAAAAGGATTCACCTTTGGCACTTTTATGAATTTTCAATTCTCGATAAAGTATCGTTGAACTTGGAAATGAACGAATTCAACCGAAGTCGATTTAAAAAGAAAAAAAAAATACAATTTCTTTTAGTTACATAATTTCTCATTTATACATTTCCATTCGATATTGATCATTTATGGTTTTACGAAAAATCGGAACTTCAATTTTTCTATTGGTGTTCAATGAAAGTGTGTAAACATTGAAATTCAAATATATACAACGGGCTAACTCTTTTTTCATTGAAAAATTCAACAACAAAAAATGCATTGAAACCATCGACAGAAAGTTACATGAAATCGCACACTTTTATTCTTGTTTAAATCAAATCGTACATAGATGATTTCAAAACATACTTATTATGTTTTGAAATAACATAAACAATGAAAGAATATACGTTATTTTCATTCACAAAAAATGAAACGAAATAAATTTAAAAAATAAATAAAAAGCTATAAGTTCAAAGTAATTTGTAGTAATTGACACTGAACGAATGTATCGTCGTCTTGTTTTACACTCTTTTGGGCAAATGTAATGGGAAACCAATTTGTTGAAATTAAAGCTCACAATTACAATGAAGATAACAGCACACGATGTCTCGAAAATGTGGCGCGATAAGTTTTACGATATTTTTCTTCACACACTCAACGTTCAACTGGACTGATCGGTTTGTACCTATTATCAAGACTGAATTGATTTGTATAGTCGGAATTGAATATGTGAGTAATCACGCGAATCAGCCGCACGCATACATTTTTGTCGTACAATTAATTGCTCATACAATATATTTCGTTTTATTTTATTTTTTTATTTCTTCCAACTTTAATGTGCAAACAGTTTATTTTATGTGTGACCGATCGCACGTTTACTCAGAATCGATCATTCGTCATACACATAAAATTCAATTTCTAAACACCATTGCAAATAGGGATAAACAAACATTGATCAATGTTATTGATAAACGTGTATTTGTGCGTCAGCGGAAACATTTAGTTTTTCGCTGAAAAATGCAATACACTTAAATGCTATAAATTCCCCGAATTGTTTTTTATTCCCAGATCTTCCGAAACCAGACATTTTTTGTTGATAAAACGTAAAGAGTTTCGCAATGGTTCGCAATGGCAACTTATAAATATGACATTCAAGTGGATTTCCTCCACTTTTATTTTCGATATTATATTAGAAATTGTATTTTGTGTGTACCAACATTTTGTACGATATATAAGTAGACTGTATCAATTTGGTGACATCCATACACCTCAATGGAATTCGCTTATCAGTTAAAAGTGCATGTGTATTGAAATGCAATGGTTTTACCTATCACTGCATAGCAACAAACAAATTAACGAGTCGTGCCACACACAGATCAAGAAATTCATGCCATCCTATTCATCCATTTGGTCGATGTATGCATTTCGACTCTTTTCAAACATTATACCGACAATTAAATTTAACGAAATATTGCTATTAGAAAGACATTTCATGGATATATCGTTTAAATACGAAAACAAAGGAAAACATTCGTGTTCAATTGCAACAACGAATACGATTTATTATATAGTAAAAATTTTAATATAAAAAGTTTTGCACATTGATCGCAATTAATGGGCATTGCATCGAAATGAAATAAAATTTAAAAACTGTTGCTGTCTAATAGATCATGTCATATGTATTTGTTTCCGTTATTTTGACAAAAAAAAATGTTAACACTGTTAATGGCGTTTAACTTGATATACAGAACTGACTTGTTGATTACAGATAGGATGAAAATATCCTAGGGGTTTTTATCTCAATCAAAACACTGTGAATTCGCTAAATATTCGCAAAATACGTACATTGAATGCATGATTTGTAAAATATGCATAGTATATATTCAATTGATGTGCCGCCATATTGAAATTTGGTTGACATATTGAGCCGTATTTTGCAAATACTCTGCGAATGTTCTCGTAACATATGAATATTAATCCAAAACCATCGAATAATATATATTCGCGAATAGATGTATTCCCTTAGAGAATATCAATAAGACTTTTCTACGTATAGTTTTGCAATAGGTCTTAAATATTTGTGAAACTCAGGAGACAATGATCTAGGCTACCTAGACAAGGTACTCTCTTCGGATATTGTGATCATCAATTTCTCCATGATTTTTTTTTTATTCCTAACATGGCTGACTGTAGATAGTAATTATAAGTGTTTGCTTTGAGATTCAATAATGAATTTTCGTGAATTATTTTATATGAAATTATAGTGTGGTAGTTTTATTGTTCATCAGTAATTAATTGGTTTTTATTATGGTAATGAAGGTAGATGTCAAAATTGTTTGAGCATATCACCCTCATTAAATGCTAGAATTTGAATGCCATTTTGACTGATGTGCGTACAAAAGTACAAAAAACTCATACCTTTTCGTTTGACTTTAGTTTCTTCCATTGTTAAGATGTAGATGGTTCCAAATCGCCGATTCGATCGATGTTTGATTCAACTGATTTTCGTTATGTTTATATTGTATGCCAGATTAAAAATCAGGTGAATTTTTTATCAGACGGAACAAAAGGTATATAATGCTTGACAAATATGTGCTCAATTTTGGTTGGACGGTTTTGTGTATTTACCTATTCTCCTACGTTACTAGTCATTGTGATAATAAAGGTGTCAAAAGAGAAAATTGGTTATTTAATTGTTTTTAAATTTCCAAATTTGCTATTCTATGCTCATAAATTTCACTTTAATCTGGAATTGCAATATGTAATTAGTCAACAACAAAAGAACTTTTAGCCGTTTGTTTTTGATACGAGATTAAAACTATTCCGGTTTGATTACTTTCGACAATCTTTTATTTTTTACAGATTAAAATGATCACTTTTAATTAACAAACACGATCACCGATACTGCAAATAAATTCTACTAAATATTTTATTGCGATCATTTATAATTATATTTCATTAAATGATCACAAACAAATAAACAAAAATTTGTCGATAAGTTCAACTTGTTGATCAAGGTTCAACTAATCTATTGATCAAGAAATTTTCATTTGATAAAACCAATTTACTTTTTATTTTATTATTGTAAAAAAAATAAACAAAAAATTGAGAGAGAACACAAATACACGAAGCTATAACGATGAAACCCCTTTAGAATCCAAATTTATTTAATTGTGTTAACAGAGAATTGTTTCTGATAAATCACATCATTCTACCATTGCCAATCTCTCGATGAACACATGGTATTGACTTACACAAATGATTCTGTTTTATACAATCACACTACATACAATCTACAACATTTGAATCTATTTAACCTGATTGCATGAAGTAACCCCAAATATTCATGATTGTTTTTTTTTTAATCTATCTATCTCTGTCTGTCTCACATAAAAAGAACAAATTCTTGGTTAAAATTTATTTGTATTTGTATTGAATGCAATTAAAACAAACACTTCAAACTGATTGATATTGTGCTTCATTCAGTGCATTATTTTTGTGGATTTCTCTCTCTCTCCCTTTATTTTCAACACTTAAATCATGATAATGTGCAATTCCATAAGATTTCACTAGTATTTGACCGTTGGTGTGCATAGTTTGTACGATTCTTCAATGGTTTTGTGTCATGTTAAATCGTTTTTTCTTGGTACTTTTTCATTTTTACCTCGCTTGTTTCGAATCATTTCGTTGTACACAGTTTGGTCACAATGCAAAAACACTTTTTAATTTTTGTAACATGTGTGTGAATTTTCCAATCACATTTGTGTTACCCACACACAAACTCGAGCACGTAACATTACGTATGTCTCTGTATGACAAGTGACTTAAATTCACGATTTTATTCGTCTTTTTTTATTCTGTATCATACACACAGACACACATACCGTTTGTATATTTCGAATTTAAGGTTTGTTTGTTAATCTATTTAGTGAATGTGTGGACGGTAAAACGAATTTGCGAAAATTGTATGTGTATCAGTATGTTCTCTTTGACATGTGCGCTCTATCAATATTAAGCCGGACCACAATTGCACAATTTTATTCAAACCATTGAGACAATTTCAATGACATTCTTTATTCAATAGAACTTAGAAGAATAAAAAAAAGAAGAATAACTCGAAATCATTTTTTTTTTTTATTTTAATCATTTTTAATTAAACGATTGAAAATCGAATATCGATAAATATTTTGGAAAAAAAAAGTGGTCCAAATCAAAGAGAATGCATTTGACAGTTAACGTATCTGACACACAACTGACACTTGACATTTTTTTCACTTCTTATTCGGACTTTTTCTCTCTTAAGCACCAGTCTATATGTGCGTAACATTCATGATTGAGCTCACTCTATCTCTCTCTCTCTCTCCCTCTTTCCATGGTTTCGTATTGCATACAAACAAATATCGTTTGAAATGTCACATCAACGCGGTATTGGCGCGCTCACAAATACCAACACATTGCGCTTCTTTCGTAAAAATATCGCAATCAAATAAAAAGAGCGGGTACAATCGCTTCGGCATTTTTTTTCTCTTTTTTTGTAACTACATCTTATTTCGACTATTTTACATTATTCCAAATTGTATTTAATTATTTAAGTTGCGATCATTTTTATTCAAAGAAAACAAAGCTGTGAAAAAAATCGAAAAATTTGTGTGGCATTCGTCGAAAATAAACAAACATTTTACTTTATTGAATGTAGAAAATAGCGAGCTGTCAGTGCAACAAACAAAACTCATATTGTTGTATTGATGCAGAACCGCTGTTCGTTTTGTGAAAAACGATTTTCAGAAATTGTTAGTCAAAAAAAGCAAATAATGTACAATTAGAAGAAGAAAATCGGATTTTTTTTGTTTAAACGAAAAACAATAACAAACAAACAGTTACCAGTTACATCGTACAAAATAATAATAAGAAAAAAAATTGTGTGAAAGCGTGTGGTACTACGATGAAGGACAGCCATCAAAATAGGCAAGATTGTGAACTATTTTTGCGGGCATTCGAAAGTATGTCAACAGTATTATTTCATTATTGAGTTTCATTCTTGCAAATGTATTTTATTTTTGTGTTGTGTGGTGAACACATAACGGCATCATATTGCATTGCTTACTGATTATATATTTGGTGTGTTTTTTTTTGTCTCTTTCTACACTTCCCCAACAGAGCCAACGCAAATTTACCGATATTTGCGTACGCGACGTCTTTTGTCGGTAAGTTCAACCACATTCATATAATTTCGTCTTTGCGGCCAATATTTTTACTATATATAATATAAATATGTTAAAATAATATATATAAATGATTGGTATGTTTCCATATATGGTTTATTTGCAGCCACTTTTCTTGCAGCGAAATCTGGTTTATTTGAAAGATCGAATAACAAAGCAAAGAAAATGTCCCCGACGTCAGCGGAAAGATTTTGATTGGCCAACATTTTTGAAAGAATTGAAACCAGTCAAAACTAATGATCCGTCTGATAGTTCATTAGTTTTTAAATTTCTTGGATATTTTGATGAAAATATTTTGAGTACTGAAAATGACACTGCCACTGTTAACATTTATGTACTCTGCCGAAGTAAACATCAGCCGAAGTTCTTGGTAAGATATTTTTTTTTTCTCAATTTGCGTGTATGTATTTTGCATTAATATGGCGCTTTTGTGCAATATGCAGGCGGCAATGTATATGCTAACTATGTAGAAATTGGGGAAATTTTAATTTTTTTTTCTTCTTATTTATAGCTCAAAACGATTCCAGTTGAAATCAATCCACGCATAATTATAAATCCCGTTCCAATCACACTTTCCAAAGAAGAGCTAATGCGCAATGTCAGTAGAACTGATCGCTCTTGTGAATTAGTCATAGAAGTCTCGTATGTTGAGCATCAAAACAATGGTAATATAAATTCATATTATGATATGTTGTTGTTGTTTTTGTTCTTATAACGTTTATTTCAGTGTAATCTATAAGCATTTATATATATATATATATATATATGTGTGTGTACGTGTGCTTTGCAATTTATTTTTAGGTGAACATTTAGATAAATCACAGCGATCAAAGAAACGCAAAAAGATAAGCCATGACGCTCGTTTGCCAGTTTTCGATAAAAAAGGTCATTGCGATTTGTTGGAAGGTGAATACGAGCTCAATCTGGATGTAAGCAGAGAAACAACACCAATTCGAAAGGTGGATCGTTTAACATGGGCAACCGATATACCGAAAATGTTGACGGGCGATAAGCGTTACTTTCAAAATCGTTCGTTGAAATTCATGTTGCTTTGGAATAGTGAAGATGGTACCAAATCAAAATCAACATCACCAATTCACAATGAAAATGCGATGCTTAACACAACCAACACGGATTGGTGTGGAATTCAAACTGGTTCAACGACATCACTTAGTACATCATCTGGTATATTGAGTGATATGAGCTCGGATGATGCAGAGATTACAACATTGACAACCAAAAAACTGCCAAACTCACTGCCAATTACATTAGCAAATAGATCACCGTATGTTGAATTGCTCGGCATGGGATCACATCTCATTTATCGTTTCATTTATAATGATGATTTGAGTCAAAAGACCGTTGCATGGGATGAATTTTTATGTCCATGGTGTTATTTGAATTGTACAAGTTTACATCCATTGTTGATGCATTTGCGCTTGTGTCATGATCGTTTCAAATTTTCCTACACCCAAAAAGAAGATGGCATTCAAGTCGATGTATCAATCAATGAGCGATACAATTGTGCATTGTCGCCGCTCAAAGAAAATTCACTTGAATCGAATGACAATGACATGAAACCATGCAAACGTAAGCCTTATACAAAAGTATTAGTCTCTCGGCCACGAGCCAGAAAACATCGAAAATGCTTAACCTTTGAAGAATTAGATGAAGCAATTGAATCAGGTAAGTTATACATGTCTATTTTATTTCTGCAAATGCAAATAATTTGCAACGATGCCATCCTAATTTGACGACAAAGTGAGACCATCAACGGAATTTCACTTCCGACCGGCAATAATAATAATTCATTTTCCATATTTTTTTTTCTGAAATCATTTGTTTTCTCTATCCTTCTTCCCAAAAAATTAGACGTTGATTCGTCCGATGCCGAAGAAAATAAATACGTTTTACCAAAAGGTCAATTGAATTTTGATGGTCATCGCCGTGTATACTATCGAACCACCAATAATATGATCTACACGCATCGTGCCGATTTCGATGAGGACTCAGAAGGCGAAATGGACCCGGGATGGTTGCGTAGACATACACAAAAACTGATTGATGATTTCACCGATGTAAATGAAGGCGAAAAAGAAATGCTCACAATGTGGAATTTACATGCAATGAAGCATAATTTTGTTGGTGATGCACAAATGCCGTTGGCCTGTGAAATGTTTGTCAATGAGCGTGGCGATGAGATTATAGCGAAAAATCTCTACCGAAACTTTTTGCTTCATTTGACCAATTTACACGATTTTGGTATGCTGTCATCCGGTGAAATGTATTCAATTATCCAAAGATTGCAAGTGAAACAAAAGAATCGGAAACAGTCACGTTTCACTGATTAAAATTTACACTGCGATGATGTTTAGCGTCTTAAATTTAGTGGTATTTTTTAAGTTATTTTTATTAAGATTGAAAATTATTGAAAAATGGCACTGCGATTAAATTTAGAAAAACAAAATGAACTATATTATGCTGAAGGAATGAAAAGGAACATTTGGTTTAAGCGATATATGATGAATCCAGAACAATGAAAACCAGAAAAGTAATTGATTTGAATATATTTAATGTTCCATTCTATTCGACAGATAAATTATCACAAAAAAAAATCTCTATTAACAATGTCGTTACAAAAATTGACACAATTAAATTGTCTTACTTAAAAGAAAATAATTTACAATACGTTATGATATAAATGCCACCGACCATCGGAATAAGCGATATATTTATTCTAACAAATCTGCCGTTAAAACGAAATGCACCTGATAAAAGAGCACTATTCTCATACACATAAACTCTCTCACATCCACACACCGCCTACAATTCAATAGAATTTTAAAATGTTATCCAATATTTATACAAATTTAACTGTTTTTTCTTTAAATAAACACAAAAATCGAAAGATATGTTTTAAACTTTGAACATTTTATTATTATTTTTCATTCTTTATCATTCAAATAAAACGCCATATTGACGAATCGCATGACATCTGCATGGATTTTATACAAACTAACAATATGTCAAAAATCGCGGAGCATTTGTTTTCTCCCTTCAATATGTCCCTTTTGTTATTCTACTTGTGTATTTTATTTGTTCTTTTAGCTAAAACATAAATAAATTACACATTGGATCAAATAAAATAGAAACAGAGAGTTTAATACTCGTCTGTTAGTTTTTGTTGACAAGAGCATTGTAAAATTTGATTCAATCGTTTTGCATAACGCAACAACAAATGCAATTGATGGAAATTATAGAAGGCTCTTTTTAAAATGTCTTTTCACCGACGATGCGGCAGTCGGATTCAATTATCAAACTCAAATCGCACGGCAAGACGAAATATTAATGATTTCAATCATGGAATTGTCATAAGCTCCGAACCTATGCTGGATGGTGTATGGTTTCAAGTGCGCATCGATGAAAAGGTTTGTTTAGTACACACATCAGTGTCATTTCTATCGTTGACACAGCTAATGAATGGTTTTTTACTGTAGACACAAGCATGGAATGGAACAATGGAGATTGGAGTTACATGCATGAATCCAGAGACAGCCGATTTTCCATCATGTGCACAAAAATTGTCCAATGGCACTTGGGTAAATGTTTTTTTCCTGTGTGTTTTTGTTTTGTATGCATTAAAATTAGATTTTTTTGCACGCAATTTATTAGATTTGGTCTGGCGCTGATATTCTAAAAGATGGACAATGTATTCTTGAGATGTATGGCGGTAGTCTGGATGTGTTGAATGAAGGTGATCGTATCGCTATAATGCGAACGGTACAAGGAGAGCTGGTGTTTTCAGTGAATGGTGAATCGAAAGGAATCGCAGCGGTTGGAATTGCAAAACCAGTTTGGGCTGTTGTTAGTTTATATGGAAAATGTACACAAGTATCAATTTGTCTTGATGAAACGAATTCAAGTTGTGCAACATCCACTGCTGCAGCAGCCGTTACACTGTCATCCGCAAACTATGATATTGAAAATTTCATACCAAATTACCAAGAGACAATTTCCACAACGAGTACTCTTACATTAAATAGTCTAATTGGAGAACGACGAAACGATGACTACTTATTGAGTGGTAAATGAAAAAAAAAAATTCCTAAATCAAAACTAACATCAATTCAATATGATAAAATTGTGCGAAATTTCTTCTTAGGTCGATCAAATGGAATTGGTTTGCTTGATAATGATCGCTTGCATTTTCACATTCGGTGCGGTTCGCTGGTTCATTTAACTGCAAATAATCGAACAGCGGAACGACGACGAGAATTGGATGAATTCAATAACGGTGTTGTGATGACGCATCGGCCATTGAGAGACAATGAATTATTTGAAATTCGTATTGATAAACTGGTTGATAAATGGTCGGGTTCAATTGAGGTCGGCGTAACGACTCATAATCCAAATCAATTACACTTTCCGGCAACAATGACGAATATGCGCAGTGGAACGATTATGATGTCTGGCTGTGGTATTTTAACAAATGGCAAAGGCACACGACGTGAATATGGTGAATTTAATTTGGATGAATTAAGAGAAGGCGACCGAGTCGGAATGATGCGAAAATCAAATGGAAATCTACATTACTATATAAATGGGCAAGATCAAGGTGTGGCAGCAAAGCAAGTGGCACAAACATTATGGGGTGTTATCGATTTATACGGCATGACCATTAAAGTAACCATTGTCGATCGTGATGAACGTGAACAACAAAATTTAATCACCAGACGAAATAACATTATATCAATGCAAATGCAAACATGTGTTGAAGATATGCCAGTATACAGTCCTGATGTCGATTCAGTACATAATGGCGAACGTTTGACTTTTCATCCAGTTTGTGGATCTCATGCTACTGTCACACAAAGTGGTCGCACAGCATTAAGACCGAGGTAATGTTGTATTTGATACGTGCAAATCTGAATTGGTATTCAAAAATAATCCATTTATCAATCATTTTCAGTGCATCGGACGATTTTAACAATGGCGTTGTTCTAACACGAAGACCATTGCGATCGAATGAATTGTTTCAAGTTCGTCTTGAGCGTGTTGTATCAAAGTGGGCTGGATCGATTGAAATTGGTATAACCACGCATAATCCAACAGAGCTTGATTTTCCATTTACAATGACCAATGTTCGAACCGGAACTTGGATGATGACCGGCAATGGTGTTATGCATAATGGGATCACAGTTAAGGAACAATATGGTCATAGTTTGGATCGACTTCAGGCGGGCGATCGAGTTGGTGTTATGCGAAAAGAAGATGGAACACTTCATTTTTGGGTTTGTATTATTTCTATGTATATACAATGTTGTAGATACAGGGAATACCACAATGAGAGGATGTGAAGACTTCAAGTCTCTTTGAGCCGACGGTGACGCCCCCGAATTTCAAAGGGGACTTCAATGTAATTTAACAACTCAAATCGAAACTAAACAGCGCGCCAATTTTAAAATTTGCTGTCATTTCCTCTCATTGGAATACCATTATTATATCAATTTGGTTTTAGGTCAATGGCGTCGATCAAGGGCCTGCAGCAATAAATGTACCCGAGAAAGTATACGGTGTTGTCGGTATGTGTTGTGTCTCTCAATACATCGATATCAAATTTAAAAAAAAAAAACTGTATAACTTTTTCCATTCAATTAGATTTGTATGGGCAAGCAGCGCAAGCGAGTATTGTTGATGATAATGTCGAAACGATTATAAGTCCAGAGGCTGGTAACTCGACCTTTTCAAATACCACATTAAATGGAGGAACGTGCAATGAACAAAAGTTACGATTTCATGTGTGCCACGGTCCAAATGCAAGAATTTCCAATGGAGGTTTAACAGCCAGTCGACCAAAAGCATTGGCTGAATTTAATGGTTCAATTGTGTTTAGTAATCGACCACTGCGACAGCGTGAACTATTTGAAGTTGTACTTGAAACTATGATCGATCACTGGAATGGTAGCATTGAAATTGGTGTAACAGGAATACGACCAGATGAAATTTCATTTACCAGTGCCACAGATTTAGAACAAGATACAATCATGGTGAGCGGTCAAACGTTGATTCATAATGGTCGAACTGTTCGAAATGATATGCCTTTCAATCTCGATAATTTAACGTCCGGTTCGAAAGTTGGTATAATGCGTAATGGTGATGCAATTCATTTTTTCATCAATGGAATTGATCAAGGTCATGCATATGATTGTCACATTCAAAATATGTATGCGGTTATCGATTTGTATGGGCAATGTGCACAAGTGAGCATTATCGGTTCGATGCATTCAAGTACTCGGGCACCATATGCGATTAGCGAAAATTCACAAAGTGTTCAAGCGGCATCAGTGATTGCACCACTTACTGAAGTTAAACACAGGTAACATTTACAATTAACTAATTGTTTGAGTGATAATTCTCTCTTTGATTGTTTGTTATTCTCTTAGATGGTCGTGCATATCGGGAAGTGTGAGTTTATTTCAAAATTGGACATTGGCTAATCGTTGTACGAGTAATCAACCGGCATTGACACGATGCCTTGTATTTTCTGAACATTTTTTGGTTGTTGGTGAACCATTTGAAATTAAAATCACTGAATACAATGCAATGTTGGCGGGTTGCTTGAAAATCGGCGTGACTGATCTCAATTTATCCGATGAACATGTACGCAAAAATCTTCCGATCTCAATGAAACGCATTCCATCGAATGTTTGGTATGTGAGCGGCAATGAAATTCGTTATAATACAATGCTATTGAAACGTTCAATGGCCTCGCTCGAATGGTTACGCATTGGCGATCGCATCACATTGGAATTGACGTCAGCCCGAACATTACGTGTTTTGTTGAATTCCGAAGATATGAACATCACATTTTCAAATGTATCACCAGATGTATATGCAGTTGTTGAGCTACAAGGTCCGGTTATGGCAATTCAAATAATATCAATGCAAGTTCCTATGTCACCGCTACGTCCATGCACTTTACGACTTCAAGATTCGCTCGATTTGGGATTGGATCCATTGAAGAACCAAGAATCATCGATGTTGGAATCAATTGATTCGGAAACGCCATTCTTTGAATTTTCTGATCTGCATGGCAGAAATGTTCAACTACTCGAAGATCGTCGCGTTGCTCAACGCATACAATCATACAATCAAGCAATTGTTTGCATTGCCAAACCATTATGTAAAGGTCATAGCATAAGTGTAAGTTGATGAATGAAAGAAAATGACAGAAAAGACAATCGATTGAATTGAATTACGACTACTATATCCAGTTTTAATTTTGAAAAATGAACAAAAAAAAAAGACTAACGTTTACTTACTTTCAATTGCATTTACAGATTAAAATTGAGAAAATCAACACAAAGTGGAAAGGAACATTAATTCTGGGTGCGGTGAGCAGTTATTTGAATGGCATGCACCTACCATCGTCGGCAATTTTATTACGTAGACCTTGTTGGATTATCACACACGATTACATCAATTGTAATGGCAATAAAATTCTATCCAAACTGGGTGAATCGCTTTTAAAAATCCAAAAAGATACAATTATTACATTGACACTAACGCATTCCGGCTCACTTACCTTGACCATTATTAATAATACGCAACCAGAGCGTAAAGGAAGTTCCAATGAGAATCCATCAACTGCATCAGAAAAATTTGTTGAAGAAATTGCCACTGGTCTTCCGCAACATGTATATCCAATATTCGATTTGTACGGTAAATGTGAACGGATCTCATTACTTTATCCGGATATTCGAAATGGTAGCCCTATTAATGAGGAGGTTTGCACTTCATTGGTAAACAACGAAACCGATCGAAATGTACCACAGCTGGAAAAGGCCGATTTGGAAGTTCATGAAAAAGAAATAGATCGTTTGCAACCATCAATTGAAGGCGATGGATGCAATCAAGCCACCGTTGGCGCTGCTGGTATTATGTAAGCCAATTGAACAAAAACCAATCGAAAAAATAATAATAATTAGTTTAATTCGCATTATCAGGAGCCGATCAGTCGCTGAAAGTGTGTCGGAGAATCTTCTTCACAATTTATCGATAAAGAATAAAACAGCAGAGATAAGAAACGAACAAGGTGAATCTAGTTCATCATGGTACGTGCCATTTTAGATAACACAAAAATCATTTTATTTTTACGACACATTGGTTTAAATTGTTTTGTAATAAAAAAAAAATGTTTGTCACAGTTTCATACGTGATTCATTGCTATTGCAACACTCAACCAATTTGAATATTCAACGAAGTCAGAGTATAAATCGGATACAAAATACAAATAGTGGAACGGAAGATCTTTACCCAGTCACCGATAATGCTCCACCCATTTATGATGATAATAATATTGGTGCATTAGCCTCTGCTTCGGCTTCAGCCAGCGACTCAAATTATATAGAGAACTCCAATTTTTATCGTAACTATTTGACTTTTTGATTTTATTTTGGTATCAAATATTAGCAAAAAAAAAATCCTTAAATTCAAAGATGAAGACACCAATTGGTCATCAACATCAAATCGACAACAGAGTCTTGTGCCATCAACATCATTCAAAGATCCAAACTACAATCAAGTTACTATAGTGAACGACAATGAATACAATCAAAATACTGGAGCAGATAATCACAATCCATCAACCGGAGTCGCTTTGGCCAGTACAAATCCAGCGGCAAATTCTCATTTGAATAATGAAAACAATGTCAGTCAAGTTTTTTCACCAAATATTCTTGAAAACGATCATCCCAGAGATAGTAATATAGCGAGTGAACCAGATCGAACAACGGAAACGCAAACCAGAAACATTGCCAACGAATATGAATCGGTTCAAAGTGTTGAAAACAATGACTGTGAATACCTTAAATTAGTCATGTCATTTAAACGAACACTTGTTTTACCCGATGTATTCTTTTCGTATGATATGGCTGTATGCCATTGTGCATCCTGTATGTCGAATGGGAAAAATCTGCTTGACGGTATGTTATATGTTCTTTTCGACATGACATTTATAGAAAATTTCACACATACTGTGATCATGTTTTCGATTAGGGTGGGTACGATTCAAATTGAGTCATATAGTCACGAATGTCGGTGGTTCATCATCATCGTCTGAACCAGTCGATTGTAACAACAGTGATTGGACAACCGCTTATTACATGAGTCGTGTGGATAAGATTCGAGCAATTTTGGATCATGGTCAAATAGGTGGGCCAAAAACCAATTCACTACAGTTTTAGATTTTGAACATTTTCCACAATATACAATCATCGTTTCTTTTTTTATTGTTGTTGTTATCTTTTAGAACAATGCGAATATGTGAATGGGAATCAGAAAGATGATTCATATCCAACGCTGTTACTGTTATTTTCGACTCCAAACTCTCAGCAACATACATCATCGGCTTTTGTTCATCGCACTGGTTCGTTGGCATATCGTATAGAGACAGCGTTTGAAGTGCGTGTCCGTACACAGGCTGTATGTGTAGCCGATACAAGCATTACTGTAAATGATAATGAACCAATGGCATCGAATAGTCAGCCAGTTTCTGTTTGGACCACCAAAGAAGCGGGAGCTTGTGTTTTATCGGCACTACTCCTCAAATTAACTCAAGAAAAAACAGCATAGAAAGCGAAAATGTTCCCAAAAATATAAGTCCCAAAGAGACCATCAATATAAATGTTTGTTTCATGTGTGCTTTATTTAGATAAATGTGCACATTACTACTGATAAGATGGCCTTCATTATAAATTGGTTATTAGGACAATTATTTTCCCATGAATAAGTTATTCTTGAAAAATGTTTGAACAAAAAAAAGGTGATTGTTTTGCTACTTATTCTCATTGAATGTTTAAAACGCTATCCTTTCTGTGATACAAAATTTCTTCTCAGAATGCAACGTAAAATAAATATACTTAATGCTTAAACCATCATCATTTCAAGAAAATAATGGCCGCATACACAAAATTATTTTAATACTGCATTGCACAATATTGACCATTTTGGATAAATGAAATGAACATAAAATTTCACTTAAAAGTGTCACACTTTAAATAACATGAAAATTATATTTGTTAAATTCGCTTCATTGAAAGTTATCTGAATGTCGCATTGTCTTACGCACTTGCGTCGATATTGTAAAGAAAATGCGATATAAAAATAAAGAGGGCTTGTTATTACGTAATTATGTTCGTGTTTTTTTTTATTATATTTTTCGCAAGCTGCATCTTAGATATATCTATTGGCTTCATCATTTGCGCACTAAACGCGTTTTTTTGAGATATCGTATTTTAACACTTTTACTTGAAGTTTTTAACATCCCATTATTCCAATAATAATAATAAACTATGCCATTGCAAAAGAAGATAACATCATTTTTCTTAAATTTGGATTAAATTCTTTACTCTAAATCGTTCATGCTGGATTTTGTGAGCGCACGGTAAAGTTTGAAAATTAATTTCTTGCATTTCTTAAGATACTCATTATCACGATGATGATATCAGCTATACTATGAGGAAAACTGTTAGGTTTCTGAAGACATATTCTGAAAAATGTAGGAAGATTTTCATTTCTATTTTTTTTTTCAAGCGGAATTTTCACATTTGTTCTCCTGTCTTGGATAGAACATATAATTATTGTTTATTTAAAAAAGAAATCGAAAATAAATTTGAGCAAAAAATCAATAAATTAAATCAAAACCTTCATAGCAAACAAATTTGTAATGTTTTTAGTACATTCTAACGTTAAAAAATGTAACGTTTTGGCCCACAAGAAAATTCCAGATCGTGATTTAGATTATAAGGAATGCGATTTTTTTCATTCTGATTTCACCAGATGATACAGAAAATGTGATAGTATTTGTAAATCAAAGAAAAAAAATTTAATTATTTTTTTCATTTTTCGCAATTTTTCATCATCTACATGGCAACTTTATATGAAACTCTCGGAGACTCGGTATAGAGCACAAAAAGTGAAAAAAAAAAACATTTTTTTTCTCAATTCTCGAACACAGCTAAGTCGTCTATATCATGTGTTGTGAACAGAACGTAAAGATTTGTCATCTCTGTCCCCCAAATCGTGCTTGGCAAATCTTTTTTTTCATGCTGTCTCGCTCACACTTGTTTACAATCGACATTCTACTAAAACACAACTCACACTTGTATTTTGCTGTGCAAAATTGCAAATGGCGCGTATTAACTTCGGCATCTTAATAGATAATAAACATACTACTACTCGCTATTAACATCGATCTTAATACTACTACTCATGTTATTATGCGTAGTATGATTGGTTGTTAATAGTTAATAGCATCCTAATAAAATATTATCATAATACAAAATGTATTAACATATCGGATTTGGCACATCTATACGATCCGGCAACGAGGTAAGAAACAATAAATTCATTCTTTATTTATCATTTGTTTACTTCTATGATTTTTTGTTCGTAAATCTCAGGAAAACATCACAATTGATGGTCCAAAATACCATTTCAAAGCGAAATATGGCAAACGCAAGCGTAAATCAGATCAATGGACTGAATTGTTGCAAAAACAACGGGAGCTCGACTATAAACGCTATGCATTTTTTCCATCGCCGAAAGGACGTTCACATTGGATGTGTTACATCGCTTATTATGTGAAAATGATGAAACCAGCTATGGCGGTGTACACAACAAGACAGTTTATTCGACTCCGTCTTGATAAATACATCGAAGAGAATCGGGCCAGTGACAAAATCGCGGCATCACTGACGAAAAAAAAGTCGGCGCTCGTTTTTATTGGTGCAGCTCAAATAGCTCCAAACTCACCAATTGGTATTAAAAAGCGATTGCGATGCCCGGGATTACGACGACTATTGAACAGTTTCAAGAAGTTGGGAAATTGTATTGTACGATTGGTCGACGAATACAATACATCGCAAACTTGTGCAAAATGTTTCCGGCCATTCGATCGACGAACCAAAAGCGATCGATACAAAGTTTGTCAGCATTGTATTCCAAGTGAAGATGAGTCATCGCAATGGAATTCACCGAACGTGATTATCACCATGAAAAGCAACCGAGTGTACCAACAATTGCGTAAATATGCAGTTGATTTTGTTAATCGATTGAATGCAGCCAACCCAGATCATATTCCAATGGATTCAGATGGTTTAGTGTCAAAACTTCAAGTATGTTTTAAAAACTGGCAACTAAACACTGGCATTTGGAAAGATGATCGAGCTCCATTCCAATTGAAAACTGTTTGGCACCGGGATATCATTGCAGCCAAGAACATCATGTACAAAGGTGAAAAAATATCACTGAAATTAAAAATGTTTAAGAATGTTTTGGCTAACAATTTGTTCTTTACGATTTTGTTTTTAGGTCTTTGTACGGTGTTGGGATTGGAAATTCATCCGCAACTATTGAGACCACAGAATCAAAATGCTGCCGTACAAAATCAAGCAGCTGACGATGAGGATTCCAGTGACGATGAGGACTACGTTTATGTTCTCGATGTTTCCGATGACGACCAGTTTTAATTACATGTAGCATTAAGATTTCTTTTTAAATAATATTATTGTAACGTTTTGTTACTATGCTGGGCTTGATTTTTGTGGCCTTGACCGAAGTACGGGCAGTTCGGTATATAAAATAACCCGTAGGTGAGTATCATTTATTGAACTGAACCGATAGTATATTGATGTTGATTCATATATAGTTTATTTTTTCTCTTTTTTCTTTCCATTGCGACGTTGAAAATGACTGAAACTACACTCAAATCCGACCCCAATATTGACCGTCAACATATGCCCGATAATGGATGAATTTGCCACAACAAATGTTTGCACTATTTCCAAATGAATTGAATTGATCATAAAACGGAAAACTTTTGATAATTGGTTTGCCAAAACAGGTTACTATGTTTTTGCTCTGAATGATTGATTAATTTGTTCTAGTTTTTCAACATGAAAATGCTAATAAAATTATAAGCAATGTGTCCATGAAATGTAATTATATGAGATTGATTGAATATACCAATTTATTTAAATCAAACTGTTTGTAATATTCTCTCGTTCATTTTCAAAAAAAAAAAAAAAAAATCTCATCAAAGGTGCTTTTTAACCGTTACAATTCTATTCGAACTGTACTCTTACTATTCGATAGTCAATGTGTACATTCATATTCATATTTTATAGCATGGGGCTAATGTTAATCGGTTGCGTGTGTGTGAGTGTAAATATTTTACCACTGTTATCGTATGAGTTGGCATAAGGGATGCGTTGCGCAGAAGCAAATTCACAAAAAGTGACATTCAACACCCCATCGACATTGCGCATAGCAATGCATAGGCAGCAATAAAAAAAAGAAAGTCCAAAATCGACATGTACACAGTTCAGATGTATTTGTCGGTGTACAATTTTGTTTATTACATATCAATACGCTGTATTTTTAAAAAGTGAAACGACGAAAAACATCTAATTATTTAAAATACAATAAACAAATTGTCAAATGAAACGTTTTGTTATTAATTTTGAAATGAAAAGTAAATGATAAAAAGTAAGAAAATCCAATGGTACATTACACAAGTCATCGACAATTGTAGATAAATTCTAGTAAAAAGGCATTCAGAGCTCATGCAATGTGTAGATTGTATTTGTGAGCAAATGATTATCATTTGCCTTCATCATCATCATCGTCGTCGTCGTCGTCTTCGTCGATGTCTTTTATATTTTCTTTTTGCTTCTTATTTTAATTGTAATTAAAAATGTGTAGTGTGTATTGTTCAACAAAAATCATTTTGTCATCATTTTTAAGCGTATGTGCAAATCAAAAAATGTCTTCTGTGGATACAAGTGTTTTCCTTTGATATACATATACACAATACCACCCCAAATACAATTATTTGTCATTTCATCTAGATAGATGGTGAATAGCAGGTCGAAGCAATTTACCGATCCAAGTCAGCACTATAATTATTATATATTACAAGGATGTTCTGCATTTTTTTTTATGCATTTTAAATGAACTAAATGACGAAACAAAATCGAATCGATGTTTTACGATTTTTACAAATCTTCGACATAATTCTATATGTTAAAGCGGCAAACTGATAATCAAAATGCAAAGAAATCAGAAATCAAAAAAGACAATATAGTGCTCATCAACCGCATTACAATAGAATAGTGCCTGTTAAATGCAATTTTCATGCATTCCAATGAATCGAGAGATAGAACCCGGTTTACATATATATGCTATAGAAATGCGAACATTACAGTGTTTCAAAAAAAAGGGGTTTAAAGTAATAAAATACTTCGCTACATGTATACTGCTCATCTGTTTACAAAGTGAAAATGATTTCTAATGGATAAAATAAAATTAAACGTAAAACGAACGTTTTCTTTTGCACAGTATTTATCATTCGATTATTGATCCCAAAAATATAAACCATTTTAATCGAATTTGATGTGATGAAGTTGATTTGTGTGTGTATGTGTTGTATTATTTGAACTTGTATTTGCGTGCGACAAGTATATGAAACGATTCGCCATTCGCCACAAATCGTAAGAAAAAGTGGAGCATTTTCGTTTCGAAATCGTTCGATTGATCCTTTTGATTGTAGATATTAATACATATCGTTTATCATGAATTTCTCTCCCTTTTTATTTGCATAATAGAAATATTTCAATTTTCATCACCTCATTTGTTTGCTTAACAATGTCATCAATACAATCATATTGTGTTACACTTTTAAATTGGCCAATCCATTTATTTTCCAAATCCAATCAGAAACAGAAAGAGAGAAAAATGTATACAACATAAACTGGGATTGACTCCTTTAATGCTAACTGACTTTAAAAAAAAAAATAGAACAGAACGCTGTAAATAGAACATAGCATGTAGTTGAAGGGCAACTTATACTCATTAAAAAAAATGAAATGAAAAAAATATGCATTATATTATCATGGTATCGAGAATGTCCTAAAATTACAAACGGCACATAAAAATGAAACCGTTGAAAAATCTATCAATCAAAGGTCATTTATAATAGAGAAAAGAAAGCACTCACAAACGTGACTAAAGTTCATTTGAATTGGGAATGTGTGTGCAAGGGAATCTACGGATGGCCTTACATATGTTTGTACACGAACATGCATAAACATAATTTAGTCAAAATATTCGAACATTTGGTGTGTTGTAATTTGTTTTTTTTTTTATTATTCATTGAATCAAAGTCTCGGGCGAAATAAACATCATTTGTTCCATTTATTATTTGCATTGCGTACGTATATATGTTGTGTGTTGATTAAAGAGGGAAAAAGAGTGAGAATAAGTCGCATGTTTTTGTCGCATATCGACACATAATCACGTATATATAATACAATGCTGCATCAAATCAAACTTGAATACAACAACATCAACTTTGTGAATTTCACATGCATTAAATGCCAATTTCAGTGCACAACAATAAAGAACAATGACAGAAATTCTGATAGCGCTCGACTTAAAAAAAAAAAACGAAGAAAAAATCAAAAATCAAATTCACCTACATATGGGAGGCCAACGAGTACAACCACCGCTTAGGCACGCGCCACCATTTAACACGCTCTTCTTGTGTTGGCGCGCGTGTGTGTGTGTGTGCTCATCAAAGAGTCGATATTCGTTTCAAAAATGAAACACGATATTTCAGCCGTCCAGTTAAATGGCAACCAAGCTGTTCGGAATCATTTGTGCGGTCAACCATGCACTGAACTAATTACGTTACATTCCCATTTTTCATCTTTAAATTCATAATTGAAAAATCCTTTTTTTTTCTGTTGTTGTTCTATTGTGTGTTTTTTTAAGTGCATCGAATTTATATATGTGCACCAAAACATTTCCACAAATAATCTGTATCGTTCTTTTTCTTCGTTTCTTTTTGTTTTGATTACAATCACTCTCTTGTGTGTCTCTGTTTGTTGTGAGCTTCTTTTATGGCAAATATTATTTGGACTCATCGTGTGCTTTTGTTATTTATCGATTTTCTTTGTAAAATGGCGTATTCAGCACAGAAATATGTGTAATATACACAAAAATTGCATTTATTTCGATAATTAATTAGTAAAATGGTAATTTTCAATGATAATATATCATTATTCGTACATAAATTGTACACAATTACCCAATAAATGGCAATATCATAATTTATCGAATCATTTGATTGATTCATTTCGAAAAATGATCACATTGACATGATTTTATATATATTTAAAGCCAATAAAATCGCAAATTAGGGTTGAACGTTCCTCGCGTTTACGGTGGTAAATCACACAACAATAATTTTCAATACATTTGAACACAAATGGAATCCATAAAAAAATTGTATAAATTAATTGAAATATTATGCTATTCAGTAGGTGGGCGAAAATGAAAAGAAAAGAAAAGCTCATCGGCACATTGCCATCAAAATAAAAACCAATCACATACACACACATACATACCGTTACCGAAACCTTGAAAACATTACATCCACATAATGCGATAGCTCAGACATAAGCACATCTATACGTATACAATTGTATGCAATTTATATTATTTGTTTGTTTTTCTATTTTATATATATATTTTCTCAATATCTTTGCAATTCGTTCGATTTTGCTTCTGGTTCTTCGACCAGTGCACAATACACGTGCGAAAAATCATCACTGCATAGTAAATCATTAAACGAGCCATCTTCATCGAAATGTTTGACAAATGATTTGGGGTTGAAATCACACTGAAATTGAATGAAAACCCATATGATTCAATCGATACAGATTTTACTACAAACTATTGTAACTGTCACTAAAGTGACAAACCAATTCGATTTATTGACCAATAATTTAATAAACATTTCATATTTTTGTTTATTTGTTTCAATTTGTGTACAGATAACATGATGATATGTTAACAATGAGTTTTCGAGACTGTTTGGATAGTATTCCATAAAATTTGTTGAATGGTGAATGACAAGTTAATAATCTTGAGTGATTTCGTTCCATTAAATGAATTAAAATTGATAATAAATGTGAATGGCGAAAAACGTGTTTTCTGCAAACACTTTATAACACATTGAACTCTCGCTATAAACAAGTTTTATTTTCGCATTTGATATATATAAACCAAAAACCATTTAATTGTGGCATCGAGCGAAGTAGAAAGAAATTATAAATATGCAAAAGGAAAATACGGCGCCTGTCGAAAGCCATCAATATGTAGGGCCTTACAGACTGGAAAAAACACTAGGAAAAGGGCAGACAGGTACGGTTTACCAAATATTTATTCGATATCTGTTGATAAAATGTATATTTTATTTTTTATTTTTTTCTTTATTAAATTTCAAGGTCTGGTCAAGCTGGGTGTTCATTGTGTTTTAGGGAAAAAAGTAGCGATTAAAATAATAAATAGAGAGAAACTAAGCGAATCAGTATTAATGAAGGTACGAACAATGTTTATTGAACAATGAGTCCAGTGTAAAGAGTTTTTAATTTAAAAATGCTTTCTTTATTTTGCATTACAGGTGGAACGAGAGATAGCTATTATGAAATTAATTGATCATCCACATGTTTTGGGTTTGTCGGATGTATATGAAAATAAGAAATATTTATATTTAGTGCTGGAACTTGTGTCTGGCGGCGAGTTGTTTGACTATTTAGTAAAGAAGGGTAGACTGACACCAAAAGAAGCCAGAAAGTTTTTTCGTCAAATCATTTCGGCGCTAGATTTTTGCCATTCACATTCGATATGGTACATATGCTTGATAATATAATTCATTGAATGGAATATTTGAATTGCTAATTTTTTTTTATCATAATCGTTTTCATGCAGCCATCGAGACCTTAAGCCGGAAAATTTACTACTTGATGAAAAGAATAACATAAAAATTGCCGATTTTGGAATGGCATCACTACAACCAGCTGGTTCGATGCTTGAAACATCTTGTGGTTCACCACATTACGCTTGTCCAGAAGTGATTCGAGTATGTGATGGCATATTTTCTTTATCTGAACATGCAGTTGTGTGCGTGTAACTTCTTCTAATGTCTTGTATTTGTGTGTTATAGGGTGAAAAATATGATGGTCGTCGTGCTGATGTATGGTCGTGTGGTGTTATTTTATATGCATTATTAGTTGGTGCTCTACCATTTGATGATGATAATCTTCGACAATTGTTGGAAAAAGTGAAACGAGGTGTATTTCATATACCACATTTTGTTCCGCCCGATTGTCAAAGTTTGTTGCGGGGCATGATTGAAGTGAATCCAGACAAACGACTCACACTTGGCGAAATAAATCGACATCCGTGGGTGACAGCTGGTGGCAAAGGCGAACTCGAATTAGAATTACCAATGATGGAAGTAGTACAAACACATGTTTTACCTTCGGCTTCATCTGTCGATCCGGATGTTTTGAATGCAATCTGTTCCCTTGGATGTTTTAAAGAAAAAGAAAAACTAATACAAGAGCTCATGAGCCCAAAGTGAGTCCAATATTCGATAAAAATAAAAAAATTGCCGAAATTTTACTCGAAATTAAATCAATAAACGACTTTTGTTCAACGATTATTTTAGTCACAACACGGAAAAGGTCATTTATTTCCTATTACTTGAACGTAAACGCCGAAGACCAGCTCTTGAAGATGACGACGAAGCAATAAGACCTAGACCCAATACAGAAGTCAGCGATCCACCGAAAAAAAGACTCGACACATGCAGAATCAATGGACAGAATTCATATAATTTTGGTCAAATTAGCGAAGGATCGCCAATAACAACACGAAGACAAGCATTTAAGTGAGTTAATCTACCACATGAGATTTTTTTTTATTTTTCTGTAATACCAAATAATTTAATTTCTTATATTTTTTTATGCAGTTTTCGTTCTTATAGTAATACCCGAAATCACAATCGAAGATCTCCAACACCATCAGCCAGATCTGCTTCATATCATAGCCCAACTAGAAATCCACAGCAAGGTGAGTCTTACATCGTTTTATTCATCAATGGAACATTAATTTATTTTGACATTTTTTGTATAGCTCTATCAAGACCATCATCTCCAGCCACTTCGGCGCGCCATTCAACTCATTCACCATCAATAGGTGGCCGAACCGTTCAACCGAAATCACAACAACAATCCGAAGATCAGCAACAAACACAAACAACATCAACGCAACAGGTACGTTGTTGATTGTGTTCCTTTTCTTGTTTCCTCACTCAATAAATTTGGTTCATTTTAAATTTGACTATTGTTTATCAAAGCAGCCGCAACTTCAACTGCAATCATCAAATCAATCTCATGACACAAGTAACTACGATCAACAGCAATCGGGTGCTCATCATAGGGCCAACTCCGGACCAACAATAGCTATTAGTTTGTTTCCAGAATCGGAAAATAGTAATTGTAAGTGATAATGGATTGAAAATACCGTACGTGCTGTGAATGTGTGAATTTAATTTATTTAAAAATGTTTGTTACAGGGCCTGTTCCAAATTCACCGCATCTCAGTGCTGCAAATGCCAGTAATGCGCCATCGCCTGCAATGACTGCCTCCACTTGTAGCAATGCAAGTAGTCAACTGTGGAAAACTCGTTTAACCAATATTAAAAATAGTTTTCTGGGCAGTCCGCGTTTCCATCGAAGAAAGTTACAAGGTAAATCAACAAAGAATTAGTAGAAATAAGAAAAAGAAGAAAGTTCATACAATATTAAAATATCGATCAAATGTCTCAATTTATTTGAAGTTTCATCCGATGAGGTATATTTAACGCCAGACTCATCACCAGAATTAACAAAACGTTCGTGGTTTGGGAATTTGATGACCACAGAAAAGGATGAAACTTTTACGGTGCTTGTAAAAGGAAAGCCACTAGCAACGGTCAAAGCTCATTTGATTCATGCATTTTTATCGGTAAGCATTTCACATAATTTGTAGTCGCAAGTAGTTTTCGGAAATGAACGAAATTAAAGTGAAAAAAAGATTACTCACTGAGCTGATGTGTTAATGAATTTCAGATGGCAGAACTCTCGCATAGTGTAATATCGCCAATGTCGTTTAGAGTTGAGTACAAACGAAATGGAACTGGACCGGCAATGTTTCAGCGGCATGTTCGGTTTCAGGTAAATTTATTCATTTTTTATGCTTAATTTTATTTATTCGTTATTTATATGTATATATTTTGTAATAGGTGGATTTAAGTGCAATTTGTAAACAAGAAGAAGTTTCCGATACGCTTTTTGCGATAACATTTACATTGTTATCCGGTGAGTTTTCTGAATATATTGAATTATTTTTTTACAAAATAATAATTGTAATTATTTTTGTATAATTTGAAGGTAACATTCGAAGATTCCGTCGAATATGTGAACATATTCAATCGCAAGTTTGCTCAAAGCGATTTTCTGGCCCTAATAGTCCACCCAGAGTAACGAATGCCGTTTCAGAGAGTTCGTCCTGTGGTTCAGATTCAAGTGAACGTTTATCATGTTATAAGCGCCAGGTAAATTCGAATGGATCGTTTTCTATTTATATCCTCCCTGTAGCCTCCTAGCATACATCACTTGTTGAACATTAAATTTAAATGAAATAGTTATATATACATAAATGCAAACCTTCTAATCCAAATTCTATTTCAATTGATTTATATAAAGATTGAAAATGACTGTGAAAACGATGCTGTATTTGAGTGCAATAAAACACCCGTTTCGAGACGTTCTTCTGCCTCCACAAATAATAATAACCAAGTATTAGGCGAAACAGCCAGTCCAAAAACCGTGCGGTCGAGGTAAGAATGATATATGGCACACATTTAACTCAACATATATATTGACACACATGTATTTGTTTAATTATAGTTCTGAGTCAACTCAAGATCCGGACCGTGTTAAAAATCGCAAGAATGGCGAAAAGCAATCAACAACGATATCGGGGAGTGCGATGGCATGAGAATTATTTCTCTGATTTAGTTTCAAAATAACAAAGATACAAATGTCAGGTTCTAAATATCATACCGATTGCCATACACATACATTACGATTGTTATGATGCTACTTTACTAAAAACTGAAACACATATTTAAAATATGTTAACCGAATCGGATTTAACATAAAAAAACAACGACTGTAAGATGCAACAAACAAACAAAATCCTTCAAAAAAACTTCATACATACAAACCAAATAAACAAACCAGTGACAGCAAATAGTACTTTTTTAATCTCGTGTGGCAGGGTATTATTTATACTATTCTATTTCGAGATGCTCGTAATATTTAATTCAATTAATCATCAATCGTTGGAAATTACATATGTATATTAAGTTTTTGTACGAGTTTACTGTATAAATGGCTTATGATTTTGGTTAGCGTGAGTTATTAATTTGCATTTGAGTGAGTTTAAACAAGAAGAAAAATATGCATTTTTTTAGATAAAAATACTTTGTTTTGTGATTGCTTACGTTTTAATTGGTTGAAATTTGCATCAGACGTATAAGTGCAATAAAAAGAAAACAGATTGAAAAATACCCAACCACAGAGATGATGCTTTAAAGGATCTAAAATATGAAAATTAATTATAACTATATAAATAGTTGATTGTGCAGAATGAGGAACTAAAACCGAACTATGTGTCTTTATTATTTTGCAAAAGTCAGAGGATAAACTAAAACGAACAATTGAAATGAAATCGCTTATAGCTCAGTTGTTAATTAAGTGAAAGAACGAAATCAAACTGAATCTCGCCACCGCCGCCGCCGCTGCTGCTGGGCTAAAATAATTAAATGATTGAATTAATATTCTGAATCTTCAAATTGATATACTTTTAAAAAACAGAACAATGCAAATTTAATACACTAGCTACATTGATCTTTCGATAAAAAGATGCAATCAATGACCTCTTATTTAGTGAATTTAGATGAAAGTTCAAGGAGTGAAAGGAAAATGTTTCTTTTTTTTTTGTTTTATTTTATGTGGTCCTTATTCTTAACTGAATCATTACTTGACTGCAATTAAATTATACGGAATGCATAAATTTATGAAATTTAAAAGAAAATAAGAAACAAGATTCAAATCACCAATAATAAAATGATGAGAATTGCTAACTGAATTTCTTGGGGAGCGAATGTCTCATTTTTTAGCTTGGTAACGGCTTAATTCATAATTTGGTAATGTTGACATACGTCCTCAAGGGAAAAATTTAAGGGGGGGTAATTGAAAAGAATCGAGAAGGGTAAGCAAAAAAGTGAAGTGTATTTTGCAAAAAGTGTACTTTTTTCTTTTTTTTTTTTGCTCTTCACTTTTTTGGTGAAAATCCCTAGCAAATTGAAAGAATTCTTTGAAATTTTTTAAGGGGTAACACTTCGCCAGGGGGGGGGGTAATCGGACCCCTCTGACCCCTACTGAGGACGTATGAATGTTGAGATCAAAAGTGAAACATCCAATCAATGGATCGAAAAGTGTTTGTGACAACAATGATTTCAGTCATGGCATTCGCTCACCAAATTTGTGCTGTAGATATCTTAATTTATATGGCCCAATAATCAAATAATAAACAAAATATATTGTTTCGCATCTGATATAAAACATACAAAATCTAAGTGTAGAATTGGTAAATTTTCATAAGCATTTTGAAAGTGATATAGGTAGTATTACTTGCATGGTAGCGATGTTCAAGATAAAACAATGCAACAAATAACCATTATAGTTGAATAAAATTTTACGGAATTGAATTGTTTGTGGTAATTTTTCTACTTCATTCCATTCAAAATGAGCATAGTTTCCATCAAATTGGTGAATTTTTGAATTCTAGTTTTGAGTTTTCAGTTTTTCTCCACCTACATTTTGTATGTTTTATTCCAGATCTATGAATCATACATTTTATTTCATTTATTATTATTTTTATGTCATTTGCATACTATGAAATATTATAAATTTCAAACGGCAAATATACATTATATGTTGCAACATTCATCAACATCAACTGAACATTCAAACAACAAAAACATCAACAACAACAACAGAATAAAAAAAAAAAAACTTTTTCAAATTCAAATTTTTACTATTATTGAGAAAATTAACAAAAAAAGAAAAAAACCGACAGAAATAATTTCTGAAAGAAGTGTAAATTTGTTGTGATGGCCAAACAACAACATTTAGAAATAACCTACATGCAAATATTGAATATCCCCAATACAATTAGCACAATCAGAAAAATAAAATGATGAAATGTTTTTTTTTTTGGAAAAAATTATTTAACTATATTGTAGTAGATTGAAAACGATGTTTCGATAAGTCAAACAATAGTACATGTTACGTCCACACCGTTCAAAATACGTAATGAACGAAAATGAAAAAATGGAAAAATATCAAAAAAAAAAACAAAAAAAAAGCATAAAAATTAAATAGCTTAGTAATTGAATTTTTCAATACCAGGCCATTGACACATTAAGCATTTTCATATGAGTTTATTATTCACTTATTGTGAAGAAAAAAAACCTGCTGAAGTTAAGAAAAAAAATAGTTCAAAACGAAACCGTGAAAGCATTTTTTAATTTTGATTTGACTTTAATATGTTTTGCGCTTCTTTTCACTTGATATTGTATAGGTATATGATAAAAAAGCTGACTTTCAGGGCACACGTATTTGTGGCTGTGCAATTCAGCTGTATTTTGAACATCAGCTGCTTGAAAAAAATACGTTCTAAGCAAAACAAGCTTTTTTCAACTACAAAATTATGCGTTTTCTTCTTTTCGATGCATAAATAAAATGTCTTCAACCATATTCTATAATGGCTTCAATTTATCCTTTTTTCGACATTTCTCTAGTCATTGTGCCCTGAAGCTTCGCCCAATTTGGAACTAATTGATATATATGCAATACAAAATCCAGTCCAATGAGGTCCTATAGCAATTTTTGGACACACCACAGCTAAAATATACACACTACTAAACTAATCCCAGCGTAAACGATACAACACTCAACAATTTTATGAATTAAAAATAAATACACATTCAGAGAGAGAGAGAGAGATACACACACACACACACACACCAAACAAAGAAATAAGATTGACTAATTTAATGTACAGAATGTGGTGGTTGCGAATGTTTCCTTTTTTACCAATTATTATTAATCGAATCTGTTGAATTGTGTGTATATTTTTGCTCACAGCAAAATCACAACTAAAATTAAATTTAAAAAAAAAAACGGATGATTACCATTTGTAGAGAATGAAAAAAGGGAAAGAAAGAAAAAGGAGTGCTTAGAATTCAATTTGAAGCCATTAAGAGCTTTAAGTTTGAGAAGACTATATTTTTTTGCGGTGCATAAAGTAGACACAGACTTTTTTGCAAAAAACAGATAACCAAAAGTGTACACGAATGAAACAATTATTTTTGACACTTTATGAAATACATATGAAAATCAAGACAAAAGACAAAAATCTACTGAAATTATGTAATAGTTCAGTGGACAAAATAAAATAAATTAATTTGATTCATGTTTAATTATTAAATGTTCTCCCTTTTTTTATTTAAACGTGATGATTTTATAGCTAAACATTTGGTAGTTTTCAAAGATTAAATTAATTGGTTAAATTATTTAAAAAATTAAATTAGCGGTGCATTGTTAATTCGACCATTGTCAAATCAAATGATTTTGTGTTGCTCAAATTGTTCCAATGTATAAATTCATCAATTTTCTATTTATTTGATGGTTGTTACTTCGCCGAATCGGTAAGGGATTCATTGTTTTCCACAGCATCTTTAAAATATTGAGAAAAATATACATCTTAATATTTTTACAAAAAATGTTGGTAAAATCTCGTCTATTACCGGAATCTTTGTTACGTTTATATTGACTCTCTTTTTCCGCCTCATCATTTATGGTTTCCGCTTGACTGTTGGCATCATTATTGTTATCAATAAATTTCTCTCGTGTTTGACTCAATTCCGCCTGAATTTGCTCCAAGCGATCGTTTAATGCACGACGCATCTCCAGCACATTCAAAAATGCTTCATTCTAATGTAAAACGAATGAAGAAGGATCAAATAAATAGATTATTAATGAGCATTTTAAGGTGATTTTTTTATGTCTTTTCGCAGAAATGTTATTTTTATCACAATTTTTACGGCTATCACTGAACTACATTCAAAATAATGTTTTTACATTCAAAATTTACATCAATAAACATCGTTTAAACCTTTTAATTCCAATTCACTTCATTCAATCATTCGTGGTGAAACGTTTAAACTATAAACTTTATAGTTTTATAACTTACGTGGTCGGTCATGAACAGTTTGAACATGTATCGTATAGTTAACATTGCAATAAGGATCGAAATGAATGCAAAAAAGCCGGACGTAAATGAACCTAATCACAAATTATGAAGTGAACAAATATGAGGAAATTGACTAATTAAGAGAAAAAAATTCGCAATCAAATAATTAATTATTACGGTCCAAAGATTGTGTTTCGGTTCTTCCAACGGGCTCGGATGATCCCATATCAAACAAAAAATCATTGTATTCCATGATTTTAGTTTTATTGAAATCCAGCTTAATAAATTCAACTATATGTGACGAGGTATTCTTACAAATGAGTTCATAGTTCGTTTGAATTTTGCATTGGTGTTCTTCCTCTATTATGGTGCTCATTAATTTTTCATTGATTGGCTCGATTATTGTTTTCACTGATTCAAATGGTTCGTTGTGTAGACTTGCGCCATTCTCATCAAATATTCTTATAGGCTCATTTTCACAGATACGTGTCCTTTGCGTTCGATTTGATTTCAGCGTTTGAACACATTTTGTCGATGACCTGAATGGTATACCGTTGGTGGTGTTGGAACTTTGTTCAATGCAACAATTAACGTCACATTGTTTTCTTAACCAAATTTTAAAATGTCCTAAACAGTTTTGTTGGCAATCGAGATAATGATTGTAATGAATATTACCACTACCAAATGGATATCGAACGCAATATCCCATTTTTTCTGAATCACTTGATCTGTTCAATTCTGATTTTGAGTAAAATTCCTTTTTGATCATTAATTTATGTTTGGCAACGTTTTTATTTCGTTTAATGGCCGCTCGATGAAAATTAAAAACGACCAATATCAATGCGACCGCAAGACACTGAAGTATTTGTTTTTGTCCGTACATTTTTGTTGCTTTGATTTTTAAAAGCACGTTTTTATTTTTATTTTTAAATCGTCATCAATTTTAATATACGTTGACTAAATTTCGTTACGAATAAAGGAAAATATTAAATTAAAACGTAGCTAGTAAATTTGTTCGAATCACTTCAATTCAAATAAAATCAACAAAGTTCGTATACCGATGCAACGCAATTGAGGGAATATCATTTTATAAAATATATTCTTCATTCGATTCTTTTAGATCAGCATTATGAGAATCATAGCATCTGTTCAATCAAAATGTGTTTGTAGTCATCATTGACTATCGGAAAAGTTTTGGCAGCTCCAGTACATACACAGTGTAAGTAGTATTAGTATTAAAATGTCCTTTTATGTGTCATTCAAAGGATTTGATTTTAAATTTGATCAAAAACTGTATTTTTCAATAACATGACATTTTAAATTGAAATCGGCCGGTGGGTGAATGTAAAACATCATTAAAAAAACATCATAAAAGGTAAACAGAGCGATATCAGTTTCGTATAATGTCCACCACCATTAATTCCTGTGGTCTAATACAGAATATAGATATATGCACCATACCAATATAAATAGAATATCATATGATATTATATCGATCATTTCATAATGTTGTACGAAATGTTGTTCATTGAGTCGCTCCATTGCGCCGGACGTCATACATACCGACATTTAAAAAACAACCCACACATTATGACGCAAACACAACCCGCACGACGTCGAAAACCAATAACAGAACCGAACGAAACGCTAACACAATAACAGCTATTGTGAAAATGGGGTTGTTGTGCACCTGTGTAAGTGAACAATGTAGGTTTGTTGGTTGCATTTACATTTCCATGGTGTAGGTTTCGGCTGCGAGCATAACAGTCAAAATCAAGTAGAGAATTGGTCTTTGTCGTGTGCGTTTGCAAGTGGCACAGTTTTTAAGACATTTTATTCATCAGTTAATTTTTATACTCAAAATTAAAATTGTTCGCTTCGCTGTATGTTCTTTTCTACAAATAAAAAAAAAAAAAACGGTGTAATAAGTGCAATTGCATGTGTGCTTCGTATTGTTTGATACTAAATCCATCGAAAAAAATGGAAATTGTTGAAAACGCAATGATTTGATTTTACTAAGCACATTGACCGAATGTTAAACAATCGTAAAATTTCAAGTGTTTCAATTCCAATAAGTTTTGAATGAATAACGACAAATAAAGCTGCATATAAAATACAGTGTATTAATCTTGTATTATGAAAGTGTGATATACTTTTTATTATTGTATCTGTATATCGTGTTATATAGCTGTATAATACATTAAGCAAAAAAAAAAACTTACATAAGACCATTCCTCGTAGATTGCTTGAATTTAATGTATATCCTGTAAGTGAAATTTGAAAAACAAAAAAAAATGGATGAAAATCACGCTAAAGTTCATAACAAAGTAAAACATCAACAAGGCGTTGCATCGTTACATGAAAATTTAACGGAAGCAACGTCACCCACAAAAACAACAACAACAACACCAGCACCAACCACATCTATTGTGATTGTGCAAGCCCAATCAAATGATGACGAAAGACCAGAATCGCCTACGTCATCACGTAATGTAAATAGCAAAAATGTACAAATGTCTGGTGTATCAAATACAGGTATCGTACCAAATTTTCTCATTTTCATTTGGATTTTTTCTTTGTTTTTTTATTTTTCTTCAAGCTAAATGGATTTTTAGAAGAAATAATTTATTATTTAATTTTTTATTTGGCTAAAAAAATAGAAGCGTGTGAAAAGAGCTCATCTTCCAAAGAAAATGTTGAGAATGTAATTAGAAACGAAAATGCCGACGATAAATTGGCACTATTTCATAAATCATCAGCGGCAAATGTTGCGAAATATTCGCCAAAATTGTCACCGCACAAACTCCAAGCAAAATCAATGTCTGATCCACCGACAAGTCCGGCACAGCGTTCAGTACGAAGTAGGTCGAGCAATGAAAAAAGTCCACGACAAAAACGAAGTAAGTCCGAATCAAGGCGTCGACGTGAACGAAAATTAATTGCGGCTGGTGAGATGGAAGTGAGACAAGCAAACGAAACCCTAATGCGGTATTTAAAACAATGTTCCGAAGTAAATGACGCTTCTTTATCGGGTGAATTAGAAATTGATAAGAATTTGGATGATCGATACCATCGCAAAATCCAATCACAAAGAGAACGTAATAATGGGCATCGTTCAAGCGATGCTAGCATTGGAATAACAGGTATATTCAGTTTACATTTTTTACGATTATGTATTTGAGATGAGTGTATGGCGATTTCTTTTTTATGGTTCAATTAGGGGGCGGAGGGAAAAAAAGTCTAAGCACATTTACAATGCGAGCAGCATCATTTGCACGAGAACGTATACCATCGAGTGGCCTATCGAACATTTTACAAGAGTTGACTGCTGATATCATTCCAAATCACGATGAAATCTATAATCCATTTACGCCCGTCGTTTCGCCCACCGAAGGACCACGTACTGATAAAATGTTCATTCAAACACCACGAGGTTTTCGTTCTGCTTCGGATAACAATTTTTTGAAATCATCAGCAAACGTTGACTCAGAATGTGGCCGGTAGATATTATTTGCTGCTTCGTCTTAAAATTCGGATTGATTTTAATTGTTATTGATGTTTTTTTTTTATCTAGACCTCTAATAACAAACGATGCGGCCAGTTTATCTTGTTTCGTACAGCGAATATGGATTCTATTAGCAAATATATCTCATGGCTTATTGGCCGGTCTGGCACTTGCCCACATTCTATTCATTGGAACAACAACACCAAAAGATTTGCTCAGCGGTTCCATCAAATCATATCTATCATCAACCGAAATTTACACAAATACATTCTATTGCTTGGCTATTCTCTGTTTAGTATCCGTTTGGGATCGGTAAGTTTTCTATGGCATACAATAAAGTGTAAGAAAAATAGAATCAAAAATACAGAGCGATGATGTCTTTCATTCATTACAGAATGGACATTTGCCGATGCACAGTCTTAAGTGCTAACGAATCAATATCGTTCCGATGGATTATTGTCGTAATGATTTATATGGCTACAATAATATTATGTTTATCATCTGAATCATTTGATAAACGATTTTATGTATTATCGAATGAAAATACAAACAACACTTCAACCTCTACAATGGATATGGTAAGAAAAATTAAGCAATATAACAATCGCAACATTAACTTTCAATTTTGTTCCGTTCACAGCAGGTACATAATCAAATAGTAAATATATGGAGTTCATTGTCCTTAGCCAGAAGTATAGGTGCTATAATTGGATGGCTAATCATTGGTTTAAAAGAACCAATGGAAGATCAACTCTACAACCAACTGGTTGAAATGGAAGGATATAAAGTGAGCAATAATTAATGTAGAAACAAAGCATCCAACATAATAAAAGCGTTATATATATAGTATATCATACAAATAAACTGTTTAGAAAATGGCAATAATAAAATTATCAATGCATAAATATCCATAAACAAAATCAAGTTTTTTATTGAAATATACGTATCCAATGATCAAATCAATGGTTAAGTTTTGCGGGGAGAATGAGCTGAATCATTTGCTGTATGATATTTTGGACATTTCAGATGCCACATAGATAGAACGATTTTTCAGATTTGTACCAAATACTCTTCTTGAATAATAAGACACTCAAAGAGACATGTCATAAAACAAGGCAAGAGATTTTGCGATAAAAATATTAATCAATTTGAATTTTGTTTAAATTTAAAAGTCATTTATTTATTTATTTATTAAACACCACCAAGAGCTGGCTGAATAATATTGCAGGAAAAAATGAATCGGATGGATTCATGAAAAAACCTGATCTTTTCAATTTTACAATTTCAATTAGAAGTTTTACTTCTTTTTAGCATCTTTTTTTTGTTTCTTCTTGTCCTTCTTATTTTGTTTGTCTTTGGGGGCCTTAGTTGTTGGTGCTTCATCTGCAATATAGTTCGGCATCTCAGCTAGTTCTGGATCGATGCTGCATTTGAAATAATTAATATTTAAACATTTAAAAATGAATGTATCACTTTGAAAATAGGAACCACACACAATTCAATCGAATACGTTGATCTCGATTTCATAATTTTCTTAGTTTCATTTAAATTCGTTATTTGTAAGATTGCGAACAAACATTCAATCTTAGCAAAATTATGGTGTCAATAGCGAGACTTTTAACATAAACTATATTCAATGAATCAACTATGAGGAGCTCTGAAAACCTGGCTGAAATAAAATACTAACTCTGAGGCGAATTCAACTGAACCTGGTGCTTCAACTGAGCTTGGTGCTTCAACCTCCTTTTTAGCTTTTCCTTTCCTATTATAAAGTATACCATGAAAAATATTTTCTACAAAATCTAAATAACTAAAGTAAAACATACTTTTTTCCAGCATCGATTGGCCTGTGCAAAAGAAAAAAAACAGGAAACAATCAATCTTCATGTTCAATAACACAAATAAATGGGTTGTAAATGAAAGTTCTTACAGTGTTACGACCACCAAAACGATGAGAGCGAATATGAAAATATTGCGAAATAATTGCATTTTGTTAGTTGATACGTCTTGAGATGATATCTCTGAATGAACTGAATTTCCTCGGTCGTGCAACCCTTTTTATACCCAATTGAACGACAATTTGTATGACTAACAATATGAAGGTGACCTCGTGTCGTGTAACGAAAAAAATATTCCCAGAAGAAAGACGATTGTTACAATAAAATTTCATCAGATGAACGCGTGCAATGAATAATTAAAGATACTCAGTATTATAAACTTAAGTTATTCAAGTCAATTCTGGATCAAATTTTCTAAACAGTCTGTCATTCTTGTTATCATAATGAAGAAATTTTTCCAAAAATTCTTAGAGAGTGAGTAAAAAAAGCTTCAACCATATTGTTTTTTATCGCACAAATGAAGAAATAATTTATTTAAATTTTAAACCTCTTTTTATTAACTTTTGTTT